CCTGCCTTTTTGAGTTACATATGTTACAACTAAGGCCAGTTCTTATGTAAAAAAGCCACCCCACTACCTCTTTTGCCAAGTCTGTCTGATCTAAAAAGTTGAAAGCCCTCAATATCAATATGCTTGTTCGAAACTTCAGGCTTAAGCCATGTTACTGTTAAACCAAACACATCCAAGTTTTGAAGCAAAACGTAATCCCTAATACTCGTATCACTGAAGAAGCTAATCAAGGATCTCACATTTAGAAAGCCAATCAATAAATTATGGTCATCATTTGCAATAACGTCAAATTCCTACATGTTTATCAGTTCTAAAAGATCGTTAAATATTCAAAAAAAAAACAAACAAAGAATGTAGTAAGAGGTTATAAGAAGAAAGAATAGAAAGTGTGCATAAAAAAGAGTTTGTATGGGATTAAAAGTGACGATAAAAAACTGTTTTGCTAAATTTAAATTTAACCCTGAAAAAAAACTACTGACAGTAGTTCGTTTTGTTACGAACTATATCTTCCACCTTTTTTGAAGAGGCACACCTTTTATCCCAAACTGCATGACACATATCTATATTTTTATGGTTTTTTCACTAAAAACTACACAATTGACACACTTAAGTCTAGGACTTTTGGAGGATTTTCTCTCGTGATTACCCATACACAGAGGACAAACAATATCTTTCACACAACTTTTTGGTACATGACCGTATTCATAGCATTTGAAACATCGCACTATGGAAATATGCTCAAAAACATGACACCTGCTCCAACCTATATTCACTTTATTTACATGCAAGAGTCTGTGAAAAGTCGAAGGATCCGTTTCTGCTACTATATCCATGTTGCCAGTCGTAGCTGGATATTTGTAAACTATATTGAAAGTGCACTCAGCGCCTATGTTATTTTGGGCCTTTAATTTATTTCTAAATAAATCTACTTCTGACTCGATGTTCGTAGCAGGCACACCAACTATTTTGATTCGAGAATTCTTCTTTTTTGGCATAGATACTGTGCAATCATCTGCCATACTGGTTTCAATCGAGGTTTTAAGTTTTTCAAGTGATCGTGGATTGTCACACTTAAGGACAATACTGTCATTGTCAGAAGCTCTGTCCATTTGAACACCGACCTGTAGTTGCTCAGGTGCAATTTTATTCATCGGCTGCTCTTTCAGTGTTTCACTGTCATTAACCTTAACTGATTTTACAAATAGAATATGTTTCCTAGGCTTTTCACCTTTTACATCATCGCTATAAGTGACAGGGTGTACTTGCTTTGGGGTGTTTTGATTTAGGATGGCATCATCAAATTTATTACTAAGCTCAGCTATGACTAAGCTGAGTTCTGTAATTTTGGAGTTCTGATTTTTTATGATCTTATAGCAAGCATCTAATTTCTTCGTTGCATCTGCCAATACTGAAGCCACATTGGCACAGTCACAAGATGTGTTAGTAGAGCGGGTGGTACTCTTCTTATATCCCCTGAGTTATTCATGGTTTCAGGAATTTTTGAGCTTGGCTAATTCGACAATTTCAAAACTACTCACATCGTGGCATCATCCGTACAGTCAAAGGTCAAATGCTGCGGTTGAATAGGGTTCAAAGTCCAACCAGGACCACGCCAATGAAACTGAGTTCAAATTTGCTTAATCTCAAAAAGCAGCAGGACACAAACTAATTCAGGACTCGCCTTGTCTGCTTATTAGCACTTCTAGATGCACTTACATATTTTTTCGAACTAGAAATAGTAAAATTTTTGGTTGAACCACGGAGCACTATGTAAACAAACTAACGTTCAACAGTGGCGTCACGCATATTGTGTGTTATATCTATATTATAAAGATCGTTTTGATACTTTGCACTTTTGGTTTCCCAGTCATGTTCAAAAAGGCTTATCAGTTGGGCTATAATATTTTGTTCATTACGATTTAAAAAAAAACGGTAATTTCTTATATACAGGACGAAAAAAAATATCTGCGAAATGTTTTTTAAAACAATCATATACATATCAAACTTCTTAATCTCTATAATTACTCCAACGATAATTAGATACTTCCAGCTGGAATGCAAGACTTGTTAAGTTGTATCCGACAACTTGGATAGGTCGAGGAAGGACCGACTTATGGCCTCCTCAATCTCGGGACCTAAACCTTCTAGGCCATTTAGAGTTATTTCAATCAATATTGCTTTCGTCCGTACGACCAGACAGAGCGTAAACCGTGTACAGTTGCTTCATGCATATTGGCCATCAACTTGGTCTAGGCAGGTCTCTAGGAAAGAGAACGAACAAAAGCAGAACAAAGTATCCTTATCTGAAGTTTAAGATCTGTCGAAATAAGACTGCACAAAGTGCCATCTATTACCAAAATCGGCTTCAGGGTGACGATGCCGTGGATTCTGGCGATATAGTAGATGTGGTCTACTTACCATTGCAAATTATATTATATTGTTATTAATTATAGTTCCAACAGATAGCTGCTAGTGACTCTTACAATGGCCGATTCTGTAATAGATGACACTTCAGCTGTTATTTTACAATTCTGGTGCAAGAACCCGTGTATTTAACAGAGTTTGGCGGGCTACGAAGAGAAAATTGGTGCTTTGTATTCTAGCTGGCTGTAGCGATCTCAAACAGTACTTATAGATTATGAAAGTTTAGGATGAAATAGTCATAACATTATCAAAAAGTACAGCTTGGATGTTTGCTGATGATCTTTTTTGTATGCATTTTTTATAATTCTTAATGTGTACTGCTCATATTTTTATGTTATTTATACTATGCTAAAAATTAACGGATCAGAAATACTGAGGGATGCAGTTATTATTTCGTGTATCTGCATTTTTTCATTTTACACAGTGCTTTTCAAAAAAGTCTCCCCTATTCATTTTTTAAACGGGTTAAGTTAGTAAGCAAAATTTGGTATGGTGAAATTGACGCATAAATCCTATATTTTATCTTAAAAATTGTTGAAAATTTCAGGACTGCGATTGGGCGCCCTTTTTGGAATACGAGGTCGTATGATACCTCATTTTGAAGCTAGAACCCTAGAATAAAAAACACCATTTCCCAAAATGCCAAACTGACAGACTGTCAAAGTTGTTTTTGTACATTGAGTCACTTATAACTCAACAATCAATCATCAAGGCCCTATAATTTTATATCAATATTCTTCTCTTGGTAGGATTTAGTCGAATATGTAATAGAATCTGGAACATTTCACATGAAAAAATATAATTTGTCAAATTTCTATAAAGTGAATGTCCCACATTTTGTTTCACATTCACATATGCCATTAAAAAAGAAGATTGTTATGACATACTACAAAAGTTTTGATAATTAGTTGTTGAGTTATAAATAAACAACGCAGTGTACAAAAACGCTCAACTTTGACAGCCTGCCTCTTCGACATTTTGAGAGATAGTGATTTTATATTCTAGCGTTATAAAGTACTCATAAGGAGCTTCAAAATGATGTATCACATAGGCATTCTTTCCCTGCCCCGCCGATGCACTGCCCAGCGGGCAACGTCGCCCCTCTCCGATACCTGATCGCACACGGCAGCCGCGGCTGCACGGTACAGCGTCGGTAATCTGTACTGCCAAGACAGTTGTGCATAACGGACGCCCGCCGGTGAACCCAAACAACAGAAGTAGCGACTCGAGCTGAAAGTATTTCTAATCATTTTGTTTTAAGGGCACATGTACGGGGAAATCTATGTGTAAAATATATTTAATAGGTGCGTAGAATTATCGAGCGTGTAAATATACTAACATCACAAAAATGAGCAGGAGCCTTTAAAACGTCAAAAAACGAAGTTTGAGTGATCTCTAGATTTTTTCGTTTTTTGCCTCTTACCGCCACCGGACCGATTTTCAAAAATGTCATCCAAATCCATGCGTTACTTTCCATTTTATATACGTGCCAAGAATTAGCGGATAGACCGACAGACATACCCATGGAAATGAGTAACATGGTTTTTAGTAATGTACGAGGTCTGTAAATTAAATGATGCGACTGATTTTTTTTTAAATTTTTGTATTAAAAAATAATTACAATTTTATATTGTCACTCTGAAAACGACTTTCTCCTGAAGCCACAAAGTGCTAAAGACGGTTTTTCACTCCTCCCAAAATGGTTTCTCTTGAAGTGATTTTACAACTTCGGGAAGAGACAAAAGTCACAAGGACTCAAGTCTGGTGAATAAGGAGGCTGAGGAGCCACAGCAATGTTTTTACTGGCCAAAAACTCGTTTATTGACATTGCTCTGTGACAAGTAGCATTATCGTGAACACCCAGTTGTTTTGATCTAATGAACTGTAATGTGAGTAATATTTAACTCTTCCCCGATCATTCTGACTGTCAACCGACGATCTGAAACAAGATCCCGGGTTCTGTCGTTATTTTCATCGGTTCTTGAAGATGATGGCCTTTCGCTTCGTGATATCATCTTCAATCGATTCTCTTGCTTCTGAAAATGCCTTAAACCACCGAAAAACATGGGCTCTTGACAAAACACAATCTCCGTAGGCCTGTTTGGCAAGAGTTTCCGTTGCGTGTGCAGTCTGAAGCAAAATCTGATAGTACACCGTTGCTTGCAATTGATGTCACTTATTTTTAAAACACAATAGAAAAAAATCCAGTGTTGCTAGACCGAACGCTACGTTGCCAGCCTCATCACTTAATTTGGAGACCTCGTACATGCCATATAATATCCAAAAAACATTATTCGAAATTTTGGGCGACTACAATTCTTCCTCGACGGTAGGCGTGAGAAGAAGTAAAAATGTTACAAGATGGCACCTAGCCGCCATCTTAGAATTATCAAATGTTATTTTACTTTAAAATGCGTCAATTCACCATCCCGAATTTCAGCTTGCTAACTTGACTTGTTCGAAAGACAAGTATCCCCTACTTATCTTCCCCCCGACATCTATGAAAAACACGGTATGCTAACTGTACCTTTGGACGTCTAAGCTAACCGCCATTGGTCCACATCTAACTCCAACAGAATTTTCAACCCATTTTCAGGTAAACGAGGATCCGAACATCCTGCCTAACGTCACGTTGGCCTTGAAATGGTACGACACCAGGGGCGAAACAGTTGCAGCTACCAAAGCGATGACAGATATGATCTGCGAAGGAGTTTATGCTTTTTTTGGACCGGAAGGCACCTGTCATGTTGAAGCGATAGTGTCGCAGGCTAGGAACATACCAATGATCAGCTATGTAAGTCTCACCGCTGACATTATTATTGTCATACGAACTTTAACCCCCACTTTACCCCTTTGCGATTGGATTTTTCAAGTATCGTCAAACACAATGTCAATCCGACCAAAATGGCCTTCTCGTGGGTCCGTTTCTTGTGAGACGAGACCAAAATGTTCGAGATTGTGTTAGAGACCTACAATTCAGCCAATATTGAGGTGGTACGATTCAAACACCGGTTTTGCTTTGAGCTCGTATTATAATTTCAACGTCGATGACCGGAGCTAACAAAATTGCGGACCGCACTGACGAAATACGACGCGAGCGACTCGCTGCCGCATGGCAATAACCACGAGTTTTTAAGGATTGGCCTACCATACAGCAAGGTCTTCCATGACCCAACCACCTTATATAACAGAATAAGGCACAAAAAATACCTATATAAAAATGACAACGTTGCGCCACTGTACTCAAATTGAGCACAAAAGTTAAAACAAATGAATAGAACATTATGATGAGAATGAGCTAGTTGACACTTTTTTTAAGTAGATCTCAAATAGTCAATATTTGTTCTATCAGATCAAAAAATTGATACTATATTTTCTCAGACCTAAAGGCTGTAAAACTTTAATTTAAAAATATGTTTTTCTTAGACAGGCGAAAACGCTGTCCGCCATATTTGGTCCATATATTACTGGGCTATAACGTCATACCATTTGTAAACAGCAGCTGACAGCAGCATAATCTCTCAAACTTTTAAATATTACTTCCACTAGCTTCCATGAAAAATATAGTAAATATCGTTATTGTATCATCTGAGAATGTGAAAACACGTCGAAAAAGACCCAAGGAAAGCTGTCGGCATATAAATATACGCAACTGTGTGTATTGCTTGGAGCTTACCTTATGTTAAAGACATATTTCACACTTTGCTGTGCAGATTTTATCTCCCGTTTAAGTTGGATGTTTTGCACAGCATACGATTCCCTTGCAGATGTGTAGGAACAACTACAATATGAGATAAAAATATTCAGTTATGACGCATGGGCTTAGTTTTGGATGATTTCTGAAAAGAAAGATTATGTAAGTGTATTTATTACTTATTCTTTCGTTTTATGTCTATCATATCAGATGCACTGTACTTACATAGAAAGTCTTGATGTTCCTCAGCTTAACAGAGTAGAAATCTGTGTTGAAGGCAAAAAAATTACCAACCATCAAGCTGTCAATTTTGGGCAAGTTTGTGCTTTGCGCTTTTACGTCCATTGTTTTTTTTTTGAGAAAACGATAACTTTTTTCAAGAAATATTTAGTTGGACGTTAGTCGGAATGGCGTTTTTTTGTTTACAATTTGTATGCCATCATATGACCGATAGTGTTTTCACACATATTGAAAATAAAAAATTAGTTTTTTTTAAATGCGGCTTATCTTGCGCACTTAAAAATTCAAATCGATATATCGATACCTGCATCTAAGAACATTAAAACTGACATTTGGTCGATTGTTAGTTTTTAGTTGTTTCAGATAGAGCCTTACTTAATACTTTCAGCTTGTATAGAAATTTAAACATTTTTTTGTATCAAAGATGAGAAAAAATATTTTACCATAACCCAGTTGTCATTAAAACATTGTATTTGCCTTTATGGTGCTTCTCAATGCGCGCAAACGTATTACGGCACATTGTAAGTGACTTTACAATGATGTTGCACGAAAAATATCAAGCAAATACACATTTCCTATAGCGTCACTCTGATGTTAATGCTGCTGTAAGAGTCTTTACAATGTTATTACAGGTACAGTTTATGTATTTTTATCATTGAACATATATATGCTCTTACAATCGATAATGACTATGTTTTATAGAAGAACATTGTAACTTTACAATGATTATACAGCTAAGTGCACGTTTTCGTCACATTGTAATTACCCGTTTTTTGCTTTTTGCATGAATTTTTCAAAATTTTTTTAGAAAATAGCGTTAACCAACGACCAATCTTTACAAAAACACAGAAATGGTAACCAAGTTACCATGCATATTGCCAAAAAGCTTAGTCAAAGTTGGTAGAAAATTGATATGACTCTCCTGAAAACTTGACTTTTGTCAGTTAAAATGTTTTTAGATGCATGTATCGATTATTTCCTTTCCCTAAGCCAAACACGGTAAGAAATACTTATTTATTCTACGAAATTAGATATGAGTCAAGTAGTCTATTATAATGAGACTTCATTTGTGCTTATTGTGAGCGTAGTAGTGCAACAGGTTCATTTTTACATACGTTTTGTGTCTCAGTGTCTTTTATTATATTTTGATCTCCCCACCTGAATATTTCGAAAAATACTCATAGAAAAAAGTTTCAAACAAAAGTGTATTGTCAATGTACGTATGACATGATTAAATCACCGGTGTATAAATTGAATAGGAATTAATATTAGATAGAACCATTAACTTGTTTATTACATTTCACTTAAGTGGATAGAAATACATATTTAATAGCATTTGAAATACGGACAATATGATAAGAGCCATTTGATAATGGGTCAAGAGTGTAGAAATTAATAAATATTTTTATATTTATACAGTGTAGCGCCAAATTAACATTACAGTTCAAAGATTTTATAATAATTTTATTTAAGTGATAATTAACAAGTTTATTTTGTGGTTTATCTTCTGGAAAACCCAGTGAAGCTGTCAGATAGGTTGCTGACTTCCTCTCCAGGCGCAAGATATCTGTCGTAATAAATTGATTCTTTCCTACAGCCACCAATTGTCGATGGTCCCTTCTCTGGTACGATCAAACGGATCGACGGATTTGCTTATGACAGCACTCTACGCGCAGGCAGTTGGTGAGGCAAACCGATGAACTCGAAAGAAGAAGACTATTATTGTCCACCTGTCGAAGAAAGAAACCATACCCCCAAAAATATGCACGCATACCTCTCGTGATCGAGCTCCAGATCTTCGGCGGCCAGCAAGGCTGCATGCACCGCAGCGTCGTCTCCCACTCCACCTTACTTGTTTCGTATTGGTGCTGTATACGTATATGGGCTGAGTCGATTCTGATCAATAACAGCTATGCTCCCCGTTTCTTCAAATATGTCAGCATGCTGATTACGCATGGAGCACGGGCTGGTTATATTTTGGTTTAAGGTCTTTCTTGGATAGACAGACTATAGTAGTAACATCCTCTCTAACTAGATATCTGAAGGTTATTACTGCGTGGGGACGTACAGTTTAATGCATACAAAACACAGTACTATACCTTGACGAACAGGAAGTGCCCTCGTGTTCGTCCAGTTTCGATGGGTAGCCGAGTTCTTTTGGTCCGGTAGGTCGGAGTCCAGATTACCGAGAACTTGATTTGGTACGGACACATATCTTCAATTGTAACAGCTTCTGGGAAAACATTACGTTATTTTTTTAGGCTAAGAAGTACATTTCTCCTTATAATGCCCTCGCTCTGTACCGGGCCCAGAGAAGACCTAGTCTCTAATACTGGTCACATGTTTGGGGTGCTTCCACCCTGACTACATTATCTATGCTCGATGCTGTTCAGAAGAGGGCTGTCTGACGGATCAATGACGCTTCTCAATCTCACAATGGTGTTACGGTCTGGTACTGTCCCACGACGTGGAACACGAAAGTGAACGCGAAACTCACGTTTCGTTCGAACGAAAGACTCCATTTTGAAAGTACCGACGTACAGTGAACACACGATGCTCAACGTTCCAAACCATCTTGTCAACTGAAATGGCACTTCTCCCGCTATGCAACACGCCCTTCCCCACCGACACGGGACCAGCCCACTCGATGTAGTACCCATTCGAAAAACATGCATTCTTTCTGACGGACCCTGTATCTCTGGGTTACTAGAACTTCGGGGTTTCACTCATTGTACTCTTTATGCCCTAAACATATAAACAACTATTTGATACTGCCCTAACGGAGTGAAAAGCAATTTCATAAACCTAATTTTCTTTTTCCATAGAAATGTTCCGACTACAAGGCTTCAGAAGTACCCACCTTCGCAAGGACCGAACCTCCAGACACCCAGGTCTGTATGCTATATTCCCAGAATTGTGCTACAGCGGTACCAAAGCGTTCTTTTAGGTTACCAAATCGGTGATTTCTCTCCTGTCATACTACAAATGGAAGAAATTCTCGATCATCTACGAATCTCCTTATTCTACGGTGGCACATTCTTTGAAAGAGCAGGCTAAGGCTAATAATATTACCGTGAATTTTAAGAAGGAGGCTATGGACAGGCATAAGTGCTGCGAGGATAATTTGCCATGTTGTCAATTGACAGATTGGTATAAGATTATTCAGGATACGAAGAATAGAACTAGGAGTAAGTCATATTTTGTCAAATAGGGCAAAATGTACGAGTTTTAAAATGGATGTAGTCCACTTAAATTAAACGAAAAATATTTATTTCAATAAATGTTCAAAAAGACCACCATTCTGACGGATACAAGTGCGGCATCTTTGATGAAACGCATTATCTATTATTTCTCGTAACTGATCAACAGTATTATCTTGTTCAGCGTACACTAGTTGTTTAAAAGCACACCAGAAATCTAGGTGGTTCAAATCAGGAGACCTCGCAGGCCCATGTACGGTTCCGTTTCTGCCAATCCAGCGTTGATAAAAAGATTATGTAACCATGCGGTTATGTCACGACGAACATGCGTACTATTTTTATTTTGAAAAATAATGTCACTAATCCCCTGTATCTCCGCCACTGGTTCAAGTTAATTTTAAGCAAAGACTTTTGAATGTGGACAATACTTAGGTTAATCCACATACTAAATGTTAGTTCATTCCAGTTGACGGTTTTCAAGATATTAACAAGAAAATTGTTTTTTATTTTTAAACTTCACCTTGTAAGTCCTCGAGGAAAAAATGTTACATAGAAGACCCCCTTAAAATGCGGTCCTGTGTATGATGTTTTATCTTTGCCCACGACTTGTGAATCACCCTGTATAAAAATATCTCAAAAAAGGACAGGAATAACTGTAGGCAGATGTACCCATTGGCAAAGAAACCATGTAAGCTAAAGAACAATTAAGAAGTTTTTGACATCATGAGCTTCTCAGCGGCATGCTCTTTATAATTTAAAATAATTTCTGACATTAAGTCAAACTCAAATATTTGTGTCAAAATCATAATAAAATCATTACAGTTTTTATTACAATTTTACAACTTGAAAGGTGAATTTAAGTGGACTATGAATATTATCTACGACCGGGCGGTTAAGAATATTTTATGCTAAGGTTTTGCGGACGTTAAGCTACATTTTTCAGCTCCCGGGCTTTTTAAACCCTAGTGCCGCTCGCTATCTTCAAATTGTTCTGGACTCGTACTGTGTATTTACTGCTGCAGCTGCCGGAACCCGGTGATATACAGTAGCGGACAAAAGTTTGGAACCAAATATTAACATAATTATGAACCATTTCATATGCGTAAATTAAAATTGTGCTAGAACAGATAATATAAATATTAAAGTCTACCTTTGGCTCCCGTACTGATACAAGGTTTATCTTACATTCAAATCCTCTGAAAATAATAACACGCGTTTTTTAAATACCACAGTTTTTGTAACGACTGAAGTATGGAAACATTTCAGTTTTGCCGTATTTATTCGTTCAGCGATACTCTGATATTACGTGCGGTAAATATTAACATCAGCGAGAATGGCGAAAGAAAAGTATTTTCAAAAGATTTAAGAGACAAAGTAATTGAATTATTTAGAAGTGGTGTCAGAAATGTTGACATTTCTCAAAGATTAAAAATGAACTAGGGGACGAAAATTATTAGTAAATATCAAGAATACGGATCAAGAGCAACGCGGCCCAGGCGCGGAAGACCGAAAAAAAACCGATTATGTTTTGGATCGCTACATTAAACGTTTGTCCCATGAAGATCCTCGAATTCCAGCCACACAAAATTTCAAAAGAATCGTAGAAGAGAATCTTTCTACCAGAACAGTGCAGAGACGCTTGGTGGATTTAGGGCTTTTTGGTAGGTGTTCAGTGCAAAAGCCTCTCATTTCAAAAAAAAAAATCGTATTACTCGGCTTAAATTTGCTAAAACTTATCTAACCTGGACAGAACAACAATGGAATACAGTTTTATGGAGTAATGAAAGCAAATTTAACTTGTTTGGATCTGATGGTACGGCATATGTGAGACGTCCAATATCATGAAAATTCGACAAAAAGTATCAGTTGCCAACAGTTAAGCACAGTGGAGGTAACATCATGGTTTGGGACTGTTTTTCTAGTTCTGGAACGGGTCGAATTGTCAAAATTGTTGGCAAAATGGATCAAAAACGTTACAAAGATATTCTTAGTGAACATATATATGCTCCCTTTTGCTAAAGAAGAAATACTTTTACGATGGACATTCCAGCAAGATAATGACCCTAAGCATACCTCAAAAATCGTGTAAAGGACTGATTAATACTAAAAAATGTTAATGTTCTTGCATGGCCTTCGCAATCTCCGGTCCTAAACCCTAGAGAACATCTCTGGTAGCATGTTAACAGACAACTGATAAGAAAAACTTAAAAAAATAGGAACGATTTATTTGATTAAGTATTTGGCAAAATATCCCAACAGACGCCTATAAAAAAATGGTGTCTTCTATGAGCAGCAGAGGTCAGGCAGTGTTGAATGCTAAAGGCTATGCTACAAGAGTATTTTTCAAATCTTTTTGTAGAGTTATTGTCTTTAATTTTGTAATAAAAAATATGTTTCCATACTTTTGTCGTCTCATTTTTGCTCATAAAATAATATGAAGGTATTTTAATGCTAATCTCTAGTACCACAGCAAACACAAATTGTCATTTGTATCCTCAAGACTGTAAGCAAACTATATGAGAAAAAAATAGTCCTTGATAATAAAGAATAAACAATATGCGCACTTTTTTAAGTTTACTAAGAATGTTTCCAAACTTTTGTCCGCTACTGTAGCACGGTCAATTTATTTCTTCTATTGTCAACTAAAACACTACCTATTCTAAATATTTCACTGACACTATAGCCGGTCGTAGATAAAATTTTGTATGTATCTCGGGAGTAATGAGCGTTTACGGCCCTTGGCATTAGCGCCTGGAACTTGGGCCGCGGGCTATAAACGCCAACTTAATTATGAATAACTATAATCATGGGTATTTTTTTCAGTTTATGTATTTCTGGGAACACCAATGTCTTTATTAGAGCTAATGAATACCATGCAAACGGCCAAACTGTTTGAAAATGGCGAATATATTGTCATTTATATTGATATGAACACGTATTCGGACAAGCAAGCATACCAATACCTTTGGAGTAAGTAATAGTTATAGACCAATGGAATGAAGAAAGCTCGAAAAAAATTTTAGTCTACTTTTTCTGTGTTCTAAACTATATCATAATGTTACTAGTCTAATCATATTAGCAAATTTCCCCGAAATGAAAAAAGTCGGGTTTTATTGATGCAAGTTATTCAAAGGGATATTTAAAACATATACGCATAAAATGGATAAGTATACCAATTTTTGTGGGAAAACTTTTTATCCGACAACAAAGAATGAAAAAACGTGTTTTTTTTTGGGAGTCAATTGAAAGTGTTGGCAGGTACGAAAAAACTCTTCGAATAAGATTTTTAGGTATTTATGAGACCTACAAAATGAGACCACATGTAAAAAGATCCGACTAATAGTAAAAAAGTTATGGCCGAAAACAAAAATGCAGGTTTTGGCACTTGTTGCTAATGCGACGATAATTTCACGCAGCTACTTGAAATTATTCAAATCCGTAGGTTTCATACTTCTCAATAATCACAACAAAATTGGAGTTGATTGGCCAAGTATTTTTTGAGAATTTCTAATTGTCTATCCAAAACACTTGTCCTCCGGCCATCGCTTCTAGTTTACTAAGCAATATACAGAGTTCGTTCAAAGGGCATTTTATAGCAAAATACACAAATTTACCTTGCCGACGTGAATTACAAACCATTCCGAAAGATAATTGTTATTTTTATGGGAAAAACGAATGGTTACGTTTTTTTATTATAAACAAATTCATCTATTCGTATATGTGAGTAACTGAACAGATTCGCTACGATATTCGAAAAACATACCTTATTTTAAAACAAAGCGGATATGTCTATCATCTTTTGTTACGAAGAAAACAATTTTTCATATTCCTGTGTATACATATTTAGAGTTGAAATTTTTACACGGTCACAGATGAGCCTTAAAGTTTATAAAAAAAAATATTCCATATTGAAATGCGCTGAACTGTTTATAAAGTTTGCACGCAAACTGAATACACAACCATGTTTCAAACTGTCTTAGACTAGTTAGTATGTAGTATGTGCTAAATGGCTGCATTGTTGATGACTGCATGGCTTTGTCAAATAAGTAGGTCACGTAATCCAGTTTCTTTACGAATCCCCTGGACCTTTTTTCTAAATTATTAATATAGTATACGTCTGTTTTCGAAACTCGTGCGATTAAAACGACTGCGAGTTCAAAATTTTTGAAAATAAGCTTGAGAAAACGAAAAAAACAGTGGACAAATATCAATCAATTGTAGCGAACTGACCGTCTTGAAAATTAGGCAAAATGCTCGTTATTAGACCCTAATACATTATTTAAAGATTCGACATTGTATCTTGTATAGTTTTCAAGAGTGCTGTAATTGTTTATAACAGATTCAATATGCCTCCCACGTTAGTAGTATACGGATCCAGTAAACCAAGAGGCATCGTAGCGTAGGGTTGACGATTGCAAAACCGCAGGACGAAGGTTCGAATCCACAAAGCTCCTTTTTAGTTCGCTATAATTGGTTGATATTTGTCTACTGTTTTTTCGTTTTCTCGAGCTTATTTTCAAAAATTTTGAACTCGCAGTCGTTTTAATTGAACGGAATTTCGAAAACAGACGTATACTATATTCATACTTTCAGAAAAAAAGTCTAGGCAAATTATATTTCTTCGTGAAGAAACTGGATTACGTGACCACTTATTTGACAAAGTCATTCATCAATAATGCAGCCGTTTAGCATTTACAACTAGTCTAAGACAGTTTGAAACATGATTGTGTCTTCAGTTTGCGTGCTAACTTTATAAACAGTTCAGCGCATTTTAATATGGAATATTTTTTTTATAAACTTTAAGGCTCATCCTGTGACCGTGTAAAAATTTCAGCTTTAAATATGTATACACAAGAATATGAAGAAATCATCAACAAAAATTGTTTTCTTCGTAACAAAAGATGATAGACGCATCCGCTTTGTTTTAAAATGTGTATAATAAGGTATATTTTTCGAATATCGTAGCCAATCTGTTCAGTTACTCACATATACGAATGATTGAAGTTGTTTAGAATAAAAAAACGTAACCATTCGTTTTTCGCATAAAAATAGCAATTATATTTCGGAATGGTTTTTGATTTACTTCGGCAAGATAAACTAATGTATTTTGCTATAAAATGCCCTTTGAACCAACCCTGTATATTGCTAAGTAAACTAGTAGTGATGGCCGGAAGACAGGAGTTTTGGGATAAACAGAAGTTCCCAAAAACTACATGACCAATAGACTCCAATTTTGTTGTAGTTATTTAGTATGGAGCCTACATATTTGACGAATTTCAGGATGCTGCGTGAAATTATCGTCGCATTAACAAGTGCCCAAAACCTGCATTTTGCCTCGGTTTTCGGTCATAACTTTTTTACTATCAATGGTATATTTTTACGTGTGGCCTCGGTCTGTAGGTACCATAAAAACCTAAAAATCTTATTTGAACAGTTTTTTCGTTCCTACCAAACTTTCGATTGAATCCCAAAAAACAGGTTTTCTCATTCTTTGTTGTCGAATAAAAAGTTTTCCCACAAAAATTGGTGTATCCATTTTATGCATCCATGTTCTAAATACCTCCTTGAAAAACTTGCATCAATAAAACCAGACTTTACAATTATTTCGTAAACCAGTGGTACTCGTATTTTCCTCTAATATGATTAGACTATACGAGAAGTTGGTCAAAATGGGATTTTCGAATGTCTGTCCAGACAGAATTCAACAGAATATATAGTTGTTTTGATCATATGAAACGGATACAATTTTTTTGTACGATTTCTGTGATTTTTCTCATATCTTACGATCTTTATATTCCCATTTTCACTAGTCCCCATGATGTGCCTTCTCAACTGTTTTTATACAAAATAATTCGTTTTCAGAACCAGATGAAATAAACCGTCTTAAAAGCTGCGAACAGATTCCTGACTACGAAGGCTTCAAAAAACGCGCCAAATCTTTGTTCGTAGTAGCTCCTACGGCTCCCACCGAGAACTATAGGAACTTCACGGAACGTGTGAGGTACTACAACTCCCAGCCACCGTTCAACTTCACTGTGTCCAACATTCTTAACTCCTACGAACCTGTAAGCCATATCACTTATCATCTAATATATATTCCTGATTTTTTCATAGTAGTCTCACTTTTTTTGACTGGCAAAGGCTCGAAAAAACTGTCCAACTTTTCATTCATATGATTTTATGGTCCTATTTATAGGGTTGTTCATGAATATTTCCAAAAAAAAAACAAAAAGTAATGCCTCTTTCGATTTTTGATAACGATAAGTTCAAGGTCTGGGAAAACTTTTAAGGTTTATTCTCAGGGTTGGAACCTAATTAGCAAAAACGGGCAAAAAACTGCTATTTTTAAGAGATTATGATTCTGAAGGATGCAATAATTACAAACTTTCTAGCTTACGAAACTTGAAATTTTGGTAATCTTTATTACTCTAAGTAGAAGGAAATTATATTTTTAGATATCTAAAATAAATTTTTCACATTCATTTTTTAAGCAAGATGCAGCTTAAACTCATTTAAAGCCTCATCTAAATTTTACGTTGAACCTAATAGAATTTGATTTTTTGACTTTTAGAGCAGCCAATATCAGAAAGTAAAGGTTATTTTCCGTATTTGACTACGTCAGACTATAACTTATTGTGTCAAAGCGTTGGATTTTTTGATTATACATTCATACAAGAAATTGAACAAGCTAAGAATATGGTTTTTACAGGGCCTGCGTTAGCAATATCAGGTCCTTTCTAGCAATCGTGTTTTCTCCTCAATTGTTAATATTCTATTTTATTTCCGTGGCAAATTATTTCTTGAAAACACCCCATTTTTCATATTCTCTAAGTTTGCATGCAAGATTTGGAAATCTGTATTAAAGCGCTAGGTCAAATTCTTAATTCTATATCTACAGGGAAAACCAAATTTGTCTGACGGCTTGAGTTCAATGTAAACGAGAGAGAAGCATTATAAGTGTGTATCAACACATGTTAGAAAGAGATAGAAGTCGGCTGAAGAGCTAAGGTCATCACCACATTGCCTAGCAGTGGTGACGCAGAAGGTCGTGCAATCTGCCGCGTTGCCAATATGTTCTGTCCGAACATTTAATTTTATATTTTGTTTTCCTGCCTGCGTGTACGTAGGTGAAAGCCTTTTCGAAGCAGGACGCAAATTGCCGCGTCAGCGTTGCTAGGCAACGCGGTGGTGAGCTTCGCTATCCAGCCGGCTTCAGTCTCGTTCTAACATATGTGCATATGCAGGGTGTGGCGTAAAGAGTGGATAACCTTCAACCTGCAGTTAGAAGACATCATAACGGTTCAAAGAATTGAAAATTGTGTCTAGTAAAAGTTGCACGGTTTTCAATTATTGTGACGTTTTTCAAATTTGGAGGAAATGGGCACCTTCACTCACTGTTTTAAGTCTCGTGATAACACATAAAGGGTTTTTCTCTTTATTTTTCCAACATAGTATTCTTGGATACATGTGTCATAAAATATAAATTGCCATTTTCGTGCTACAGGTTTAATTGCTTTTTTAAAAAATCAATAAACCTCGAAAAAAAATTATTTGATTTCCTCTGAAGTTTGACCACGTGTGGTGTCAATAATATCGCGGTAATCTACTGAAACAAGACGTGAATAATTTGCCTAATTCATTGAGATTGCAAAATGATACAATACACCGTATTTCCTGCTGTCATTTCAAAGGATACTCCTATTGAGATAGCTACTTTTCCAAAGAAAGTCCACTGTTGTTGTTGATTTAGCACAGAATATTGAGGCATAACAAAAGAGCGTATCAAAATTAGAAAAAGGATCACAATATATTCAAATTTATTACAACGTTTACAAAACGTATTAGCAATGTTTCAGTTTAAATCAATCATATGGATAAGAATTTAAAACAAGATACTTGTGGTGTAGGAATTCATTAAAATAAGAAAATAGAACAGAAAACTCGCTAGATATTAGATATTATTAGAAATTACACAGTACTCACAATGACCACCACGAGCTCTGATACAGGCCCTGCTTCTTCTTATAAATGATTCTTTGACATTTTCCTTAAGGCACCCCCAGTAAAAAAAGCCGAGAGGGTTGAGGTCTGGTGACCTTGGTGGCCACAAAATTGCTCCCAAGCTCCCGATCCACCTCCGGGGATGCAGTTCGTTGAGATACTCTCGCACATTTTAGGTATAATGCGCAGGGCAACCATCGTGCTGCAGCCACATTTTCATTCTTTGCTCTAGTGGAACATTTTCAAGTAATGTCGGAAGATTACTTACTTACTTACAAAACTTAAGTAGCTCTCTGCAGTCAACGTCGGTGGTCATTCAAATTTCAAATCCCCCTATAACTTGTGCGTTTAAAATCCCAGTCCAAGGTTTATTTTAAATTGATATTAGGACCTATCTTCCCTTACTAAATGGGGATTGATGAGCTGCCTACTGTGTAAGTTATGCATATTTACATATCCAACTTTTGTGCAAGTTGACTCGTCAGATCTGATCGAAAAAATCAGAATTCGCTCTTATTGTCCGTAACATGTCCACACAAAACGTAAATCCTAGTGGATAGTCTCGCGGAAGCAGATTTTGAACTCGTTGGGAGTGATAAGGGTGTAGCTGTTTCTGTTTCAACATTCTGTGTACTGTCCTTGTAGAGATGCCTGTTCGTCGCGATATGACTCGTTTGACGTTGTTGGATCAGCGGCAATCTCCTTCAACACAGTTCCTTCATCATCTAACCATGATCTCTCAGAGCTGATACCGCTAGTTCCGGGAATTCGGCCTTCCGTGTATGCATTATGCACACGAATGGAAACTCTATAATCTGGATAGCGTGCGTTAGAGTACCTTTCCCGATAAAGTGCTGCGGCTTGATTGCCATTACCACCACACTCACCATAAATAAAATGCATTTGAGCATACTCCCTTGGAATGTACTGAGACATTCCCGTTCACAAGATTGGGCTATTCACCAGATGGAAGATCTAAATCACTATACAAAACCACTGGTGCGGTGAGGCCATTCAGGAATCGTAACTTTGATCTGTCACTATGAAATCAAACAAAAACAAACGCGTAGCTAGGCAAATGTGATTTCTCCATATTTGTTATTTAAGTAGACATTGTATTTGAAGAAATAGGAGTCTTAGCTAACCTTAATAGGAGTGTCCTTTGAATTGACAGCAGGAAATACGATGTATTGTATCATTTTGCAATCTCAATGAATTAGGGAAATTATTCACGTCTTGTTTCACTAGATTATCGCGATTATTGACACCACACGTGGTCAAACTTTAGAAAAAAAAATATTTTTTTCCGAGTTTTAATGATTTTTAAAAAAGCAATTACGTGCTACAGGTAAATGGCAATTTGTATTTTATGACACGTATCCAAGACTATGTTGAACAAAGAATGAGAAAAACCCTTCATGTGTTATCATGAGACTTGAAACAGTGAGTGAAGGTGCCCATTTCCTCCAAACTTGAAAAACGTCACACAAATTGAAAACCGTGAAACTTTTACTAGACACAATTTTCAATTTTTTGAATCGTTATGATGTCCTGTAACTGCAGGTTAATGGGTATCTACTATTTACGCCACAAACTGTATACATCTGTCTCTCGTACACATTGAACTCAAGCCGTCAGTAAATTTTTGTTCTCAGTGCATGTAATGAAACATCACTTATGCCAGAATCGTAGACTACAATATATTTTATATGACTCACTCCATTACAGACAGATCTGTTCAAGGTATATCCTGTGTACAGTGAACTACCTTGACATTTTCTAACAAGCATCGTTGACTGTTTGACATATTCTTAGAAAATTACCATACACTATATACATTCATGTCATATGCATTATTCATTATATGAGATAAATGTAGATGCATGTACTCTAAAAAAATTGCCGGAACATTATGGAAAATTTGATATCCATTTAAGTGAATTCCTCATATTAATGGGAACATTCTGATGCATAGGTTAGTATTGATAATTTTTGAATCAATATCAATAGGTATAACTTCAGGTTTCTTTGTTTTTTCCATACAAAAAGCCAAAGAAAGTGAGATTATATACAGCATACATTTATAATACGATGAATGGAATAAAAAATACATTTTTCAAACGGTAGCAATGCGCCATAATAAAAAACATGCAAACACTGTCTCTAGAAATGCAGATTTGCATGAAATTTTATACAGGGTTTTTTTTTATTGAACGACGAACAATATTCTAACCTTTGATGATTTTCGTCTGGAGATAGAGAACGAAAATTACTCTATAAAAGTGTTCTGTCGTCATTGTAGATTGCCCGGGTCTGTTCAAGTATTATGTAAGCAGATTTTTTATAATTACTGACCCCTTCCCCTTGCCAGCAAAAGTAAGCAAAGCTATCCAGCCGCCCCCCCTCCCTCCTCATGCGAACGTAACAATTTTGGTACATTTTACAATTTGAAGCAAATGAAGCTCTTCCGCTACATATTCTAAATACTATTCTACACTGTATAATGTCTGGAAATTAGGAAGTTGTAGATAGTCCCACCCAACATACTACATACTTTGTTCCATTGAACTCCATACCACTGCTAATGCATTTCCGGCAAACTAGAAATTCAAATAATTAATTGTAACTCTACGTTCAACCAAATTGATCAAGAGGCAGTCCCGAGTAAGAGGAGCCATACTGCGCTCTATTTGGTATATGCATTTCTACCAGGAGCATTTGATAACGTATGTCCGAAAAGTTTTGGCACAAAATATTTATCGGATTTTTTTATGAAGACATTTATGTAAACACTAGCTAGTTATAATGAATTACAACTCATTTCTTAACTAAGCTTTACTATCGAAATATGCGGAGTGACCCATTCTGCTCTACCAGACGCAACTTTTTTCGAATGTCTCTCATGAGGTCCTGTGCCCATATTCTTGACTTCAATAGAAAATCAAACTCCCTCTCTTTTTCTACTCCCTCGGTTTTCTATCGATTTGAAAATACTGTATTCTTGAAAGGACTCGATAGAAAGGAGATTCTACACTGTATAATGTCTGGAAATTAGGAAGTTGTAGATAGTCCCACCCAACATACTACATACTTTGTTCCATTGAACTCCATACCACTGCTAATGCATTTCCGGCAAACTCGAAATTCAAATAATTAATTGTAACTCTACGTTCAACCAAATTGATCAAGAGGCAGTCCCGAGTAAGAGGAGCCATACTGCGCTCTATTTGGTATATGCATTTCTACCAGGAGCATTTGATAACGTATGTCCGAAAAGTTTTGGCACAAAATATTTATCGGATTTTTTTTATGAAGACATTTATGTAAACACTAGCTAGTTATAATGAATTACAACTCATTTCTTAACTAAGCTTTACTATCGAAATATGCGGAGTGACCCATTCTGCTCTACCAGACGCAACTTTTTTCGAATGTCTCTCATGAGGTCCTGTGCCCATATTCTTGACTTCAATAGAAAATCAAACTCCCTCTCTTTTTCTACTCCCTCGGTTTTCTATCGATTTGAAAATACTGTATTCTTGAAAGGACTCGATAGAAAGGAGATAGCAAATCAAGACCCAGGGTTGCCAGGTTTGAATAAACGTGTTAAACCATTCAAAGTGGAGATATCTTTGACAGTAAAAAACTAACCAAACCAAAGATTTTGGTCGAGATTTCCTCCTTATAATTTTATCTATATAGCCGAAAACTTAAAAAAGCACATTACAAATGAACAAAAGGACAAAATGATTCAATTTCTCCGAGAGCACGCCCAAATGCACCAGGAAAAAATCAATCATAGATTAAAGGTTACTGTTTTAGAGTGGCCAAATCTTAATATCTACTCTTGCCTTTGTTTTGATCTATAGTGCAGAAGCTCGTGGGGTGGTTGTATGAATGAAGTCAATATCTCCAGCAATTCATATACCAAATCTTTGGTTAACCTAAACATCTGTACAAATTTTCGATCCGAAATTATGAAAGGATCTCAGTGCAAAAGAATATCTCTCCCAATCTCTCATTCATCAACTGCCTCCTCTACATCCTCGTTAATAATATCGTTCCAATATATCAATTGTTTGAAATGAACTATTATTTGCAATATGATTAGCAGGAGCGACAATAACAATGCCAAACACGTTTTTAGGTTATATAGCGCTATTTTCTATTAATTTTTCCAGTTTCTCTTGGTCAAAACACGACACGGTCATTAGCATGATGTTCATGGATAAACTGGAGCAATTTGGAAAGGCAGTTATCAATATAGCTCTGACTATTCAAAGCTTCACCCCTCACTCTTCCGATAAAGAGTTGGGATATAACCCTGTTAGACATTGCGCACCAGACAAGGATTTGATCTGCAAATTTCGCTTTGTATCTAACATTATCCGTATATAATCCGTCGTTTCCCTTCATCATCTTGGTATACAAATGAGTTGCGCTTGAGAGTATATGGGGCACTTAAGTCTTTCAATATTGGATACCATTCCTCCTCAACTCCAACGATATCGTACTCGTAGAAGATCTGTGTTGACGAGCCAGTCTCCTTGTTGACATTCCAAACTGATTTTTTGCTTGTCTCACCAGTCTCTCTGCAGTAAATGCACGTGGACTTCCGCTTTGTGGGAGATGATATTCCCTGCTCGCACTCAACACTACTATTGTTCGATAAATGGTTCTGCGTTCTGCGTGGAATGATTTCATTCTGAAATATTCGACAGATTTCAGCTTTGGGTACGCGCCCAACCAACTTGTAGATACTCTTTCTTATTTATAATTTATACATCTTAAAGCAAAAAAAACAAATAAATGTCAACTGACAGTAAAGTAAGTAAACAAACTTTTGTTTCCAAAGGCCACTTGATATTACATATCTTGTATTTGTTAAAATTAAAGCCAATGAATTTTGTGCCAAAACTATTCGGGCATACGTTAGCTAAGGTTCTAATCAAGTAAGAATATCCATATTTAGGCGATGCGTTTCGTCTCCGAGCATAGACAAGCAGGGTTGTCATATTTGTTCAAATCAAAATCGACTAAATTTTGTAGAAAATCCGAAAAACTAAAAAATAAATATTGCTGCCAAAATCACCATCTACTCCCCTCCCCGCCCATCCCCCAAGTCATCAAAAATAAGCAAAGAGAAGACCGCTCGCCTCCTTTAGTGGTTACGAAATACTTGAATAGTCCCGCCGTTGATTTTTTTGTCATCACGTGATATCGTTTGTTGCCGTTTATGGAAACAAACCCCTTGAGACTTAACGTATTCATAATGATTACAGATCATCTTGTGAGAATCGCTTCCTTTTTGTCCTGTTTATAAAATATATGACGGAAATTGAAATCACCTATAACACTGGTGAACAAAATTAGAATAATCTTTTGTAACATGGACAAAACAAGGTGGTTATCATGTAAAACGTACCCAAAAAGCCGAAAATAGCATTCGATTTTTTCTATCACCCACGGTTTTCTTGCAATAAGGAATTTTATTTGCTGCTTATACTCGTAAAATATAAGGATATGTGTGTAAGAGTACTAATAAACACTCGAATAAACATTAATCTCAGAATGTTGTTGTCGATGTTTTACGGCGACATGTCTCCATTTGCCTTGATACCGTTTTTCCGTAGCAGAAATGTCTCGGTGGAACCGTTCATCATGTTCCTCACTTACCGCACCTAAATTTTCCGGAAAAAACTCGAGATGAGAATTCTAAAAATGAATTTTTAGAGACATGTTACATCCCATTCGTTTATAAACATTAATTAGTTCACTCACAATATCTTCATAATTGTCCGGCTTCACATTGCCTAAAAAAATTGCAGTAACTGATTTAAAAGCATTCCAAGCTCGTAATTCAGTTTCATGTAGGCCACTGTCAAATACATCATCCCTCTCGATTTTCCGTATTTGTGGACCCACAAATTTGCCCTCTTCAATGTTTGCCTCACTGTCCCGGAAATGTTTGTTTTAAATGCAGAAACCCTCTTCCATTTCGATCCATAGCTTTCACAAAAATTTTCATCAGTCCCAACTTAATATGCAAAGGTAGAAGCAACATGTTTGGGATCAACTAGTGGTTCATGAGCAATGTTTTGAAGCCCGGAGTTAATACCTGACGTAGTGGCCTCTCCTTCTGTTCATAATGACGATCTCGCGCACGAAAATAACAATATTTGGTATATCCCAGTTGCATTCCAAGAAGAAGGGCTATTACCTTCAAATCTGCACATATGGCCCATCCATATCCATTATAACGGATATGCTCTAACATAACTCGCATATCTTCATATGATTCCTTCATATGAACTGCGTGCGCTATAGGTTCAGATGGATATTTATTACCGTTGTGTAAGTATACCGCTTTTAAACTAAGCTTAGAGGCATCATTGAACAGGCGCAAATCATTTGGATCATGTTTCTGTCCTAACGCGTCAAACAAATTGTTGACGTCGGGGCAATATATCAACTCCCTTTCTTGACGGAAACAGTCTGTGAGGCGTTGTTGTTAAAAAGTAATGTCAACATCTCCGTGGAGAAGATTCCATCCTTTTAATCTTGACGCTAAAAGTTCTGACTTTGATTTTGTCAGATTAAATTCTCGAACTAAGTCATTAAGTTCGCCCTGTGTCATCAAATGCGGCACTGTTGAACATCCGGGTAGGTTAAACAAAGGATCGGAAATTTTTACGCTTTCTGTACCATCACTTTCAGACTCGTTGGATTTTTCATCCAAAGATCAAGATTCTGGTGGAACTGGGATAGAAAGTTCATCACTATGCTTAACGGGCCGCAAAGCTGATAGCAAATTAAAATACTTAACAGTATGTTTCGATTTTGGTCCAGTACTTTTAATATTTGTGAGGCAAAAATAGCAATCAGTAGTATGGTCTCTCGGTTCTCTCTAAACCATTGGTACGGCAAAGGCCATTTTACGATTGTCGCCTCTTAACCAACCTGTTAACAACGTTAAACAAGTCTTACAACATACATATATGAGGGGCCCATAGTTTATCTTGGTCGCCAACTTTAATTACAAAATAAAGTTCGTATGCTTTCAACACAAGGGCAGTCAAAGTACGTTTTTGGGATTTAAAAGTTAGCTCTCTGCACACATAACAAAAACTGTTCGCACTATTTACACAATTTCTAGGCATTGTCTCAGTACTCTTCAACACAGAAAACGTAACTGACTCGGCTGCTATTAGGCTACTAATAAATGCAGTATACTCTCTAAACATAGATCTCGCATATAATAAACAGGAATAGACAGGTCTTAACATTATATATGTGCGTCATCACATAAACGCCGAGAAATGCAGCAATGTGAAATGTTACGTATTGTACTTCATAAAAGTAGATGTTACCGAATATCTGTGGGTGATAGAAAAATTCTGTTTTTAGATTTGATTTAAGGGTCTCAAAAATTCTTATGTCACAAATCCTATGTTTATCAGTGTAGATGGCACTTGATACTGTACTATTGGTTTTCGAGGTCTTTACCGTAATCTCAGCGGCGCAGCGGCGGAATCTTGATGATCAGAACACTTTTATAAATCCGGAGTGTCGTAGAAACATGATTCGCAGATGTAGACCATACCTGTGGCCTTCTCGATCTCTGGACTCAAACCTCCGATATATTTCGAATCGAATTTCATAACTATTCAAAGCACTTTATTACCAGGAAACACGCTATGTATCTTTTCAGTATATCACCATATATGCCGCCTATCTTTTTGACTCTGTGAAACTATACGCTTCTGCCCTGCATTATATGTTATCCCAAGAACCAGTGCTAACGGAACAAGTCATTCTGGATATCGCAAGCAATGGTACGAAGATCATCGAGACCATAATCAAGATCAACGGAACATACAAAAGTAGGTGAAGTAATGATTCAGTATGATTCGAAACCTAATAATTATAGGGTGATCCGCAATAAATGTGCCAAGAAGCTTTTTTGCTCAAGTGGTTCTTATGTTATATTATTGAAGTGAAGTAAAATATCTAAGCCTGCTTATAATTTGTATCGATAATATTGTTATGACGTCATTATTATTTTTCTGTGCGGCAGTAGGCGAAAAATCTGACAATCTCCACGTACTAATCGTTTGCCAGCTGATCTTCATCTTCATCCCATATGATGAAGATGACATGACAGACAGATGTCCAACTACCAAAAACCCAGCAACTTCAATACAAAGTATTTAAGGAGCAACTATAGCTTTCTATTCATATACAGGGTGATTCACAAGTCGTGACCAAAAATAAATCATTTTAAAGGGGGTCTTATGTAACATTTTTTCCTCAAGGGCTTCATTAAAAAGGTAAGGGATGTTGAAGTTTAAAAATAAAAAACAATTTTCTTAATATCTTTGAAACCGTCAACTGAAATGAACTAAAATCTGTCTTTACTTAAAATTAACGTACACCAGTGGCGGAGATACAGGGGATTAGTAGCATTATTTTTCCAAATAAAAATACTACGCCACTATTTTTTCTTTCTCGCAGTTTTTCGAATTTTACCTTCAATTTGCAACACATAATTACTGTTGTTTTTCCGTAGAGTGCACTGCTTTCGTAAAAATAAAATAAAAACAAATTAGATAATCAAGGCTTTATTCCAATAAATGTTCAAAAAGACCACCATTCTGACGGATATACCAATTGTGTCTATAGAACATCTGTGGGAGCATGTTAAAACACAACTGACAAGTAAAACTTTTAAAAACAGGAACGAATTATTTGATTATGTAAAAAATATTGGCTAAATATCCCAACAGACGTCTGTAAAAAATTGGTGTCTTCTATGAGCAGCAGATGTCAGGCAGTATTGAATGCTAAAGGCTATGCTACAAGAGTATTTTTCAAATCTTTCTGTACAGTTATTGTATTTAATTTTGTAATAAAAAATATGTTTCCTTACTTTTGTCGTCTCATTTTTGCTCATAAAATAATATGCAGGTATTTTAATGCTAGTCTGTAGTACCACAGCAAACACAAATTGTCATTTGTATCCTCAAGACTGTAAGCAAATTATATGAAAAAAAAAATAGTCCCGAATGATAAAGAATAAAAACTTAGCGTACTTTTTAAGTTTACTAATAATGTTTCCAAACTTTTGGCCGCTACTGTATGCATAAAAGCCATTGTTGGTCTCCGTTCCGGCTGCTAGGTGTCTACTGTCTTGGTGGTGCGACATATGCCTGTGTATTGCGCAGATCGACGAGCAGCTATGAGCCGAGAGCCTAGTGTCATCTTCATCTTATGGGATAAGAATGAAGCTGGGCAAATCGTTACTAGGTAGAGATTGTCAGATTGTTCGACTAATTCCGCATAGTATTTTGAGTTTTTCAACAAACCATACCCACTTGTTTGCTTTCCGTTCATCTGTTTCCAGAAATACTAGACCTAGAGACCGCCCTGATTAGTTGCTAATGTTCACGAGACAGCGCTGTCTACGGTTGGTCGTGGATACAGAGGTGGAAAGTAAACATGTCCATTTCAGCCATTATTATCATTGCTTTTTGATGTTTATTAAAATGTTTACATTCAGGATATGGGATCTTTCTTAGGGTTAATTCTCAAAATGAGAAAAAGTGGCGCCGGCGTACATCATTCTCATTTCTAAAGATGAAGTTACACGCCCACTGTCGCTATCACTGATGATGATGATTGATATATTCTAATGATAGTTATATTTTTCAGGTATAACCGGAGCAATGATGAAGTTAGATAAAAACGGCGACTCTGAGGGCAACTTCTCAGTAATAGCTTATACACATCCTCCTGATAAAGTCGTACATGATAATTTCACGTGTTCCTTTCAAATGAGGCCTGTCGTTCAGTTCAAATCGGAAATTGATGACAGTACGTTACCAGTAAGTTACATGAAAAATTCACAGAAAATTATAGTTCTGTACATACCGGGTGTTTGAAATTCGATTTTCACTATTGAGATTTCGGAAACGGTAAGAGATACAAAGTCGGTTAAATTGGGGAAGTGTTGCGAATTTATGTGACTAAGAAAATTGTACCTAAAAGGTGCAGTATTTCTGGAAGAAAGAAACCAAAATTTTCCCAGCCTCATTTGTATTTGTTCCTGACTTTATTTGAGACGGGATTTCAAAATAAGAAGTACATTAACATTGCCACTTTTCGTCCTCAACAAGATGGCATAATTAAATCTTTAATTTGACGTTTCTTCTCTTGTCCTCAATCATCAACTTCATTTTTTCTTATCGACGCCATATTGGATAGTTGGACAGATGAATAGAGTGTTTAATTCCGATTACAAAAATGCATAATGTTATACAGTCACATTGCCAAACCTTAGTCATTCCCAAAAAACAGATTTTCCTCAGTAGGCTTTGAAATTATCTGATAAGTAAGTGAACAGACCATATTTCCGATTTTAAAGATACGATATTTTACATATAATAACGTGGATTGATATTATACAATATACAGGGTGGCCAATATGTAACTGCCTGATTTAAATTGCGCGCCATTTTTGATACACACATTTCAGTAGGTGGAGCCGTAGTAGTTCTTTAAAGCACATGTGTCCAAATCATCATTGAGAGCTACACGATTGTACAACGCGTTCGTACTGTTAAAACGTTTTACTTGAATAATGAGTCGATTATTGCAACGATTCGGAAGCTACGACAAGATTTGTGTCAAAATACTTGTCTAGGTCGGGCCGTGTTCGAAGTGTTCGTACTCCGGAAAATATCGAGAGAGTTCGTGAAGTGTAGTGGAGCGCCCTGAGACGTCTACCAGACATCATTCTCGAAAACTGGGTATTCGTCGCACATCATTATGCACTATTTTAAAAAAAGACTTGTATTTGCGTCCATACAAAATTCAGTTAACCCAAGAATTACAGCCTAGTGACCATGAAAGTCGCCGACAAGACAGTCATGCAATATTGCAGCTTAATACCCAAAATAATGATTTTTACCGACAACTGATAATGAGCGATGAAGCCCACTTCGATATGAACGGATTTGTTAGTAAGCAGAATTGTCGTATCTGAGCATTAGAGAACCCTCGTGTCATCCATCAACGACCACTACATCCTCGTCGAGTCACAGTCTGGTGCGATGTTTGGCATGGAGGAGTCATTGGTCCTTACTTTGAAGACGCTGCAGCTAATTCTCTTACTGTCACTGGCGAGCCATACCGTGATATGGCGAAACACTTTCTGACTCCTCAAATCCAACAATTTAACCTGCAAAACATGTGGTTCCAGCAGGACGGAACAACTTGTCACGCAGCTAGGGAAACAATGAATCTTTTGCGAACAATATTTCCGGGACGTTTAATTTCTCGATTTGGTGATGTCAACTGGCCACCAAGGGTACCAGATTTAACAGCTCCTGACTTATTTAGAGCAGCTGAAGAACAATATTACGGAAGCGATTGAAAATATTCCTCCCGAAACCTACCAAAAAGTGATGGAAAATGTAATCAAGAGGGCTCAGGTTTGTGCAGCTTCTAGAGGCGGACATTTGTCTGATATTATTTTTCATACATAGTTTCTAAGTTTTCAATAAAAGATTTTATTTCATTTCACAAATATTCAAGATACACACCAGTCAGTTACATATCAGTCACCCTGTACAACTTCAAATGACCGAAAAAGCAGTCTTGGTATAGTTGGCCAAAACTCATAATGCTAAAACTTTTTCATATTATTTAAGGCTAGTATTAAAAATATTGAAGTAGAATTTTATGTAACTGATAGAAACATTCTAGATTAAATAAAGGCCTCGACGATGATGCAGCTTCCTAAGCACCTTTCATGTCGGCGATACCTAAACAGATGCACACATATGGTATTGCTTTCAAATACCATTAATCTACAGCTGAGGTGACATGTAGAACGCCTCCATCGTTCTAAAATAACACTTGTTATAGTCGATACATGGACAAATTATCTGAATGACCTTTAAACACGTCTCTCAAAAACTGGAGCATTGGCGATTTAATCAGATAAACATGGATAAACTGTCATTTTCAATGCCAACTAATAAAATATTAGTTTTTTGAAATAAGTTCGGTTAGACAATGTCAATGTATGACATATATTTTTGAAATCAGAACAAAAAACTCTATTCACCTGTATACAAATCCAATATGACATCCACACTAATGTAAAGTTGGTTATTGAGGATAAGAAAGGAAACGTCAAATTGAAATTCTACTTATGCCACCTTTATTTTTAGTTATCCAAATGCACAACTTGGCCCCCATTTAATCGATTTAGTATCTCTTACCGTTTACGAGATTCCAAAGATGAGAGTCCAGTTTGAAACACATGAGCGAAAACAGATGAGACACTGCAGCATTCTTGAAAAATGAATGTAAACAATATATATCAGCCAACGAATTCGAATAGATTAGAAGAAGCTAAGCTTGTGTGTTTACACTGGTTTGTTTGTCATCAAAATTGTGCAATTTTGGAGCATAATTTTGGCTAATTTGTCTACCATTGCGTATCAAAGTGACATGTCAATACATCAACGTACATTTTTGTCTCGCTCAGTTGATGTTAATAAACATGGATAAATTAAACGATGCAAAAAAACGAAAGTAAATGATTATTATTAACGATACAATAATTCTGCTTAACTCGTGGAAGGTGATCAATACAAAACATTCTCTTCATCAAACAGCAACAATGGCGCAATACCTGATACTGGAAATAGTGGGACACCAAATAGTTGTCGTGATTCGAGTAGATTTTTGGCTAAAAGTCAATACCTAATTGAGCATATAATATTGAAATTTTTCTCTGGAGAGGATATCCAAGTAGCCAATCATACTGAGTGTATTCACACAGTTGAGCCGATATCTATCTGTGCTGTGATGTGAATAATAATGATAATAATAATTGGAATTTCGTAGATTTCGGTTTTCTATATCATCATGTATAGTCATTCGCTGCACAGTACAAACCCAGTCTTTTAATTTTCGTCTAAATTTTGGTCCAAATTTAAATATTTTTATTTCGTTTGGTACTACATTATCTAATTTATCTGCTAGGAATTTAAATAATTTTTTGAATAATGTTTTGTGTGGTCTTTTTATGTTCGATCAGCCTTCTCGAAATCGTGTGGTATTCTGGTGTTTATGTTTTTTTTTTCATTACAATGCTTATGGTATAAGGTGGTGGCATGTAAGAAATAAAGTTGTCTAGTATCAAGTATCCCTGTTTCCTGAGATATTTATTAAGTATGGCAAAGAAACGAAAGTAAATATTTATTAACGATTCAGCATACGAACTATTCTTTTTAATTCGTGATTTTGGAAAGATGAAAAATGCTCTTCATCAAACAGCAGCAATAGCGGAATACCTGGTATTAGAAATAGCGGGATACCTTGCTTGAATCCTACTCGGTTTTTCTAAACATATAGTTGCTGTGATCCAAGCTGATTGTTGGCTAAATGAAAATACGTATTTGAGCATAATATGGAACTGACAGCTACTATATCTTGTCAGTATATGAAAAAGTTTAGCTTCTTAATTAGAATCTCGTAGCACTATAATGTGAACCTAAAATGACTATTTATAATGCGGAAGTAAAGGCATTTCCTAAGAACTAAAAATTAAAGTACACAAGGTAAAAGCCCAGTGTTGAAATATGTGCCCTTTCGCAACGCCAATAGCTATATTAATACTTGGCAAAAAAAGATTGCCCTTGTTCAGCTTAAACCAACGAGCTTAAACTGCTTTTTACATTCCACAGACACAATTACTATTTTCGGTAATAGGCAATATTTTTGCGTTTCGATATTTTAATTTTTTTATATTATTTTATAGCGCATAAGTATAAAGTAAGGCTGAAGAAAGCTTTTTGTAGCAATATAGACTATAAATAAAAATACATATCTGATTAGGATTATATGGAACCCACGCACTTATATGTTTTCGGAAAAAAAATAATTTAATGTGAAATTTCAACACCTGTCAAACTGGCAGCTTAAGCCTGATCGTCTTGCAGTATGAACGTGCATCCTGACTACTGGCTACGTAATTTTGGTTCAAGACAAATCGTATGTTTGCCCTTTCTATCTTGTCTGAATTCGTTGATATCATACACACCTTTAATAATTATGAGACTCTTGAATTACTAAACTGTTAGATATTTTTCGAATAAATTACCAAAATTATGGACGTCATATATTTTCGGTAGTATTATACCACCGAAACGTCTCCGAAAAGTTCAACGGCACTATTACGTTGGCGCCCCTGGATGTGCTATTTAATTTTTACGACACCACTACTGCTCATTAGCATGCTAATTGTGACTAATCAAAATACCATGCAGAATGTTTCGCTCACAATATTAATTTATAAATAGTTAAAACCCGACGAGAGATTGATGCTTAATAACGTATCGCTGTATTTTATTAGATTTTATGTGCTACGCGAATATCACGTATCTTTGCATACTATAAATTAATTAAGTTGGATGAAATATTGGTATTAAAAATGTATGAGTTTGGGATCTGACATTATAGGCTAGTTAATAGAGATTATTGTCTTACTAAAATGTTTACATGAAGCCTATATTCGACTCTTTGGATAGGAAGTGAACATTGGTTAAAGTAAACTACCTAAAGATAGCCAAACATATACTCGTACTGTTTCGGCATCTAAAAATGAACCTGAAAGATGCTAGTGTCATCCATGACACAGTAGTAGTACTTTGAAAAGAGTTAGAGTGGTTCTGCTACTGTCTAATAGATGGCGCTAGGATCTTCAATCCCTTTTGGGCGCCTCTCTAGTGCATATTTTAATTGGGTTATCTTTGTCAGCCAGTCTTTGCGCGATCTTGTCGCCATCTATGAGACAGTAATAGAACCAGACGCTAAAACTCTTTTCAAATTAGATTCCTAAATTCAATTTTGTGTTATGTTACTATCTCGTAGGCGGCGCTAGGATATGTCAGATCCTCTTTAGATGCCGAATACGGATATGGTTGGCTGTCTCCAGGTACAATAATCAATTAACATAAGGGCATGAATTAAAAAAATGGCGTCAAGCAGGTTGACTCTGCTCTTCCTAGACAACGCCGTCTTCAGTTCATAAATGGATAAAATCAGCTCAGTTTAAATCATCTAGCAATACCGGGGCTGAGAGCATATAAATATACTAAAAAATGGAGATATAATTTCCTCCATCCCCTAATTTTTACCCGAAAATTTTTTTCAAAAATGATCTGGATCCTCTCAAACATCAAAACACGAAGTTTGAGCGATTTTTATTTTTTCGTTTTGGCCTTTTCATCCTTGGCATAGCAGTAAATTTGTGTAAAAATGTCATCCAAATCAGAGCAGTTATAGAGTGGCCAAGGATTAGCGGACAGAGAGACCTACAGACAGACAGACAGAAGGACTGAAATGAGTGAGATGGTTTTTCGTGATGAAATATCTCATTTTTGAATTTTTTCGCGATTACAATACTTCCTCGCCCAGTGGCGTAGAAAGTAAAAATCAATGCATTTAATCATTTTTTTCCTGTAAATGATAATGCGATATATAACTGCTATCTTTAATAAACACTTAACTGGTGTAGCAACACTGTTCGCAGCATCACTTGGCCTTCTCGCATCGAATGTTCTTTTCACTCGTACCAATAGTTTCAATATCAGTTTTTACAATCGTCGCATATCAACTACTCGTTCAAATCGTATGTTTGTGAATGTGTAAAGGTTGTTAGGAATAGAAGCCCTAGAGACTATTGTACAGGTACATAGATACAAACATTCCCCTCGATTACTGTCCAGTTTTAACCTCGCACAGAAGTGGCATATTCACGGTCAACTTTGCAACTTTTCTCGTACTTTATCATATTTGGGGATACATTTACGTTTTCCTTCTAGTCTTATTCTCCAAACAAATATATCTATTGGCCAAACGGAGTGAGGCCTAAAGATGAACCTAGTTGTGGATTTGACAATGAACTCTGTCCAAAAGCTGATACGCAGTTGAACAGTGTCGTAGCAGCAGGGGTATTAGCTGTAGCATTGTTTTGTGCAGCTGTAGTTACTGCTAGCATCTATAGGTAAGAGGATATGGAGCTTAAAATACCTTAGGAAAACCTTTTTTTGTATACAGCAGCAAATATTAAAAAATAAATTTCAAAATATATATTTTTTAAGTTGTAAAAAACAAAACAAACCATCTACCGGAATAAGACAGCACAAAGTGCCATCTTTCTCCAGAATCGGTCGTTGCGAGAGTAATCAACAGCTATCTGTTGGAACAGTATTTCAGTTCGCGTTTGACAGTCGAGTCACCGCTGTGACCGAAAAGTGCCGCCGATACTGGCGGTATAGTAGATGCGGTTTACTCGTCATTGAAAAACTAATAATACTGCTTTCGACTCTCAGACCACAGACCGTAAACCATCAGCACAGTGTAGGCAGGGATCTAAGTAGGACAACCAACTAAAGCAGAGCATATTATCCTCTGTAGGAGGTATGAGGTCTATCCATATTCGACAGCAAGAGTGGCATCTATTAAAATAATTGACCCCGGATTGAATAATACTGATGATTGCTAAAAAGCACTAACAGCTGTATACAGTTGACCGTCTATGGTCGGCGGGAGAAAGCAGTATTACTAAATAAATCAATGCATCTTTTTTTAATTTTTTTCCCGGATATTTGCCGCGGTGTAACAGAATATTGTTTTCATTTATGCCAATATATAAAACTAAATTTCCTCTTTTAGGAAATGGAAAATAGAACAGGAGATTGAAGGTCTTTTGTGGAAGATTGATCGAGAAGAAATTCACGAAATAAATGAAAGAGATTGTATAGTTGCTAGTCCTAGTAAGGTGAGTTTATATGTTTCATGGAACTATTTTCATAACTCTTAAACAAATTCTATAATCATAGGTTCTGACATTCCCCATGGACAAGATAGCAAGATACAGGGTTTTGTATATGTCTACCCTATTAATGATACTAAATAAGGATAAAACATGAATATTGTTCAAATAACGCTATAGTGAGATAGGATTACCCTCCTAATACATTACACACAATTTTCAGTGTCAAACTTCCTTAAATTCAGCGTATTTTCAAGTTTCTTAACCGATTTCACTTCAAACAAAGAAACCAAATTTCGTCCAACAAGAGTAGTCTAACAAAAATTTCTCAAAGGAGGTGATTCATGTAAACTAAATATCTTATTCACAGATGCAATAGATATTTCAAAAAGACAGTGGCGTAGAAAACAATGTTCTTGTTTCTTCGCCACTTGTGTTATCAGGCACGAACATTTGTGTGTGCTTTGGCTTTGCTATCAGTACTACATGTACAAAATTTATTTAAAGTTGATATTTTAACATACTCCGACGATATACTATTTGATTTCGAAATTTAATCTCCAACAGCCCCCAGTAAGGGGGAATTTTACGACCCGTGTTTATGAGAATATTTCCTGTTAATTTTGAAGCTACATACTTTCTACCCCAGAAATGTCATCATAATATTCTGACTAATTCTGTATAAAACGTTATTTAGAAATTATACTTTATTTATGTCATATGCATCACCATAATGCTTCTTGCTATCAACATATGACGAAATAAAAACATTTGGACCTTTACAATCTTCCCAGTAGTTACCAAAGGTAGTCCACGATCGTCAATATTATGGAGGAAATTTATAGTAAATCACCATATTATAGCAAAAATCTGCATCCAGAGTGGCCCAACGAAAAGGTCGCACCCCTCCTGGTATATTTTGGAAAAAAAACGCTTTTTATTTTTATATTTTCCATGAAGTTGTATATAATAAAGTTTATACCTATCTGCAATCGTTGTCAAGCTATTCGAGTTTATAATAAAATTCTAGAAATTGTGATAATAAGGAATTGTATGGTAAAAATAATAATAAATATTGTTCCTAGAGTAACAAGACTTTATTTTAAAATTAAAAACAAGTCTCCGAGCATTAAAAAAACAACTTTCAGTTTACGCGCACATCAGAGTTGAAGTAAAAATTAATATGCTATAAAGAGATAGGTCAATGTAGTAATAAGTGCTGAAAGTGGTGTCCATTTACCTCCATGCAATAATGATGATTTTGTTCGATTCTATTCGTCCGCTGACGAAGATCTTGAAAGTAATCTGGCTTCGTACTAAAACTTTACTTTTCAAATGCCCCCAAAGAAAGTAATCTAAAGGACTTAGGTCTGGAGATCTCGGCCGCCACTCGCTGGGGCCTCGTCTGCTGATCCATTGATTCGGAAATGGGTGTCCAAAAACTGTGGTACTGGAGCCACATGGTGCTGCGGTGCACCATGTTGTTGAAAATGAATGTAATTTTCATTATAATTAACGTCATTTTCTATTATTTCGGTAATTCGTGGCTCTATTGTATTTTCTAACATGTCCAAGTACGTTTCCAGGAATAAAGATTGGTCCTACAATATGATTTCCGAAAATGCCGGCCCACACATTTATTTTTTCTTAGGATATTGTGAGTGTACCTTTTGAAACAAATGTGGATTCGAGTCACTTCAATGTCAACAATTATGTGTATTTACAGCACCATGTAAATAGAACGTATACTCTTCCGAGAAACAAATATTAAATAACAGATTTGTATCGTTGATTAAACGGTGGGAGATTAACCTTCTATCAAAATCGTCTTCATTAAGCTCATGGATAAGTTTTATCTTGTACGGGTGAAATTTATTGTCTTTCAGAATTCCTTGTACTGTTGTTACTTTCTTGAATTGAATAAGTCATTGTTCAATATTTATCACAACTATGTAGGTAACTAGAAAATATGAAATGAAAGACATATATGACATACGATGCCACTGACTGATGCTAAATGTTCTTCCATGATTATTATTTTTTGCGTGCATTATTATCAGTATTAAGTTAGTCGAATTTTATTATAAACTCAGCTTCACAACGATTGAAGCTAGGTATAAACTTTATTATACAAAAGTTACTAAAAACTTCATAGAAAATCTAAAAATTAAAAAAGGGAGTTTCCATTCAAAACTCTAAAATGTAACACAATATCTTTTTTTGGATCACCCTGTGTTGTAAATTGATTTGTCCGAGCGATTTTTAAAAAATATACCAGGAGATACAAATGGGTGCGACCTTTTCGTTGGTCCACCCTGTATACATTGCTGACCTACACTCTAGGCGCTGAAGAAAGAAACTAAACCCAAACAAATACACGCATATTGCTCGTGAGTGAGTGTTTAGGCGCAGGAGACATTACAGGACCGCATCAAGATATTATGGGTAGTCATCAAAAATTTCATACAAGATAATTATTATCTTTTACAGTAAATTTCAGTTAGAGATTCACAAATGAGTTAACTACACTTTTTAGTTATTAGTAAGTAAGCTGCGCGCACTCATTCAGAAGAGGAACTTGAATCTTCTGAATCGTTTAAATGAATTATTAGAGGTTCAATTTGGGTATCGATGACATTGTCCAAATCCCACATTTTGACCTCAACCTTCTCCCGAACATGGCGGATACAGTTTTTCCATTCCTCTGCCGTAACTCTATTGACTGCGATGTGAAAGAGATTTTTAACATCAGAAAAGTATTATTATTCGACGCCACGTATTGCTTTATGTTGGCCCAAATCAGCTCAATAGGGTTCAGCTCACAATGGTAGGGTGGCAGTCTCAAGACAGTTTTATTTTGTTTTTTGGCCATTTCGTCGATCATTTTAAAATCGTATTTGTATTTATGTCTATTGACTATACTTATCAAAATCACCCTTGACCATTGTTTCATCAAAATCGATCTGTTTTGAGGCCAGCCATTGTTGTATGTTTGCTTTTTTAGTTGCCATTGTGGGAATTTTTTCTATTTTTCTAGAATGGTACGGGGCATTATCCAGTACAATAACAGCGTTATTCTCCAGCTTTAGTAACATTTTGGAGAACCAATTTTTAAAGGAATTGCCGTCCATCTCCTCATGATAGTCCCCTGTCTTTTTTGATTCAAAGGCCCACAGTGCTTCGGGAACAAAGCCGTCTTCACTACCTACGTGACAAATGATCAGCCGTTTGCCTTTTCCTGGAAATAAATTATTCCTTACACTATGGATTGATTAAATTTGAAGGAATGAGGCAATTGAGTTCATTTAGCTGAATTTAAGAGTCACGGAATGCTGATCAAAAACTGAAAAACGTAGAAAATTGAAGTTTGCAACTTCTCAAAACCCATTCAAAGCAAATTGACTGCACCCAAAAATGATAATAAATTTCAAAATAACGCTTAAAAGAGGGTCGAAGTTTTTTTCCTAATGACTACACTGCGAATGCACCATTTTTGGAGAATATCACACATTATCTGCTATCACAGCATATTATTTGCCCGAATTTATCAAAATTAAATTTCCGGATAGATGAAGGAGCTTACCTGCAGGATTTTTCAATCCAGCCGAAAGACCGTCTAGAAAAGCCTGCCTTGATGATGTTACTGATTTGTCGACCCAAACTTTCGCTTGAGTATGTCCAGCATTCACCCACGTTTCGTCCAAATAGTAAATTTTTCTTTTTTCATCGCGTAACTTCCGAATCTTCCTAAGGTATTCCCTTCTCCACACAACAATTTCTTCTTTCTCTATTAACATACTGTTTCTTCCCCGTTTCAAGAATCGAAAATTAAGTTCCTTCAAAAGTTTTCGGAATGTGGTTCTTTTAAATGATGGAAGATCCTCATCAGCATTAACTAATCTTAATATCTTATCTACTGTAGGTATCTCATTTCGGAAGAAAAAATTATGCACTTTCCTCCTGATGGCAGTTCTGTCAAAGTCATCTACTCCGTCCGTTATCCTTTTTCTTGCAGGATACGGTTTTGGCTCAGAAAGTGAGTGAGTGCTCCTATATTCCTTAATGATCCTATAAACACTGGACCGACATACTCCAGAAATATGTGCTACCTTACATATAACTTCGTACACGACCAAATCGGGTTTTTCTTGAATTTGGTTTTTGTATATATTTAATATTATTTGTTTTTCATTTGCACTTAATTGTAGCTTCTTAGCCCTTTTTTTGGGTGGGGTTGCGCTGATGTCAACCACTTCGTCGGCTGTATCTGTGTCAGACATCGTATCTTAGGCAATATATAAACAAAACGTTCCACTCGCGAAAAACGAGTATACGCTACTGAATGCGTAATGCGTATGCAATGCAATCCTGTGCGTGAATTAACTGTTAGATGCCTGTCGTGTCATCTACAATCACGTTTACAAGTCCAAACCTGTGCAGATTCGTAGAGCGCCGACGACTGCTAGTGACCTTGAATTTGTCTGTAGATCGATGTTACTCCAGTCAATTTGAGTTCAAAGTGGATGTTTTCTAAACCAATTTGTTGTTCCTACATCAAAAATATATCGATGATGTTTTGTACTGGGAGCTCATGAAAGATCAAGGTAACTTATTTTAACAGTCATCCTTTTTCTAGTCTCAAGATGACACGAAAAAGGGTCTGTGGATTCACTAGAAATACACTGCCGAGGATGTTTAGACCTAAAGTGACTGGAGTATATCCGTGGATGCTTTCGAGGGATCTGTTCACGTGCTGATCACTGTTTACGTTTAATGTATTTCTTCAGCGCCCAGAGTTTAAGTCGTTTTGCCTCTTAGATTTTCAGGTGTATAAGAGAGAGAGAGAGAGATAGAGAGGAGAGAGAAGCGTAAGTCCCGCTCTGTCGTTGCTAGGCAACGTGCTGTCGACGCTTATATTGCGGGCACTTTCTAACATGCTTCTCCCTCTTTCTCTCTTGCACTCATGAAAATCTAAAAGGGAAAACGATATTGGCCAGCAGTGTATAATTCCAATGGTTTCTATCCTTTTCCAGCTCAGCTTGGTGAGTGCCAGCGTGGCTTCGTACGAATCCAGGGGCGGACTTCAAGTGTTCGCGACCACCGCCCAATATCGAGGCGTGGTGGTCAGAATAAAAGAATTGACCTTCAATAGAAAGAAGGACATTTCCAGGGAGGTGATGAAGGAGATGAGGCTTTTGAGGGAATTGAGGCACGACAACGTCAACTCGTTCATAGGCGCATGCGTGCTGCCCAATTCGTTGTTTCTAGTCACTGATTATTGTGCCAAAGGAAGTTTGTATGTAAGTTTACACTACATTCACTATTTTCCTCCATAGTTCAGTTATAATCAAAACGTAACGCATTTCCGCAAATTGTTTTTGTACACCAGCTTCTATATGCAGTTTGTCATATGTAGCATTGCGAACACACCTTTCTGTGATATGCTTTGCACCTAAGTAAAGAAATACATATCAGCTGTCACCCAAATCATGTCATCATTTCTTTTTCGTTCTCGAAAAGTAATTGAAATAAAAGTATCCTGGGACCACTTCTTTTTATTTTATACATAAATGATTTACCTGCCATAGTCAAAAAATGCAAAATTCAGATTTTCGCCGATGACACTATGATTTATATAAGTACTAAAAATATTCAGTCTGGTATCTCTTATATAAATGAAGACTTGCAGCTTGTCTCAAAATGGTTAGCATCTAACAGACTAAAATTAAATGCAAGTAAAACGAAAGCCTTGTTAATCGGAAAAAACAATGTACAAATGTTCAACTGAATATTGATGGTGAAGATATTGAATTCGTAGAAAATTTTAAATACCTGGGGGTTTTTGTTGACTCTCGATTAATTTTTGATATTCATTATGAAAAAGTTATAAATAAGATTAGTAGTAAAGTGGGATATTTATCGAGAGTTTTTGGATGTCTGAGTTCATATAGCAGTAAAATTATCTATAATACCATCATTCTTCCAAATTTCTTGTACTGTTCGACTATTCTATATTATTTAGCAAATAATTCCATTTTTGAAAGACTGCAAATTTTACAAAATAAATGCATGAGAATAATACTAAATAAAGATAAATATACTCCACTTAAGCAAATTAAAATGGCTCAATGTAAAAAATTTTATCAAATATCTTGTAATGATATTCATTTATAAAGTAAAAAATAATATATTTCCATCAAGTCTATCTAATTTAACATCATCAAATGTCGACCATCATTTACATAATACCAGAAATAAATATGACTTCCATTTAATGACCAAAAAGTATAACATATGCTACAAATCTGTATTCCATCAAGGGTTGATTGAATATAATAAATTATACTCGAAGATAAAAGACCAGAAAACTTTGACAAAATTTAAAGTAAAATTGAGAAATCACTTGTTAAATCTACAATTAGGTTGCCCAGCATTTACATCATACACCATATGGATTGAATTTACTAGTTCTAAGTTGTTTACAATTATTCTGTTTATGTAGCCAAATGTGCTAAATAAATCCTTCTACTACTACTACTAAAAAACTAAAATAAACTTGGCAAGATTGAGCCACTTACCACACTGCAAGTGTCACTGTAAACCATTTTCCTGAGCTGTTTTGACAAATGTTGATGTCTCGTTCACCAGAATTGCCACTGTGGATGTTTTGCTGAGGGGAGGCTTCAAGAACAAAATCTATTTTAATAATCCGAAAAAAATATCAATAATTTAAAAAAATACACGTTGCGAACTAAGCAAAATTGAATCTGTATCAGCTCGTTATGCAAAATTCTATTAACTGAGTGCTTTCAAAGATATTTACATGACGTAACGTTTAAAAACTAAAAACCGCACATTTTCGATATAAGATTTTTCCTAAAATTTCTAATATTTTTTAAGGTACTTTGGAAATCTTAAATCGTCCTAATACTTATTTGCGTGACTGTAGTTCCACGTTAGTCCGGGAAGTATCTTCGCATCTTCTCCGAAAATTTTTCTGATTAATTTTTTTTGCATAATCTTATTCAAAAAGGATCCCTTTCAATCTGCAGTCGTCAGACCCAAAATTGCGTCAAGGATTAATTAAACAGTTTTTAAACAAATTTCAAAAAATAGTTTTTCACTCCGTATGAAAGTTCTTTCAGTTTTTTTATCATTCTGAAAAAAAATCTTATGTACCTGTCTCTAAAGTTGATAGTTTTTGAGATATAAGCGGGTTAATTTGTGAAAAAATACAAAATATGCAATTTCGACCACTGAAGGCAATATGAAAGAAAAAACGAAAATTTTAATGTTGCCCTAAATATTCTTCAAATATCTATTAACAAAATCATAAGCATTTTTGGAGATGGCCCGAGAAGGATGCAACATATGGCCGGAGTAGAAAAATGAGATCTTGGAATTTGTTTAAAGAAATGTTAATTCAATTTTTGACAAAATGCTTAAGCAGTTTTGGGCCTGGTAACATGTAGATTAGTTAAAATGGATTACCATGCAACTCGTAAGACGTCACAATGATGTGTATTCGCCTTTATAATTTTTCCTTTTTCCACAGGATATTATAGAGAACGAAGATATAAAACTAGACAAGATGTTCATAGCATCGTTAGTCCATGATCTCATTAAGGGAATGTTGTACATACATAATTCGATGTTGATCTGTCACGGGAACCTCAAATCTTCAAATTGTGTGGTAACCAGCAGATGGGTGTTGCAAGTCACTGATTTTGGATTGGCCGAGATGCGTCATTGCGCTGAGAATGATATGACTATCGGCGAACATCAGTATTATAGGAGTAAGTCTGACAAAGAAAAGTAAAATTTACAATGATTCATGATTGTGTGCCTAAAAAGAAATCTCCGCGGAAGTAGAGGACACCTAAACGAACCCACTGGAAATTGATTTTCATAAGTAACATTTGAATGGCATATACGATTTCTGGTGTTTATAAGTGAACCTATACCACCCAGTAGGCTGTTTAATTTAGCTCGGAATATTTTGTTTGAATGTGGCAACTGATTATTCTCCGAGATGAACCAGGTGAAGGATGGTGTCAGAGTGCAGTGTTGTCAAACTCCACGGTTTTGCTTTCTTAGATCGACAATTCGCTTTGGAAGCTGAGTATCTAGTCATTTTAGTTTAAGTTGAATAAGTCTTGAAAATACAAATTCCAACAAGTAATTCCTGAGCTTAAGCAGACGATAGACTATGTAGGCCTTTTCATGGTTTTTGAGGGATCACAGTAAAAGTACAGGAATCACTTTCGTATATCGATCTTCCTCTCACATACATATATGTACTCGGCGTATATGTTCGGACGTTTGTTTGTGAATGCTCCCAGACGTGAACTTTTTTGTTTTGTCTCACCGCCTTGAACATTTTCTCGTCAACCTGAGTCTTCCACATTTATGCTTGTCACTGGTCAGTATGACAAAAACCGCGAAAATTAAATGACTTTCTTGACTTTGTTAATGCATTTTGTGATGAAATATTTAGTATATCTAAAATAGACGCTAATATGGATGGCGGATTTAAATGCAATACATAATTTAAGCAAGCATTGTTTAAGTTACATCTTGTATGACAGCATTACGGGCCGCCTATCACCTGGCATGGTTGAAGCTTACGACAATAATAAGGCGATTGGATTGTATCAAGAATTCCAACTTCTAGATGTTTTTCATTATTTATCCTCGCCGAAAAAATCGTAAACAAAACCAGAAAGTATTCGAGGAATACTACCTACCTATTGGATAAGTCTAAGATTGTCATTCAAGGGGTTGTACCACCGTGGGGAAAGATGTGTTTAAGCTATTTTTTATAAAAAGATGCCAACTTGCTTATGTTCTATATAAGTTCAAAGGATTTGCCTTATATTCTAGGACTACCTGCATGCTAAATTTATTACTAAATGACGACTTTTAGGCTTATTTTGGAAGGCTCCAGAGATCCTTAGAAACCCCCTACTCCATATTCGGGGAACGCAAAAGGGCGATGTCTACAGTTTTGCTATTATACTGTACGAGATCCTTGGTAGGAAAGGTCCATTTGGTCCTACAGGCTATGAACCAAGGGATATTGTGGAGCTTGTCAAAAGAGTACCTGTGGACGAAGAACCCTTCAGGTATTGTTTGTGTTTCAATGTTACATGTATGTAAACACTTCTTTTAAACAAATAGGAGTTTTCCTCAAAACAGCGTCGATTTCAAGGACTGGACGAATCATACTAGTTATATGCTTAAATTTATGTTTATTCTACTTGAAAAAGGCCACCCCGTCGTACAATAAACAGGCATTTAAACATGTATGTGGTTTGATCCGGCCAGACAATGACAATAAACATGATAAGTTTTAGGAGTTACATTAATATTTTATGCCTTCAAATATACTTATTTTAGACACATTTTCAACTTCTCTTTAACACTCAATGAAAAACAGCTTTTGAGAGTTGGCCAACATCTTATTCTGTTTTCAAGGAATGTAAGGTGAACTATCAAAGACAGACAAATTTAAACACTCGTTATTATGGAAACAAATCATTTCGGAACCCAAGTTTATATGAATTTTTTTCATATTTTTACTTGTTGAATTTGCCCTTAAGTTTTTCTGGTAGTATTCTGTATCTTGTGTAAAAACTAACGGAAATGAATGATAAATAAAAGAAAGTGATTTATATTTCATTTTTTTTTCTAATTCCGCTGGTTGATAACTAAATAATTATCTTGATTTTTCGCTTAGGCCGAACATAGACGCGCTATTGGATGCAGAAATCGGTGTGGATGATTACGTTTTACAATGTATGAAAGACTGCTGGACTGAAACTCCAGAATCTAGACCAGATTTTGCAACTATTAGAAGTCGGTTAAAGAAAATGAAGGATGGCAAAAATAAGGTAGGAATTACGAACTTTTAAGTATCAATAAAACGCAAACCCTGATTGGATATTTTCACACTCATACTCAAAATATTCTTAAGCACTTATCACAAATCCTTAGGCTATGAAAAGCTGTCTAATGTCATATTAAAGATTTTCTTACATTTGTACCTTTCCCTTTCATATTGAGATTTTTTTATTTTGCAGAATATCATGGATCAAATGATGGACATGATGGTAACATATGCTCACAACTTAGAAGACTTAGTTACAGAAAGAACTAGACTGCTGTATGAGGAAAAACTGAAAACTGAAGACCTCTTACATCGAATGCTTCCACAGTGAGTATTCTTTATGCCAGTGAACTCTTTTTATATTATATAATCTATATCACTTTCTAAACTTGTGTCATACTGACGAGTTCATATGAGAGCGAAACATCGCACGTGACTGAACGGTGGACAGAAAGCATTTAGTATTATCATTGTAAAGCACTTAATAGGTATTGCGGGACTTTGTGTACATATAAAACCAACAGTTTTGAAAAATCATCATTCTTGTTTATATTGTCAGAACTTAAAAATATAGAACTATGTTTTATAAATAATATTCCCCAAATGCTCCCTCGGCTGATTCTTCATATGACCACAATTCGACTTTCATGTAATCTTCTGGTACTATTGTGGCTTAATTTTACCAATAACTTGAGAAATGCTTTCTTTCAGGTCATTAATTATTGTCCTTTGTTTGACATTAACCTTAAATGATGCCTACCTAAAATCTCAAGTTGAGCTAGAGTGCATGATCTCACAAGACAACAATGACAGTTTTCCCCGCTATATGAGTAGTGGCTCTGTTCTGTTAAAAGTACATATTAGTGAAGTGTAATTATCTAATTAGGGCCACGAGAAGTCCATATCTGTGAACATTTATCGTTCCACCATTGTAATTTGCATGACAAAAATGAAAGAGTAGTTTGCACAATTCTGATGCGGTTTTTTATCGGAAAACAATCCATTATTAAATTCCCGGGTCTCTAAATGACTCATGCGCAATATAAAAAGTCTGAATCGTTGAAATATGGCACCCAATTTAAATCCTTTATGTCCTGCTTATGATGACTTTTGTTTTAGACCTGTAGCAGAACGGCTGACCAAAGGTTATGGAGTGGAACCAGAATCTTTCGACCAAGTCACCATCTACTTCAGTGACATAGTTGGATTCACGGCAATGAGTGCCGAAAGTACACCATTGCAAGTTGTCAATTTTCTCAATGACCTCTATACAGTATTTGATGGTATCATTAAAGGATATGACGTGTATAAGGTGGAGACCATAGGGGACGCTTACATGGTGGTACGTAAAACATGTTGAGAGTATTATTAAATAATTGTTTTAGGGCAAGTACAGCTAAAGAATGTATCCCTTAACATTGCAGATAAGAAGACTAGCTGCCACTTCCTCTCTGGCGAGAGATCTGGAGTTTATCACAGTTTCATATTTCCAAACAGATTACTGTACCTTGGCTAACAAGAATCGCCGTAGCGTTCATCCTATTTCGATGGATGGTCTCTGGACCCTTTCGCACCGACGGGGCGTGGGCGATCTGGCTCTCTTCTCCCGTCATGTTAACGGGGTCTGCTCCTCACAGATCTCCTCCATGATGCCGCCGCGCGATGAGCCTGCCAGACAGACCCGCCTGACTTTGGCCTTCCAGTCTAACCGTGTCGAACTCCGTACATCCTGAACTGGCCGGTCCAACCGCTTCTTTGTCCCTGCGGTGTCGATATTATGGAACAGAGGAGGCTTTTCCCAGTTGTACTAACCTTAGACAGTTCAAAAATCGGATTAAACAGGTGTATTTAAGTTCCTTAGAGCAGCCGCAATCCCCCGGAGTTTAGGCCTCTGCCTACATGAGTATTTCGACATAAAAAAGCTTAATACCTCGAATTTTGTTTTTCACATCGTTCAAGTAAATTCACACGTCGAGCATGTTCAGTTCAAATTGTCAGTATAATTTGTCGTTATATTTTCCAATCTGTCTACATCTCATCATAGGACAATTCTGACGGGCAAACTTAATTTTCTTCATCGGCTCAGAAACACAAGTTCAAATTATATTTCAGGTTTATTTGCTTTTCAGGTGTCTGGTCTGCCATTGAGAAATGGTGATCTACATGCAGGAGAAATAGCTTCCATGGCCCTAGATCTTCTAGCTGCCGTCAAAAACCACACAATTTCCCATAGGCCTAAGGAAACGTTGAAGCTTAGGATAGGAATTCACACTGGACCAGTGGTACGTAATCCCGATTTAATCATTTCTGAGCAAATGTGGGGATTTTTGAGCTCTAAGGAGCGTGCATTGCCCAGGGAATTGCATATTTTTTCCTAAAATGTTCTTCATTAATTTATGATTTTTTGAATCTGCATTGAAATGACGAGGGGATCCGCGAGAAACATTACGTTCAAGTAATTGAAATATTGTATTTTCAAGTAAAAAAACGGCATCATGCTAGCGTAATGCAAAAAATTATCGGAGATAAAACGAGATAACCGTAGCGTCATCTATGGAAATTTGTCACAGCTATTATTCTCCTCTTAGCAATAATTAGAAATCTATTTTGAACTACATCGTCATCTATGCGACACTAACCTTTTCAAAGTAGATTTCTATACGTATAGTGCGGAGAGGAGAAACATACAGTAGCGGACAAAAGTCTGGAAAATTCTTAATAATTTTTAAAAAGTGTGCTAATTTATTATTCTTTATTATTAAGGACTATTTTTTTTTCATATAGTTTGCTTACAGTCTTGAGGATACAAATGACAATTTGTTTTTGCTGTGGTTCTACATACTAGCATTAAAATACCTTCATAGTATTTTATGACCAAAAATGAGACGAAAAGTATGGAAACATTTTTATTACAAAATTGAATACAATAACTTTACAAAAAGATTTAAGCAATACCGTTGAGCTAATATTTGGTAGCCTAGCCTTTAACATTCAACACTGTCTGACATCTGCTGCTCATAGAAGACACCAATTTTTTACAGACGTCTGTTGGGATATTTTGTCAAATATTTTTGACATAATCAAATAAATCTTTCCTATTTTCAAAAGTGTTTCTTGTCAGTTGTCTTTTAACATGCTCCCAGAGATGTTCTATTCTATAGGGTTTAGATCGAGGGATTGCGAAGACCATGTAAAAACATTAACATTTTTTAGTCTTAACCAGTCCTTTACGAATTTTGAGGTATGCTTGGAGTCATGATCTTGCTGAAATGTCCATCTTAAAGGCATTTCTTCTTCAGCAAAAGGGTGTTCACTAAGAATGTCTTTGTAAAGTTTTTGATCCATTTTCTCAACAATTTTAACCCGTTCCAGAACTATAAAAACAGCCTGAAACCATAATGTTGCCTCCACCGTGCTTAACTGTTGGCAACTGATACTTTTTGTCGAATCTTTTTCGTATTGGGCGTCTCACCGTCAGATCCATACAAGTTAAATTTGCTTTCATCGCTGCATAAAACTGTATTCCATTGTTGTTCTGTCCAAGTAAGATGAGTTTTAGCAAATACAAGCCGAGCAATACGATTTTTTTTAAATGAGAGGCTTTTTACTGGACGCCTAACAAGCAGCCCAAAGTCCACCAAGCGTCTCTGCGTTGTTCTGACAGGAAGATTCTTGGCACCATCTTATACGATTCTTTTAAAAATCTGTGTAGCTGGCATTCGAGGATCTTCATGGGACAAACGTTTAATGTACCGATCCAAAACATAATCAGTTTTTTTTTTCGGTCTTCCTCAGCTGGGCCGCGTTGCTGTTGATCCGTATTCTTGATATTTATACTAATAATTTTCGAAATCGTCCCTTTGTTGATTTTTAATCTTTGAGAAATGTCATCATTTCTGAAACCACTTCTAAATAAATCAATTACTCTGTCTCTTAAATCTTTTGAAAATTATTTTACTTTTGCCATTCTTAATATTTACCGTACGCAATATCGAGTATCGCAGAACGAATAAATACGGCAAAACTGAAATGTTTCCATACTTCTCGTTACAAAAAACTGTGGTATTTAAAAAAACGCGTGTTTTTATTCTCAGAGAATTTGAATATTAATAAAATAAACCTTTTTTAGTACGGGAGCCAGAGGTAGACTTTAATATTTATATTATCTGTACCTTCACAATTTAAATTTAGGTATATGAAATAGTTCATAATAATATTAATATTTGTTTCCAAACTTTTGTCCGCTCTTGTAGATGTGGCAAAATCTCATAGATAGAGCCACAGTATCTCATTTTATCTTTGATAATTTTTGGTTTTATTTATTTTTTCAACTATTTCTATTTTTTTTTTAGGTTGCTGGAGTTGTGGGCCTAACAATGCCCAGGTACTGCTTATTTGGAGACACAGTCAACACAGCTTCAAGAATGGAAAGTAATGGAGAACCATTGAAGATTCACATCAGTGGCAAATGTAAAGAAGCTCTGGACAAACTTGGAGGGTACATAATTGAAGAAAGAGGGTTGGTTAATATGAAAGGGAAGGGGGAGGTTAGGACATATTGGCTCGTGGGGGCCACAGAACAGGCTGTGCAAAAGAGAGAGGTAAGGAAATTTTTCAATTATTCAAAACCTTCAACATATTCACATAAATACGTTATAATAAGCTTCGTAATTTCTTTAAATAAGCTTAGTGACGACGAAACAATTAAAAAGGTGGAGTCAAGTAGCTTGACAATTTCGTTCCACGCATTTGCAAACGTTAATATTGACAGTAGGTGAGACAGAAGATATATTTGAACCCTCTAAATTCGCCAAGGAGGTTAGAAACTTGAACAAGGGCGAACAACGAAGTTTCGACTATTTGAATATTAAAAAATCAAAAAACAAAGTCTGAAAACATTCTGAAATTTCACTTTTCCATTCATAACCACCGCCATTTGAATGGATTTATTTTCAAAATCCGCGAATCTGTGTCGTTTCGTTTGCTGTGGCAGTAACCTGTGTATTTTCCAAGTTGTACAGCCACCGAGGATTATCAGAACGATAACAGACATATGTAAATGAGGGGAGTGGCTTTTCGAAGTGTACTTGCGATGTAACATCCAAAAATGTAACTTCTCGATTTCGATGATTTTTTTCGAGTACAATACTTTCTTACCAGCTTGCGTTGATAAGCTGCAATCCCTACTAATATTATAAATGAGAAAGTGTGGATGTTTGTTACTCCATCACGCCAAACTGGTTGAACGGTAGGGTTAAAAACCCTATATAATGTCAAAAAACCTGTAATTTGTGTACTAGTTAGCCGCAAGTGTACCGCTGGTTCGTGTGACATTTTATATGGAAACCTAAATAATGTCAACAAAAACCTACATGTCATGAAAAATCGATGTCACTTTTTACGTTACGTAATACGGGTACGAATCTAGTTGAAATTTAGTACTGTCATATAGTCTGGAGCACATAGGCTACTTTTTATCCCAAGAAATAACTTTGAAATATTCATTTCACGAGTTACAACCCAACTGGCTTAATGGAATTTGACATGAGGTGTCTGACGCAGAAGCTCAATCGCTGGTCCGACCGAAATGAGCAATGATATTGTATAACGAGTGTATTTGCATATTTAGTGCATTCCGACATTCGTTTTCTTAGCGTGGTCGCCTTGATTTAGATTTGTTTGCTATATCGTTTTTCTTCAAGTATAACCTATATTCTTTCTGTTTGATTTTTTCCTAGAATTCTATTAAGCTTATACCTCTAACATGTTCAGTAGGATTTGCGATTTTACGGACATGCTTATGTAATTAACGCCAGCTTCCACTATGGCATCCTTTTTCTAAATAAAAATTATTATGTGAGTGATATTAAGGAAAGTTGTAGGAAGACGTTACTTTGATTAAAGTGATAGAGTGTTAATTCCCTCAGAAGACCTTTTGAGGTCGACAAATTACTTTTGTTATCTTAAAACTTTTCTTAGAACCTTTTTTCCCAAAAAATGCGTGGTTGAGTATTCGGGTATTTCATAAACATCCTTCAAATATACACAAATTCGACGATGAAATGAAACGGTGAAATGGATGTCTGTAACCTACCTCAGGTATAAATTAGTAAGTGTACAAATATTTACGTCCTTTCGTAAGGTGGTTCAAACGTGGTGCTGATAGACTAGAGAGACATTCATATTTATATATTGTTGCATCCGCAACAGCGAGTATGTTCAGTAAACAACAACTTGAGAGAAAATAGAAATGTGCGCTAGCGGGATTCGAACGCTCAGCTTTAAAGAACAAACGAACAGTGTTACTAAATACTCGCGCTCATCCGAAAAGTCGCACACATGATACTGTCTTCGCATGGTGGTACCGTGGTGTGTGCCCACAAGGCGGTGAGATGCAACTAGAAAGCGATTGTAGATATCGTACCAATCCGGTTTGTTTCACTTGAATTGTGCCAGATGGGGCACCAGGCAGCTTGAAAGAACAAGGAACAGTGGCGTGGATATGACTGAATTTGCCTCTAACAGTTGGTCCTGAAATTTGGTTGGCATCTGGTGCTTTAGACTAATTGATTAAGTCGGCTCTACGGAATGGAGGAGACGTGGGTTCGAATCTGACCGGTGCCCATTTTACCTTTCTCCCAAGTTGTTGTTATGCGAGACGTATGACTTGCACTTTACTTCCACACGATTGGAGCCGCGGGTTAAACTCATAAACACAGGACTTGTGACATGAAAATTTTTGGGTGTATCTTATGTATTTTGAGACCCTTAAATCAAATCTAAAAACAGAATTTTTCTATCACCCACAGATATTCGGTAACAGCTACTTTTATGAATTTCAATACGTGACCACACATATATAATGTTAAGACCTGTTTATTCCAGTTTATTATATGAGAGCATATTGCGTTTATTAGTAGACTAATAGCAGCCGAGTCAGTTACGTTTTCTGTGTTGAAGAGTACTGAGATGTTCTGAGTACCGTTAATTTTTGTTAAAACGGTGTGTTGTTTTTAGTTTATTGTGATCGAGACTAGCTTTATGGACAATGCCTAGAAATTGTGTAAATAGTGCGAACAGTTTTTGTTATGTGTGCGGAGAGCTAACTTTTAAATCCCAAAAACGTACTTTTACTCCCCTTGTGTTTATTTTGGAATTAAAGTTGGCGAGCAAGATAAACTATGGGCCCCTCATATATGTTGTAAGACTTGTGTAATGTTGTTAACGGGTTGGTTAAGAGGCGACAGTCGTAAAATGCCCTCTGCAGGCCCAATGGTTTGGAGAGAACCGCGAGACCATACTACTGATTGCTATTTTTGCCTCAATAATATTAAAGGTATTGGACCGAAATCGAAACATACTGTTAAGTATTTTAATTTACCATCAGATTTGCGGCCCGTTAAGCATAGTGATGAACTCTCTGTCCTAGTTCCACCAGAATCTTGTTTTTTCTATGAAAAAGTCGAATCCACCGATTCTGAAAGTGATGGTACAGAAAGTGTAAAAATTTCCGATCCTTCGTTTGACCTGCCAGGATGTTCAACAGGGCCGCATTTGATCACACAGAGCGAACTTAATGACTTTGTTCGAGAATTAAATCTAACAAAATCCCAGTCAGAACTTTTAACGTCAAGATTAAAAGGATGGAATCTTCTCCACGGTGATGTTAATATTACTTTTTTCCGAAAACATCAATAACAAGACCTCACACGCTGTTTCCGTCAAGAAAGGGAGTTGATATATTGCTCCGATGTCAACAATTTGTTTGACGCGTTAGGACAGAAACATGATCCAAATGATTGTACATATGAAAGAATCATATCAAAATATGCGAGTTCTGTTAAAGCATATCCGTTATAATGAGAATATGGATGGGCTATATGTGCAGATTTAAAGGTAATAGTCCTTCTTGTTGGAATACAACTGGGATATACCAAATATTGTTGATTGCTTTGTGAATGGGACAGTCGTGCGCGAGATCGTCATTATGAACAGAAGGACTGGCCACTACGTCAGGTATTAACTCCGGGCCTCAAATACATTGCTCATGAACCACTAGTTGATCCCAAAAACGTGTTGCTTCCACCTTTGCATATTAAGTTAGAACTGATGAAAATTTTTCTGAAAGCTATAGATCGAAATGGAAGAGGTTTTCTGGATTTAAAACAAACAATTCCTATACTTAGTGAGGCAAAAATTAAAGAGGGCATATTTGTGGGTCCACAAATACGGAAAATCATGAAGGATGATGTATTTGGCAGTGCTCTAAATGAAACTGAATTACGAGCTTGGAATGCTTTTGAATCAGTTACTGCAAACGTTTTAGGCAATGTGAAGGCGGACAATTATAAAGATATTGTGAGTGAACTAATTAATGCTTATAAAGGAATGGGATGTAACATGTCTCTAAAAATTCACTTTTTGGATTCTCATCTCGAGTTTTGCCCGGAAAATTTAGGTGCGGTAAGTGATGAACATGGTGAACGGTTCTACCAAGACATTTCTGCTACGGAAAAACGGTATCAAGGCAAATAGAGTGTTAATTTGCTTGCTGATTATTGCTGGACATTGTTAAGATATACTTCAAGAGCAACATATCGCCGTAAAACATCGACAACAACATTCTGAGATTAATGTTTATTCTAGTGTTCATTAGTAGGTACTCTTACACACATATCCTTATATTTTACGAGTATAAGCAGCAAATAAAACACCTTATTGCAAGAAAACCGTGGGTGATAGAAAAAATCGAATGCCAGTTCCGGCTTTTTGGGTACGTTTTACATATTAACCACCTTGTTTAGTCGATGTCACAAAAAGTTATTTTAATTTTGTTCACCAAGTGTTATTAATAAAATGTTATTACGTTGATTCATATAAAAAAATGTCATCAATTGGATCGATTAAAAAGTACTCTGATTGATGGATTGGTGATTTGGAGTAAGTTTTGGGAATATTTAAGAGCGAATGTTGGTTTTGGAAGATTTACCAATGCTTTTATAATAGTTAAAAAATCTATATTTCAAAACTTTCTGGGAATTTCGGAATCAACTCGTTTGTCTTTTGCAATAATACAAAGCAAATAAAACAAAAAACTTAGGGTGGAATTACAAGGATATTTTTCTCCAGGTTGATTTAAGAGGCCTTCCCCCTTTATTCTGTCGACCAAGACGAAGTCCGAAATTAACAGCAGATTCTAGGCAAGCCTCGATATGCGGCTTTGGTGGACTGCATAGTAGAAGGCACTCGAGTGTACCTAGAGGTGAGTTGATGTCGCTTTACTGCCTTTTGAAATATCTATGATAATGTCAAATTATATTCAACACATTCATTATAGGCAAAGGCCTACGAACATTCAAATCCAGATTTGAGTGAATATGTCGAGGAATTGCTGACGATTTTTCTCTAGGTTCGAAAAATCGTCGGCCACTCCGCGATCTGAGCAGTTAGACCAAGGCCGTTGGACTTTGATGATTTGAAGATGGTTTGTTCAAGATTCAATCCCCGAAACTGAAAGACAGCGGAAATAGTCATATTATGTTTCGAGGCTTTTTCCAACAGCTTCTGAATTTTATCCAATTAATACATTTTCCTAGGGTTTTGATATCAATAAATGTTTCGTCGCAAAATTAACTTCGTCTCTCACTTTTTGCTTGGATATTTATCAAGACAATGACCCACATCTTTTCTATTAAGGAAACATTAAAGAATACAGTTACTTTGAAAGTAATAGAAGCACAGCCACTTTCTACTGCTCCACTGTTCTTAAAGATTTACCTCCAGTTAGTAGTATACTGTTTGTCAAGAAATTGTCCACGTATTCATAAAAATATCTACTTGCTTATCGCTTACTTGCTTTATTCCTGCATGCTTAATGTTTTTCACACGGTTCGGTGTACCTGTTTGCAAAGGATCTCATAGGTGATGTCTGCACTATTTGTGTTGTCTTTGTCGTTGTTACTAAAAGAGCAGAATATAATGTTTTGTGCGAACCATTAATTATCATTGCAATAACTATATTGGTTTGAGAGGAAAAGGATAAAGGCATCTCACATATATAATGGGGTATTTCAATTCAATTTTATCGACTTCATTGTAATAAGTACTGTTATAAATGGCGAAGTCATACTTGACCATATTTTCAAAAAAATACACCAACGGAATATTCTTTCTAAAAGTATAATATTGAATACTTTACTCCATTCCCTGAAATGTAAAAAAACTTCCGAAGTTCAAACAAAATTTTTGCACCAAAACTGCCAGATGTGAGAAGAAAAATGTCCCCTTGAAATTGACGGTTTGAATTTAAAAGGTATGACTCGCTATGAATCCATATTGAGTGATTCTTTCAGCGAGAAATTCAGAAAATCTCATTGAAATATTTTTGAACGTGTAACAAGAAAGCGCGACTGTTGAAGGTACAACTTTTCCCCATCCTCAGAATGTACCACCATGTACAACACGCCTGGCAGCAATAAAATCGGACAGCACGTAGACCATACTCTAAAAAGCCAAAACGTGATAAATAAGAATGAATGTTATATGAATTATCTTAGGTATAAAGCGGTGGATTTCATTCAAAATTCACAAACCGTGTTAATAGTGTTGATATGTACAATACTGACAGTCCCGAACGGTCATTTACAGTGGACTAAATCAGTTCAGGTCATAGCTAAGCAACATCATATCATCAATATGTTTGGATGTCTGAATAACAGTTTCTGATAGTCAGAAATTCCTTATTGGAAATAACCGATTGATGGTTCGCACAATAATTATCTGAATCAAAATGTTGGAATAATGAAAAATCAAAACAAAAACACCATGAAACTCAGGTACAAGCGCCGAAGTGGAAAACGTAACCCCGAACTCTTCGCCAGCCATTGCAATGCGTTCAACTACTAGATATTTTGCTAGAGTCAACAGCCTCACCGTTCCAGATGCTGGCACGCAGGTGGGTTCCAGGACTACTTTAGACACGGCGTTCGGCAGCGTTGTCATGGAGCCGGACGAAAATTCTAGGAGAGTCGTCAGGCCGAGGAGGGTACTTAGCAGTATAGGTAGGTTTTCGTTTAATATCCAATTCGGAACGTGGGTGAGTTGAGTAGAAAAAGTGAACACTCGCTGTCTTGTTTCGATAGATCTTATACCTTGATTAGACGATAGTTGTTATTCTTTCGTTCATTGTTCCAAAGACCAAGCCTAAACCATACGTGAAAATAAACATCTTTCTTCAAAAGTAAAATGGAGAGTCTGTTTTTATTACTTCTGGGGGAATTACAACGATCCTAGGCTATGACGATGGAAATTATATGTGAACGTCCAAATATAGTTGTGAATCTTATTTTGATATTATCTATTATGCTTCATTATTGGCGTTTTTTTTATTTGTATCAACTGTTGTCTTTTACTTCCCGCGCCACTGGCAAGGAAGTAATGTATCCAGTTCACGGGAGTTAGTGAATGGTATGCCACAAGGGTCAATTTTGGGTCCGGTTTATGGAACTTACGTGTGTCGGACCTTCCAAAACTACATTGCGGGAACTATTTTCTAACAGTACTCGGATGACTTGTATGTGTTAAATCGTTCCTCAAATCAAAATCGCGTGATTATCCGTACGGAATGCACCGAGCGCGAAGTAATAGACTATTACAATAAGTGGGGACTGAGAATTGTGAAATGGAATTTAGCAATGATGAATTCGCCGATATTATTTTTGTGTACGGGTTCTGCTTCTCGGGAATTTCAACGTAGGTTTCCTAACAGACGCCAACCTACCCCAAAGGTTTTTACGGGTTCATTTCGAAGACTTCGGCAATATGGAATTGCCAAACTTCCGGGAGCTAGAGGCCATGGTGTCCGGCATACTGTTCAAGAGGAACTGAAGGTGATTAATTTGGCGTTGGATGATCCTAGTATAAGTAATAGGCAGATTGCAGCTCAGTCACCACGTTTCCAAAGTCGTGCGAGGAGAATTTTAAATCATTAAGATTTACATCCTTACCATCGGCAAAATGTGCAATGTCTGCAACCCAGCGACGAAGTGCAACGGCGACATTTTTGTGAGTGGTTACTGCAAATGCATAATCAAAATGCAGATTTTATTGATTTGGTTTTGTGATCAGATGAATCACTTTTTACGAGGAGCTGAACCTTTAATTCTCATAATGAACATATACTAAGTGACATGTAAATCCGAACACCCAGTTTAAATGGTTTTATTTTAATAAAATTTTGTATAAGTTCTTAATGAAGCATAATAAGTAAATGATAAAAATTTCAAAATGATTGCACTGCTTTAAAGCCCTTTGACCTTTAATAATGTGTGGATGCACCCTGATGTGCTACGCATTCTCCAACGCGCCTAGGCATGCTTCTGATCAGGTGGTCAATGTCCTCCTGTGGTATCTCATTCCAGGCAACCACCAACTCCTCTCGAAGTCCTTCTAGAGTCTGAGGAGGACGTTGCAAATTGAGCAATCTCCTACCCATCATATCCCACACGTGCTCAATTGGGGATAAGTCGGGAGATCTTGGTGGCCATGGTAACAATGTGACATCATTATGTTGAAAGAAGTCTATTGTGACTCTTGCAACATGTGGTCGGGCATTATCTTGTTGGAAAGTTGTATCTGCCAGGGTGTCAAGATAGGGTAAAAGATGGGGTTCTAGAACTTCGTGGATATAACGCTGCGCGTTCATGTTACCTCTGATGAAGATTAAAGGTGACCTGGAACCATAAGCTATAGCACCCCAAACCATAACTCCAACAGTGTGATGAACATGTCTTTCAACAAAAAACTGTGGATTCCTCCTTTCACCTCGTCGCCTTCTAACCCTGGCACGACCATCGTGCATGCCTAAACAAAATCGAGACTCGTCACTAAAGACAATACTGTTCCATTCCTGATCCCAGAGTGACCGTTGTCTGCACCATTCAAGGCGATTACGTCGGTGTTCTCGAGTTAAAGGGAGGACCCAGTGTGGCCGGTATGAAAACAAGCCAAAACTTCTCATTCGTCGGTAAACACTTCGCATGCCAATAGGTCTTCCGTGTTCTGCAAACCATTCATTTGCAATGGACCTGGTAGTGGAGAAACGGTCCCTTAAGGCCAATAATCTTAGGCGGCGATCTTCACGGTCTGTTGTTCTACGGCGCCGTCCAGTGCCCCTTGCTCTTTGCGTACGGCCTTCTCGAAGCCATGCCTGACAACACCTAACCACAGTGTCTACACTTCTTTGCACTCTAACTGCAATTGCCCGAAAAGAAAGTCCAGCTTCCCGAAGTCCCACTATACGGCCCCTATCAAACTCACTAAGTTGACGAAATCGTACAGGTCTCCGTACTCTAGGCATCGTAACCGATCGTAAAGGATGTCAAGAACCAAAATCCGCCAACGTTGATTCTTTACTGCGGCTGAAATATTCATTTTGTATGATGATGTATAATGTATGATGAATGCATTCTAGGAAAAAAACACAAGAGTAATTATTTGTAGCAAATTGAAGGTAAAATTGGAAAAATTGTGCACAATACTTAGGTAAATCCACATACCAAATTTTAGTTCATTCCAGTTGACAGTTGTGGGGATATTAAAAAAATTGTTTTTTATTTTTAAACTTCAACACCCCGTATCTTTTTGATGAAACACTCAAAGAAAAAATGTTACATAGAAGACCCTCCTTAAAACCCGGTCGTGTGTATGATGTTTCATTTTTGGTCAAGACTTGGCACAGATAAATTAATATTATTATCCCTAGCCTAATCAAAACTGACTTAGGCGAAGAAACAAACGGATATCATGCAGACGACCTCGAGCCGTTATGTATTCTAACTTTTACTGATAAAAAAAACGAACTATAATGTTAACTATGTGACATAAATAAACGTTGGTTGATTAATTATTCCAATCACGAATAAATTCGAAAACGAGATATTATGTTTTTTGGATGTTGTTTGACACGACGAAAAATCACGTCACTCATTTCCGTCGGTTTATGTGTACGCTGATCCTTGGCCCGTCTATAACTTGGAAAGTTAGCTCGGATTTGTTGAAATTTTCACACAATGTTACTACTATGCCAAGGACGAAAAAGCTGTATAGTTTTTGCAGGAGCTGGGGGCAAAAAACGGAAAAAATAAAAATTTCTCAAACTTCGCATTTGACATTCCGGAGGCTCCTGATCATTTTCGGAAAAATATTTCTAGAGGTTAAAAATTGGAGGTTGGAAGCTATAAGGGGTGGGGGAGAGTATATCTACGTCTTATACCATTGCTATAATTATATGCCTCCAGTCCCGGTAATTCTACCCACCTATTAGACACATAGATTTCCCCGCACATTTGCCCTTTATAAGAATATTTTCAACGAAAGCAGAACATACCTGTAAGCCTTCCACGTAGAAACCGGTGCTGCCGTTATGCTGCCGCTGTCCTGGTGACTTTTGGTCTTTTTCGGTTTCGTCGTATCGGTTCGTAGTTAGCTTTTTCTTCTAGAAAGGATTAATTTATGCCGAGATTAATTTTTTATGAACTGATGATAGCGGTGTGTGGAACGTGCAGAGTCAACTTACTTGACGCCATTTTTTTTAATTAGCCTCAAGCTCCGATGAACACAACAAGAGTCACACAACGCTACCTCGCATTAGAGAATCAAAATCCCTGGACCCGCTGCCTTTGGTACGGCCACCGAGGAGTACTGATATCGTAGGCAAGTTTCTCAGGGGTGGTTCCAGGATATCCACGAGGTCCTTGGAAAACTGCGACAAGTGCGGAGATGTTCAGATCATCGCCATACCTGAGGACAAGCTCATCAATAATAATTTTCCAAATGGCAATTTAGTAAGTTCTGTTATATATATATTAATAATATATTAATATTATTATATTGATTTTTAAATTTAAAATGCTAACATTTGATAGGAGATTCTTATATCCGCATATCCTTAGCTGCCTGTAAATACTGAGTTTTAATTTTTCGATTATTATTTGTTATAGCTTGGTGTGCAAGTAGAAGAATCAGTGGGTTATATGGATGATGTCCAAGCTCCCTTATTGGATCCGACGACACAGACTCCCACTATAATGAGACATCGTGGGGGCAGCGGTATTGAAGATCTCCCTGATACAGAATTTTCTAAAAGGTACGTCAACTATATATTGATTTAAAGTTAAATCCATCTTCGTAATTTTTCTTCTCTGAATACTTTCAATAACTGCTGAACTGTTTCGATGGAGGCATGCCTGATTTAGTAACGTTTGCTTGTTTTTCGAGTCAGTAAAAAGAACAATTGATTTTGTTTTTATTGAAATCTGTTTCTGATCATCTTTACAAATACTAGGCATTTTAGGATGTATCAATAAAACTTTTTAGGGCTTTCAAAGTCGCAAGCAAATTACAATGGTCGCCATGAACACATCTCGACAGTTCTGCGATCCTGATATAGAATCTGTAATCTCTTTCTTCGCAAAATTGTCGAACTACTGGGTAAAGATTTGTTATCAGGACCACAGACAGGTTAGAAGCTTTGAACATGATAATCTTCTTCCAATACAACAAATGGTTGCCGTGAATACCTCTCCACGTTTCTGCGTTCCTGACAGAAAATTCGTAATTTCTCAAATTGTCAGAGACTCGCAAGATCGGTGAAAATTTGATTTGATGATCACAGAGATGTGAAGTATGAAGAATGCATTCTGCTTCCGATGGAAGTTGGCGTGGAATTCAAATTATTGGAGCAATTACCTCTCAATGTTTGTGCATTTCTGAAGCAGAGTATGTAATTTCCTAAAAGTCGTCGATGACTTTCTTTTCAAAATCTTTGAACTACTTACTGGGCGAATATTTGATATCAGGATCACAGGAAGGTGAGGGGGTATTAAAAGAACACTTTGCTGTTGCTAAAATTTAGCAGGAAATATTATTGGGACCAATATTTCGCGAAATTTCTGCATTCCTGATCGAAAACTGTAATTTCTCAAATCTTTGCAAAATCGCTAAACAACTTGAACATTTGCTATCAGGAGGGTTTATTTACCTGATACGAAGTTTTCTTGATTTTTATTGGCTTTGGAACACATCTCCCGACTCTACTTACCCATATGTTAATTCTATATTCCTTGTTACCATTCCAGTATCTCGGTCTTCTAGGTGGCGATCTTTGGAATACGTGCCAGCAGAGGGTCCTGGAACTCTGACCTACCGCGATTTCAGGGACCGCCGATCTGCAGAGGCCCACAAGAATAAGGCGCACAAGAACCCAGTGGCTAGTTGGATCAGGGGCCTTTTCAACGGAGGTGGAAATGGCCTCAAGGCAGCAGGGGATGGATCCTTGAAGAAGGCCGCGGGAGTTATCAATGACTTCCAGGCTGATAAAGAGAGTATAGTCTGAGTTGTGTGTTAATCTGGAAAGAAAATTGATTGTTGGGTATAGAGGCAAATATTTGGAAGGTTTAGGAAGCAGGTCTTCTGAGAATTTTGAGAAAAATGGAGAAGCTATATTTTGTTATAGATATGGGTCATACACCTTGTAACTTTGAAAGGAGCACTCGAGCACCGATGTTTATAGGAAGTTTTCGAGCTATATCACACAGGCCGACAAAAATGAGCCGACCCTCTTACCCAGAAATCAGAGTATAGTTTCCAGAAGATTCAGATTTGAATTGAGAGATCTGGACCGTAGATTATTTCGGGAAAATATACTCTGGTTTCTGGGTAAAAATCTTCTCGGTTATTATTAATAAATCATTTTGTGGAATCAAAGTTTGAATATATGTTATTTTGGATCCCTAGGTGGAGCGACTACAGAGTTTTATGTCTCGCCAAACTAGTTTTAAATACCCGACAAGTATTGCGCTAACTATATTAACATCTTCAGGGCTGCTAACATAGCGAAACACATGTCGGCTGTTTAAGAAAATGGTTCGGCGAATAGTAAAACTCTGTAGTGGTCATGGAAGTTTAAATCTAGACTTATTATATTCAAACTCCAGCTTTTCCAATTTTCCCGAGGCTAAATGAAAAATCATGTATTTTTCATCATATTTCAACTCTATGAGTACCAGGCTCTAGATTTAGTTGACCTCATTGAAAGAAATACCCCGTCTCACACAAAGAGAACGAACTAGTTTATCTACATAGTACCTAATGATGTCATATTTTTGAATATATTTGTGATTTTTCATTCACTTTTGGAGGGTGCATTATGCATTTATACGTTATAGGATACACAAATTTGATGTTTAACTTGTATAGCTATGGAGTGGATATTTCAACATGAGTATTTTTTGGGAAATCTAGAAGTACCTCCATTATTACAAAGTCTGGCAACATGTTGCGCCTCATGTACCGGAGATGTGTTGATACCTAAACAGAGTACATTGGAAAATGGCGGTAATATTATGGTAAAGATCATTACACTTTTGCTGAAGCTCAATCCCGGTATTCTAAAAGGAGTCTATCGCGACTCATAGATTACACTAAAATACGGTACCTTCTGCATAATTCTAGTGTGATGGTCAAAACATCACGCAGTCGTTCACTTATTATGCATATTTGCAATAAAATATATTTCGTGATGATCCCGAAGTGAATTTAAAAAGTTATGCCTAGCGAACATTTCAGCATTTTCATGATGGCATCATTATGTCTGAATGCTGGAAAGCTCTGGTGAGTAGCTTTTTAGCAGGTAGGTTGTATCAATAACAATAATTGTATTGGCATTAAACAAAACTTGCTCATGATGCAAGGAATAACATTGTATCATATGTAACTCCTAAAATTTGTCACGTTGTTTTCGACCCCCACGGTGGCCTTTTTCAAGTACGATGATAATTATAGTGACCGAAACGTCGTAACAATAAAGAGAAATCAAAATATACAGCGGTGGTCAAAAAAATAAGAGTGTACATTTTGAAAACCAATTATATATATATACAGGTGTCGTTTAGATTATCCCTTGCAAACTCCATTCGTTGCAGTATATGCTTTTTAGATAGAAGGAAAACTGTTCTGGCAACTCTACCATGAGTATTCATTTCTTGCAACCATCTTCTTATTGTTCTAGTGCTGATTGGATGACCTCTTCTTTCTGGTTGTTTCTCAACAGTTTGATGTTCTTTTAGTACTTTAGCTATCACACAAAGGGATCTTTTAATTACGAAATAAATGCTATACTAAACATAGAAATATTCTACTGGCTATAATAGCAAAAACATTTAACATACTCTTGGCCTTGACATTCCATATGTGTATTTTATGAGCATGTAAAGCATAAATCTTCATCTTGTATAATGCACTATCCAAGAAAAAAATTACTTTGCAGTCACCTCGATAATTTGGTTTTTACATAAAATTTCAGATATTTTTCTTTTACACTCTGATTATTTTGACCACCACTGTATATATCCCCTGATTCGACCATATATTTTACTATGCCCATACAACGAAACTAATTCTTTTCTCATATAGTCTCTGTTTTTTCATCAAATATAGTAATTAATAAGCAACCATTACAATGGCTCATTTCTATAGTGTACGCCACATTACTATAGCTGTGCTCCAACAAACCATTGAACTGAACAGAGCTTGCTCGGATCGAAATTACCATTCCAGCATAAAATGGAACTGATTCCATAACTGACAGAGATCTATGTTCCAACAGATTCCGAACCGGTTGTGGTTATGAAGAAATGGGTGACGGTGAAGATTACTTTGGAACAGATTCAAGTGAGGATGTTCCAAGAACCAGAAACAAAAATTACATGGTCATGTGTCGATAACTTTAATAAATTTGTTTCAATCTTGATATTAGTAAAATTAATCTTATATATTCCTTTCATTTCAAGTCAATTAATAGACTACTGTTGTTAACATTCCACTTGATTTCCTCCTCTTTAACTGTAGCAGAGCAAACTTCCTCTAAAAACAAAATGATGAATTCTCTTGCTCTAAAGGAGACAAAACTCCGTAATATTTCTTAAAAATATCTCACTAAGCTACTCATCCCTTGTTAAATCTGCCATCCTTCAGTACATCAAAAAAACGATTTGAATCCAACATTAAACACTTGAAAATTTCAAATTTTATTTTATTTAAGGTTATTTTTGCGACAACAAGCCATGTAATTCTCTGTTCCAACAGAAGAGCTCGGAACTAGTTCCGAGCTTTACTTACCTAGGGCATGCGCAGAAAAATAATTCGGAAATAGTTCTGACCTACTTCGGGACTGCTTGTTGAAACAAACCGTATATTAAACATCGGAAAGTTTGATAAAACAATGTAATTGCTCTCATGAAAAGGTTACATTTGCCACATTTTAACATGTTATGCAGGTATCGATGCTTCTGACTCACTAAACACATTTTTGTTCTGGCACTTATTTCGCGACGTCGCAGACTGTTTCCATTCCATCAAATTTCTGATGGAGGCAACGACAATTGATGCGCAATATGTTGCGACACATTGTGGTAAGGGAAACATCCCTTAACAAGGATAGTTTATTTTTGTAATATCAAACCAGTCCAGTGAAGTCGTGAAACTTACCCTGTAGATAGTTTTCGAAGACAATTTTTTTGAGTGCAAAGCCGACTATCACTCAAAATTTACTGTGAAAGTTTTCTCAAAAAATCTCACAATTTGTATCGTTTCTTGAAAATGTCCACTAGGCTGAGAACAACACATCTCACGTTCATTGTTTAAGCCTCTTAATCATGTTTATCTAAAATATCTTATCTAATAAGGAAGAAGGTGTAGTATATAATCCTTAGCGTCTTTTTCATATTCTTATATTTATTTGTGATACATTTATAAAAGCAGTAGGTGTGAGACGTGCTTTCGAATTTGAGCAACAGATCATATCGGTGAATTGCAATATACCTTTATCCTTTACATATCAAATGTAAATAAAAACTTCAGAGGATATATTGTTGATAGCAATGAATTAAGCACCATTTCAACAGGACGTGACGGCAGTACCAAAAATAGCAAAAAAAATTCCAATAATGGTCTATTTTGAAACTAGACTAGGCGATTTTTTTTATAATAGCGTTCGTTGGATGTCCCTCAACATAAACCAAGAAGATTCCGGGTTACTCCCGCTGCATTTTTTTTAACAAATTACAATTTTTTTCCGAAAGGGATAAAGTTTTTAGGTTTTCGCCTCGTCTACTCAGTTTATGCATTGACCAGACTTATTAGCTTTGGTAAACAATAATATCAAAATAGCTACTGATTTGTTTTCATTGTCCTTTAATATGTTTATGCAAGCATTACATCCTGTTGAACGATGAGCTATTTTTGAAATAAACAGTGATTTCTCTAGCATCTAGGGAAATCGTAGAATTGAAAATATTTCTTAAGTTACTACCTGTGCAAAGATGTCGTTGATATATAAAATATATGTTGTAAAAGTGTGGTAACGGTATGAATTAAATTCATACAATTTTATTTGATACAGAATTATATGTCGATGTTTTTATGTGTAAAATGTAAATTACATTTTTTGTTTTTGTTGCCATAAAAATTTTTAGTTGATATAAATCTTAACTGGTATTTTTTGATTTGCAAAATGAAAGCATCTGATCTATTTTCAGTATACAGACATGCTTTTACCAACCTAGTTGTCATGTAAACTTGTGATATGTCAAGTTACAACAAATTTTACATTGATATGCTTGTAAGTACTGGTTATGAATCGTAACTTGACTAGAATGGTAGAGATAGAAGTATTTCCTTTATTGGCCTTTTTTTAAACTCTCGATGAAATATAAAGATGTACCTCGAATCTTGACATACCTTACTTAGCGTAATTGGCATGAAATAGAGAAAATAGAAATTAGTTGACTGTTTTTCTTTTTTGATTTAAGGATATTGTTTTTAAGTCAAGAATTATTGTGTTTGAGGCTGTGAATATATCTCCATTTTGTTGTAAATATAAATATTAAAATCTGCTATTTTTATTTTCGGAAGAGTTGTCTTCGCAGTAAGGAAATAAACGTGCCATTAACTTATATTATGTTTATGTATATTGAAGTAATACAAATGTAAATATGTTATTGTATGTATTGTTTGATAAAAATACATATTTATTTATTAAACTATCGTCTTTGACTGTCTATCTTGTTACCTTTGTCCGATGACAGTGCCTATGAATACTTCTAGTCATTTATCTACGACCCTCATATAGTATCAGTGAGTAGCAGAATCACTAACCTACTGGGTAAACATTCGCTAATAGGATAACAAAATAGCGAAGAGACTGTGAAATCGATAAACAACAATATTTTGCTATCAGGGTGGCAGAAGGAGTTATGGGAACGACACTGCTCATGAGTTTAGCGGGAAATATTGGGACGAATACATGTCGATGTTTGTGGGTTCCTGATAGAAAAGCTGGAATTTCTCAAATTGTCATAGATTTTCTTGTGAAACTTTGCTGTCAGGATCACAGAAAGATGCGGAGGTATAAAAAGGTACTCTGCTCTTGATACAATTTGTGGGAAATTATTGGGGTGAATACTTCTGACTGCTTCTGCGATTCTGTTACAAAAGCTGTAATTTGTTAAAATTGTCAGAATATTTGCGATATGCCCAACAACTGGACGAAGATTTGCTATCAGGATAACAGGAATGCGAGGAGGTATAAAAACACCCTGATCCTGATAGAACCTTGCCAGAATTCAAATTGCTGGATTGGAACGGATACCTCTCGATATTTGTGTGATTCTATTACAAAATCAGTACATTTTTAATATCGTCCGTCTCAGATTTCCTTGCAAGATCGCTGAGTTCAGCAGTTGCTTGGGCAAGTTTGCAATCAGGATCACAGAAAGGTAAATTATTAGTGATGGGTAGAAATAAAAGAGATGTTAACGTTCAAAATTTTATTAATAATCATTCAATCATTGCGTTTTAAATATTCGGTAAAAGTACCACACTAGGCAATTGTTACATATGATTGAGCAGAATATGTCAAAGAAGGACAAGATAAAGTAAATACAAGCAATATCAGAGATTCTAGTCTACGGCATCTTTGTAAGATTTAAAGCACTTCGGGGCTGCATAGTCAGAACTGCAAGTGTCACAGGGTTGGAGGGTCTATCACCCCCACGAATTTCTCACCCCTCTTGATGTCGGCTATCAAAGAAGGGATGGCATTGTCCAACATGCGGGATTCGAATTCGCTTAGGGGTGGGATGCCTAGGTTGCGAGCGATACCATTAGGGCCCAATTGTACGGGGGTTGCTAGGTACTTCAACTGGACATGCGTCTGAACAATAAAAAAACGGCAAAAGTTATTCTCAAAACGTTATAATTCTCAAATTTATTTTGATTAAGAATTGTGCTTAAAGGAAAAAGTCCGAAGTTTGTAGAAAAATGCATTGTGTTCTGATTATCCTTTTAGGAAACAGCTACGTTTGAAATAACCAGGGCTAATGCAGTAAAACAGCTGCTTAAAAGTTAAAAATGAACAATACGGTAATAAATTTCGAGTACTTCTCTGTCCGAACTATGATTACCTTTGAAGGGACAAAGGCACATTCTACAACATCTGGGTAGCCCTTAATTCCTTTCACCAGAGATATGACGAATCTCGCCGTAGCAAAAGCAGTAGACAGTGGAGCAACTTTGTGAGGTTTCAACTTCACTATAGTGTCTTCTGCTTTTTGAATGTTCAGCATCAAATTTTCAAGTTCATTCTGCAAGAAAACAGATTATTCCAAATAACGGAAGCTTCATTCAGAGGTCAGAGGTAAGTACATAAAACATAAAACCAATCAGTTGTATAAAGTTATCTCTATTATCAAACAAAAAAAGCACCAATGACGTTCATTTTTTGAAAGGTACTTCGATGATAAAGATAAGCCGTTTAAGTTTATTGCTTAATTGCTTTTATGGCAACGCATCTTCCAAGATCAAGAAACTTGGAATTTCCGTGAGGAGTTAAAAATCTCCCCATTGTCTGATGAAAAAATTATTTTGTTAGGATTAGTTTATTATATTCTAATGTTACTTATTAGATTTGGCTTTGTTAAAAAACAAAGCAGCCTCCTTCTTGCATGCATTATGGCTTACTGAACGTATTTCGGCAGCCCAGTTAGTCATTAAAAATGGTGGACTTTGTGGTGGCTACCGATATGCACCGCCATCTATTGGAGAGTAGCCGAATAAAAAATATATTCAACCATATACCTTTCTTAAATGATTCTGCAATTCTATGCATTTTCAACTAGACAAATGTTAAAAACTGTAAAATTAAAAGCCAACCATCCCATAGGTTGAGGTTCTTTGTAAAGTGTTATCATAGGTCACACAAAATGTAACTATTCAAAAAGAGCCCTTTAGGGCGGTTGGTCGGGGCTCGGGAGGGATTTGTGGCAACGCATCTTCCAAGATCAAGAGAATAATGATTGTCATATACAGTGATGTTCAAATTTAGCTAACGTAATGTGTTAGAAAGAGTTTGCCGATGGGATCTGTGACCTCGTACATGGGTTGCTAAGCAACGGTGCTTCTGTATTTTGAATTGAAATGAAATATATTTTTAACGGAAATAATGTAAGAGCGTCATTAGCGTATCCAGAAAACAAATCATGATGGGGAAGGGGTGTACTCAGATATATATTCAGGAAAATTGTAAAGCGGAGGGAGGGGGGGGGGGTGACGTCATCTGCTGCATCAGTGCTTCTGAGAGTGAATAATAGGGTACCCGTTTCATAAGCAACGAGTGGCGTGTGCTTTTTTGGTTTTCAAAACATCCGGAAAATTTAGTTTGGTAGATATGAATTGTGGAAAACTGTAGCTCGTAGGATCGGAACTACAAAGTTGAAATTTTCTATTAAAATTCGCCATTTCAATTTTATATAACTTTAGTATATCCAGTGTCACTTGTGCTGTTAAGAAAAATATAGAGGCACCTCATATGTCAAAATCCATCAAGCCATTAAGTCCCGTATCGTCAGTCGTCCCTACAATTGTAGGGCGCGTTTATGGCCTCCTTGATTGTCATACTCCTTTCTGTCCTCAAAAATTTCTAGATTAAACTTGTCCCGTGTCAGCGTCAGCGCTCTCCTATTGTGAAGATATATTTTCTTTTTAAATTGTAGGAAATTTCAGGCTGATAAAACATGATATAACTCAAAAGCAAGCACAATTTGGTGCAAATAGATGTTTGTGACATAACCTCAAAATAGAGTTCTGACACGGAGGAGTAGAAAACTATGACAATCAAGGAGGCCATAAAGGCGCCCTACAATTGTAGGGACGACTGACGATACGGGCCTTAAGCGCTAGCCCGTGAAATAGGAATTTCAAGGTTGATTTGATAAAGTGAAGGACATTGAATTTTCAATCCCCCACCCCTGTGAACATGAATTCTGTTCTGCGACCTCTGGGATGAATACGTCAGTGAAAACTATGCTTACTTTGCAAAAATCGGCACAAGGCTTAGCTTGTGACAGCACAGGAACCATAGTTTCTTCACTATGACCTCCGATGACAGGAACCATAACACATTCTGGTTCCACACCTTGACATTGAGCTACGAATGTGTTGGCTCTCACACTATCAATGGTGGTGATGCCGAATAGAGTATTGGGATTGTAACCACCTGCCTTTTTCAGCATTTCAGCGCACATTGGAATGATACTGTTTATTGGATCGGTGCCCACTGCTAAAAAAGGCTGCAAGTACATGCTACATGTAGATATGCAACAATGAAACAACCTTGAAAGTGCAAATTTTACAGATTCTATATAAGTTGAAATAATATGTCTTATACTCTCGGATCAGTAAACTTTGAGGGTTGGTCTCTCGTTACATATCTAGAGAGAATTGCAATACTGTCAATATGTAGCGTCCATTAATTCGTGTATATAAAAACGATGTTACCTTTGGAGATATCTTTGCGTAAGTGTTCATGATTTCCAAAACAATTTGGGAGTTCTGATACCACATCTTTTCTACAGACATCATGTTTGAATCAGGGGCGGATGCTAGTAGAACTACGATTTTGGAATCCTAAAATAATATGTTAAATTTAAAGAAATTTGTTCTTCACATGACAACCATCATCCTGATGCTGTTCGCCTACAATCACTCCATTTTATTAGAAAACGAGGATTGATTAATTTGATTATTATCTAAATACTTAATGCTTATACTACTGCTGCATTTTTGAATGGTACCTGTAAGGCATTGGCTAGATTATCATTGCCTGTGAATGCGGTTACTTTGCAGTTAGTATCGACGTAATTCAGCTCAGAGGCGAAACCACCTGTCGGTACGATATCATGGACGCAGAGTTCTTCGATCAGTGATGACTGTTTCAACATTAAACATAGTGGTTGACCTACTTTACCTGAGAAATCAACAAATGTTTTTTTTTATAGTATGTATCTCCTATGCATTAAATTGGAATGGTGTCAAAAATTGTCTAGTCTAGTCGCCCAGACCAGTGTAATGCAGAAATTAGTCAATCCAGGATTTGGCAATTTCAAAATTTTCTAGTAAACTAGATTATCAAACAAAACTATATAGGGACCAAGGGTTATTGTATTGTGCCCTGCCATTACTGGCAATTACCGGATGTTAGGACAAAACTACCCTAGATAACTGGACACACAAGAAATTAGCAGAGGTATTCTTAAGTATGTGTTCCAAATGCTGGCGTCTCGGTACCGAAAAATAAAGAAAGCAGCAAAACATATCTCTTTGAATGCGGCGGGATACGCGCACTGACTTCGTCAATTCAAAGCTAGCAGTAGCGTGCCATGTGTTTTGCTGCTGTTAATGCTGGTTTTAATTTTAGTATCTGGGGTCAGCAAAAAACGACCAAGGGTAGCATAGTTATCAACTCGCATCCGAAACTTTAATCCAACTAAATTTTAATTTTATCTACTTTAATTTTAAATCTAAAGGCCGTCTGACAGGATACGGAATTTATTGCTAATTTTCGTAGAAATTTAAGGAAAGTGTCAGGCAACATTCAGTACATAATTTTGTATGCACAAATAGTGTTAAATTTTTTAGAACCTGTTCTAAATTATATGTTAAAAGTGGCGTCTATTGCGCATTTGGATCAGTACAGGGTGGCCAACTAAGAATGCGAGGTACTGTATTTGGGAAAAAAATTTCTTACTACAACGGCCAAGAAAAAACCTGGAAAATATTTTCAAGTTTCTGAAATGGCCGCTAGCGATCGTCACTGCAATCTTGAATCTAAAAAGTGATGTATCTGTGAATTCCGCTATAATAACCTAACAAAAAATACCCGATCTTTAAATTCGAGGATAATCTGAACCTTTTTTGTTGGACATTTTTGCTGTATCTCTAAAAATAGAATTGTGGGGGGTATTCTAATGTTTCCGTAAAAAACGCCCTGTATTTTCGAAACGATTTCAACAAACTTAGGCTAGTTGAAAAGAACCATACTTAGTTAGTTTCATATGTGGTCGCTAGAGGGCTTTTTTCGACAATTCGGCAGAAATGGTTATTTTTCTCAAAAAATCAAATGCATTGATATGATATTTTTTTATGAAAAAGTAGCTAAATGATGTCTAAACAAACTCGCGAAAACCGCATCTTGATATATTATTCCTAAGCTAAAATTTAGAGCAAAGAAAATTTTAAACGGAATGGATAAGAAAAAGTATATGCCCAACTAATTTCTAGTTTTGAATCTCAAGTAAGTGTATTTGAGACAAGAATCCAATGGAATGATCATCAACACATACAACTTACATCTTAGACCTCCAGTAATGAACTGAAGTTTCATGACGCGTAGGCATTAATTGTCTACGTCTCGATGAATACAATGCGAATACAATGAATACCATGTATAAATTGCGTATAGAATGAATACAATGTATACAATGATGAAGACAGTGTATAGAATAGCATAAGTGAGGTTAGGTTTATTCGCAAAAGTCAGAAAGTTGGTAAACAGCGAACCGACAACGTAAAAAAATAAAAATAAATCGATGAACTAGGCTTCATTTGTTGTTCTTAATTTATTTGAAACTGTATCTTTGTATACGTATATAAATGAATATTATATATTTTTTCATTATTTATAAACTGCTTCAACAGTCAAACCAATAATGCAATGTTGCAGAATTTGTATCTACCCTGAACTTTCAGTTCCACCTAAAATCGGAGAACCATTAGGATCGATCTGGAATTGATCCCAAACAGATTCCACAGAAATTTGTATTTGAGCGGAGAAAACAAGGCGTGGCAGCAAGTTACAGTTGTGTTGTGTGTCTTCATGACTGTTGTGCCAGGCAACGTGGTGTGTGGCGCACTCTTTCTACACAAGTGGTGCCCGCGTGTCCCCCTCTCTCTCTCTCTTTCTCGTACACATGGAAATCTAAAAGGGAAAGTGACTTTCGCCAGCACTATATGCAAGTAGTTGAACTATGATTTGCTATTGTATACATTATATACATTTTATACGTGAATATCGAGACGTATACAATGGTGTATTATACATGGTGTATACAATGCACCCATCACTGGTGCTATGTTAACATTTTGTAGAAAAACCTACATAATGTCACAAAAAATCGACATAAGACATAAGGTCACTTTTCAAGATACGTAATACCCGATTGAATAACCACAACTATGTACAAAAACCGAGTTGAATTCATCCAAGTCCAACGTGTCCCACTATTTCTAATATCAGGTATTCCGTCATCGTTCCTATTTTATGGAGAAATCACGAATTGAGCAGAACTGTTCATATGCTGTACCGTTAATAGATATTTACTTTCTCTTGTCTGGCTTATTTAATTTACCCCTATGTATTAACAATAACTGAGCCATTCACTTCGTAAAACAGACAGTATTTCTGCCTTGCTCTATGTATGTACACCAAGTACAAATAGCTACTTGAATATCCTTTCCAGAGAAAAGAATGCACGTCGTTGTATTGACATGTCACTTTGGTAGGCAAAAATAACACTGATCAACAGCCAAAAAATATCCTAAATAAAATCAACAAAATATTACTATTTTTAATGTGCTAAAACCGGAATGAAACTTATTTTTTCAATATTAGTTCAAGTTTTAGAGATACGGTAATTATATGTGTTCCTGCTGTGACGGTGTTAATATACTGTAATTCACAAGAATGCACGTGCTACATTTTTATATTCGGCAAGGAAAGATGATGTAATCGGCATGATTGTGTTACGTTATACATACGTGTACATTATATTGTTTTATATTAGCCATTTTTTCCTCAGTTGGCTGACAGCGTTCATGCAAGATGTCTCGTAAGTGTGTAAACAATCCAGATCAGTTTTTTTACGTGTGTGGTGATGTGACTTTTGCGTCTCAGAGACGGTCTATTACTCCACTAATAACAAAGGCATATCAGCTTTATTTCGGTTGTAAACTAGGTGATCAAGACAAACAGTGGGCACCCCACATCTGCTGTAATACATGTGCTTCAAGTCTGAGGAGCTGGTTAAATGGCAAAAAACGGTCTATGCGCTTTGCTGTCCCAATGGTTTGGACAGAGCCTACAAATCATATTAATGATTGTTACTTTTGCATGGTACCTTGTGTTGGACAAGCCACAGGTATGTCCAAGAAAAAGAAATCGGTTATTAACTACCCAAACATACCATCTGCGATGAGACTTGTGCCTCACAGTGACGAAAATCCTATTCCAAAACCCCCAGAATCCTACACTTGCGAATCAGAAAACGAATCAGATCATGGCGATCGAGCGATTCGTCAGGAAGAAGATATGCCATCAACGTCAAGAGATCCTGATTTTATACCGAGCCCGACATGCCACCAACCGCACAAAATAACACAGTCAGAATTAAATGATCTTGTAAGAGATTTAGAACTTCCAAAATGTAAGGCAGAGTTACTTGGATCAAGACTGCAGCAGTGGAACTTGTTAGAAGACGATGTTTCGGTATGTGTTTTTCGTAAACGCCACAAATACTTAGAACCATTTTTCAATATGGAGAATAACTTGGTTTTCTGCAGTAACATTAACGGCTTACTGGCGGCTTTAAATATAAACTACATATATAACCCAGAAGAATGGAGATTGTTTATAGACAGTTCAACATTGAGTTTAAAGGCAGTGTTATTGCATATTGGAAATATTTTACCATCTCTTCCTGTAGGGTATGCAGTTCACATGAAAGAATCATATGATAATATGAAGTACCTATTGACATGCATAAAATACGATGAGCACCAATGGCATATTTGTGGCGATTTGAAAGTTGTTGCACTTTTACTTGGGCTGCAGCTAGGCTACACAAAGTTTTGCTGTTTTTTGTGTGAATGGGACAGTCGGACAAAGGCACTTCATTACACCAGACAAAACTGGCCTGTTCCTCAATTCCTAGAGCCAGGTCAAAAAAATGTACAGCATATGCCATTAGTAGATTCGAAAAAAAATTTATTACCACCACTGCATATCAAGTTGGGCTTAATGAAAACTTTGTCAAGGCATTAGATAGAGATGGGTCAGCTTTTCAATACCTGCGTCAGAAATTTCCAAGACTAAGTGAGGCAAAGGTTAAACAAGGTATTTTTGTTGGGCCACAGATTCGAAATATTTTGAAAGATACACAGTTTGAAAACACTTTAACAGGTATTGAAAAAACTGCTTGGAATGGTTTCCGTCTGGTGGTCACTAATTTCTTGGGAAATAGAAAAGCTGACAACTATAAAACCCTTGTCAAAAATATGCTGTCATCGTATCAAAAGATGGGCTGTAATATGTCTCTTAAGATACATTTCCTACACTCACACCTGGACTTTTTTCCTGACAATTGCGGAGCCGTAGGTGATGAGCACGGCGAACGTTTTCAGGATATTTCAACAATGGAAAAAACGTACCAGGGAAGGTGGAATCCTTCCATGCTTGCAGACTACTGTTGGACTCTTGGTAGAGATGCTCCAGAAACGATCCATAAAAGAACAGCAAAAAGACAGCGCATATAGTGATTTTTATAAGTATATGAATCTTGTTACTTTTTTTAATATATCCTTAAAAATAAAAAGTTTTTTTTTCTAAACCGCAACTAATTTTCTTATTTCATTGTCATTTTTGGATTCAGCGCCCCAAAATTAACAGAGAAGTGCACTTTTCCCAAAGATACAATTAAAAAACTAAAATTTGTTGTCCAGTGTAATCAAATTAGCCAAAAGTCTGCACTAAAATTAAACAAATTTGGCGACAAACAATATAATGTGAACATCTAAGCTTGACTCCTAATCTATTTGAATTAAATGGTCTGGATGGATTCAGAAGGATATTAAAGAGTTTTTTACCTGCGGCTCCTACAACAGTTACTTTGATTCTATGACTGCTGAAAGCAGAATGCCCAATATTTTTTGACAAGTTCGAGTTTCTTTCACATAGTTTATATAACAGTCCATTTTTCAGTAAGTTGCTTGAACTATTACGGAATGTGTAGATCAATTTTTGCACTATTTTAGTCATTTTTTTATTTATACTATAATTTGAAATGTATGCTAAACGTGACTGATGTCAGAATGAATCGACAGGTATTTCTCACCGTGGTCCGTTTATAAAGATCTACTGTGCATTTGAACTACTAATAGTAGGTTACAATTTTAGAGCAGATATCGAGGTATACATTCATTGAATAATGGGGAATATTGCAAAATGTTTCTTCTTAAGGAATGCCAATATTTTGTATCTAAAAATGTTCTATTGTCATAGCCATATCGTAGAATTGACCATTTCATGAAATGCTGGCTCATTTGATGAAATGACCAACTAAATTTGACCATATCGTTAAATCACCACGTTTAACGATTTGAGTATATCGTAAAATATTGTGTCCACAAAATATTCATTTAAAATGCAGAACTCGTACATTGTTCTTCTGGTGCTCCAAGTACGACACCACTTTGATTAAGACTGGTAACTCTAAGGAATTAAAATATAAGGATTATATTAATTTTACAGCATATCGCATTTTCATATAAATAATAACGTTTTACCCCTAGAATGCCAATTGCTTGATCCATACTGAAAGGGACTATTGAAGAATCCGTCATTTATTTGTCATACTGTTAGGTGATTATTGTTTCTAATGAGTGGGTTACATCTTGATACTTTTCGACACAACATGGTGGAAATTTGCTTTCAGGATTACAGAAAGGCGAAGTAATATAAAACGACAAACTACCCCTGTACGATTTGCCGGAAAATATTATTGAAACGAATGCCTCTTGATGTTTCTGCGACCCCGATACAAAATTTGTAGTTTTATGAAAATCGTCAGATTTTTTTCTAGAAATCGTTACGCTACTGGGAAAAGTTTCTGTCACAGACATGTGAGGAGATATGAAGAAGGCCCTCCGCTATTGATGCAATTTGCAATTCAAATTATCGGTGCGAATAAATATTGACGTTTCTGCGATCCCGATACAAAATATGCTCTTTCTCAAATCGTGAGTTTTTCTTTGCGAAATCTAAACAACTGAGTGAACATTTTCAGGATAATAGAAGCTCGAGGAGGTATGAAAATGCACTCTGCTCCTCATACAATTTGAAGGGAAATTCAAATAATTGGGACGAATATCTCTTTATATTTGCGCGATCCTGATACCAGATCTGTAATTTCTTGAAAAACATAGATTTTCTTTGCACATTGAAATTATTGGTGATAAAGAATAGAAATGAAAGAGCTGTTTGCGTTCAAAATTTAATAAACAAACATTGCCTGTTACAAATACGGTAGAAGTATCACACTAGGTGATTGCTATAGGTAGTAGATCAGAAAATGTCAAAGAAAAACAAGATAAAGTATAAGTACAAAGAATATCAGAGATTTTAGACTAGTTATGCTTCTGGTTGGGCATCTCTGCACGACTTAGGACACTTAGGGGCAGCATAATCAGCACTACAAGGGTCACAGGGTGGGGGGTTGATCACTTCCACGAATGTTTCACCCCTCTTGATGTCGGCTATCAAAGAAGGGATGGCATTGTCAAACATGCAGGATTCGAATTCGCTCAAGCGTGGAATGCCTACGTTGCGGGCGATACCATTAGGACCCAATTGGATAGGGGTTGCTAGGTACTTCAACTGGGGGTGCATCTGAACAAGAAAAAAATGGCAATGGTTATAAAGAGCTAATGCGGTAAAACAGCAGCGAAAAAGTTAAAAACTATTTATCTGGTAAATAATTTCAAGTATCGCTCTATGTTATTTTGCTTATAAATACTGTTCGATTCAACAACCCAAGTTAACTTCTTGAATTTGAAACAGCTGGAGCTGCCTATATCTTCTACTGTGTACACCTCGACGTTCCTATATACGCATGTTGTACAAGATATACCTACGCGGTGCGATATGAAAACGTCCAGCAGATAAGACGAAAACAATCTAAATATACTCTCTCATAATCAGCATCAAATCTGCTCTATAAAACCAACAACTCGCATTGCTTACGCGGCGCATGAAGCCTAAGTTGAATAGTTTTAAACGTTATATCTTTTCTCCTAATTCTTTACTGGAGTCAGGATCACGCTCGATTGACGACTTTGGAGTACGCTTTAATAAGAAAATTCGCTTGTTCTCACAAGAACTGTGTTGGCGAAAGTCCAAAGTGTTTTACCTTTGAAGGGACGTAGGCGCATTCTACAACATCTGGGTAGCCCATGATTCCTTTCACCAGAGATATGACGAATCTCGCCGTAGCAAAAGCAGTAGACAATGGAGCCGCTTCATGCGGCATCAACTTCACTATGTTCTCTTGTGCTTTTCGAATGTTCAACGTCAAATCTTCAAGTTCATTCTGCAAGTAAACATTTTATTATTCCAAATAATGAATGCATCATCTAGTGGTGCTTTTTTCAATAGCATGAAAAACAAAAACGGATCAGCTGTGTCGGGTTATCTCCCTATTATCAAACAAAAGAAGCCATCTCCTTTTTCGAATGTACTTATGTAATAAATATTTGGCGATAAAGTTGGTTACTATATTGTTACGACAACACCGTTTTTGGTATTTAAGGTCTAATTTATTACTCTCACAGTAATCGACGACTCTGTCTGCCCGCTCGCGACACACGGATTTACCCTAGAATCGACGAATTCCAGGTCGAACTTGAGCTTTCATCGAAGCTTGCTAGGTGGCGGTCGATGTTTCTCCAAACGTGACGAATGTTCGCGACGTGCTTAATTCTGGTTGCCTAAGTGCCGATGTACGAGGGTCTCATTGAAGCACAGAGTTCCAGATACGAGGGCTTTAAACTATTTAAAAACGTTTTCAACAGACATAATTTAAAAGCATGCTTACGTTGCTGAACTCGGCACAAGGTTTAGCCTGAGACAGCACAGGAATCATAGTTTCTTCACTATGCCCTCCGATAACAGGAACCATGGCACATTCTGGCTCCACATCTTGACACTGAGCTACGAATGTGTTGGCTCTAACACAGTCAATGGCGGTAATGCCGAATAAAATATTAGGGTTGTAACCACCCGTCTTTTTCATCACTTCGGCGCACATTGGTACTATACTGTTTATTGGACTGGTGCCCACTGCTAAGAAAGCCTAAAAATATAAGATACACAGATATATAACGAAAAAGGAAGCCTGGAAGTCCAAAATTTGGAGATTTCTATGTAACTTGGAAGAATATGTCGTATATGGGTCAACACTAAAATTCTACTACCTGGCTTGACGGGTCATATCTCAGATCGGGCAATATTTTTTCAGGGTACTAGGTCAAAAGCTTCAGCCTTGAGACACGCTCATTTTTTTTATACTCCAGCTACCACGAAAGCCTTATACTCATGGGGTTCCGTGAAGCTTTAGGGGAAAGGGGGTGGGCGCCACACGGATTCTAGCGAGGGAACACGTGTGCATGCAACATGCACACATTCTGGCCCCGCCTACGAGATCCGCCGGGTGGTACCTCCGCGTACGACAGTCAGAGACCTTCTACCACTTACAAGGTAGGTAGCTATGGAGGCGCTAGGCTTTGTGAAATTTCAAGGTACTAGGTCAAACGGTTCAGCCTGGGTCTGGAGGCGCGCTCAAAGTTTAATGTTTCGGTAAAAATGTTAATTTTGGGGGATGTGGCAACTTTTCGATTTTCTGGCTACTCCTGTCATTGGAAAGTATTAGGCACTATAATATTGTATATGACTATTCCGAAGCAAAATTGTATAAGGAAATCTAAAATGACCTCGAAATTGCGGTATGATGATTTGACGACTTTTAGTCTTGACCATTCTCGGATGAGAAAACTTTGAGGGTTGCTTTCTTGATACATATCTACGTCGATAAGATAAATTGCTGGTACTGTCAGTACTACCATTGATTAACCTGATTGTTCTATAATTCGTTTCTAGAAAAACGATGTTACCTGAGGAGATATCTTTGCATATGTATTCATGACCTCCAAAACTATATGGGAGTTCTGATACCACATCTGTTCTAGAGACATCGTGTCTGTATCAGAGGCAGATGCTAGTAGTACTACGATATTGGAATCCTAAAATATGTAAAACATAAGTACTTTCTCCATAGGATAGCCATCAACCTGCCGTTTTTTCTAAGATTACAATAGCAATTGAAAACAACGATCACTTCATTAGATTCTTATGAGTTTCTCAATAACATTGATTAAAATAAAATAAAAATTATCCGAAATGAAATAACGTATCATCATCTATCAGAATTTGTCACATCCATCTTTCCCCTTTTCACAATAATTCGAAGTCTACTCTGAAAAGGTTAGTATCTCGTAGATGGTATTGCAGCTATATGAACATATATTATTGGCTACAGCGCCATCTGTGAGACACTGACGTTTTCAAAGTAAATTCCCAAAGAGAAAGATAGATGCGACAAATTCTCATAGATTACGCTACGGTATCTCATTTGATCTCGGATAATTTTTCGGACGCGCGAACATAGCATTAGGTGGGTATCTTCAGGTAGAAGAATCAATGTCAATACCTATTGCTTGTATGCACTTTATTACCGTATTTTTGAATGATACCTGTAAGGCATTGGCTAGATTATCCTTGCCTGTAAATGCAGTTACTTTGCAGTTAGTATCAACATGGTTCAGCTCCAAGGCAAAGCCACCTGTTGGTACTATATCATGAACGCAGAGTTCTTCGATCAGTGGTGATTGTTTCAACATTAAACATAGTGGTTGACCTACTTTACCTGAAAAAAAAAAAAAATGCAATATAGTAGCTTGTATCTATGCAATATATTTTGATGTTGGTTTGGCTGTAGGTTTAACATTGTATTACAGGCGAAATGGTCAATGGTGGCCCAGTTACCAGGTCGCTCACCGTTACTACTACTTGGATGGAAGTAGAAAAAAAAAAGACTTACCTGCGGCACCCACAACAGTTACTTTGATTCTATGACCGCTGAAAGCAGAATGCCCAATATTTTTTGACAAGTACGAGTTTCTTCCACATAGTTTATGTAACAGTCCATTTTTTAGCAAGTTGCTTGAGTGCTTATGGAATTGGATCTTCAATTTTTGTAGTATTTTAGACATTTTTATTGATACTGGAATTTGAAATAGATGCCAAACGTGACAGATGTCTGAATGAACCGGATGGTATTTCTCAGCATGTTAAAAGATCTACTGGGCATTTCAACTACAAATAGAACGCAGTAATTTTAAAATACAGTAAGTGGCAAAAATTGTATTCCAAAAACTGTGACTGGCTGTAACGCAATAAGTTAGCGTGACGGTTATATAGTTTTCCACACCGTGCTTGGAAAGTAACCCTATTCTGCCATGGGTGTGGATGTTGAGGTTCCATCTGATGTGAGAAAATAATCTTTCTCCAACAGTTTCGATATATTGGCGGATATAAGAGGAGGCACGGAGGGCGCGCACCACCAGCCTAGACGCCCAAACCTGCCATTTTTTTTAATAAATTTTTTTTAAATAAAATGCTACATAATGCTGTATTTCAGTCAGAAAATTTTTGCTTTACCTGAATCCAAGGCCTTCGGCAGGAAATACAGGGTGGCCGATATGTATCTGACTGGTTTTTATGTTGAATATTTGTGAAATAAAATAAAACTCGTCCATTTTTTTGATCTTGATCTTGTATTGAAACTTAGAAATTATGTATGAAAAATATCAGACAAATGTCTGCCTCTAGAGGTTGCGCAAACCTGAGCCCTCTTGATTACATTTTCCATCACTTGTTTCGGGAGAAATATTTGCAAGCGCTTCCGTAATATTGTTCTTCAGCTGCTCTGCAGAATTTGGTTTGTTGGCATAAACCCTATTTTTCAAAAATCCTCATAAAAAGTCATGAGCCGTTAAATCCGGTGGCCAGTTGACATCACCAAATCGAACGTCCCAGAAACATTATTCGCAAAAGATTCATTATTTCCCTTCGCTGTGTGACAAGTTGCTCCGTTCTGCTGGAACCACATGTTTTGCACCATATCACGGTACCGCCCAACAGTGACAGTAAGAGAATTACCTGCAGCGTCTTCCAAGAAGTAAGGTCCAATGACACCTCCATACCAAACACCGCATCAAACTGTGACTCGACGAAGATGTAGTGATCGTTAATGGATGATACGAGGTTTCTCAAATGCCCAGATACGAAGTGTGCTTCATCGCTCATTATCAGTCGGTAAAAATCGTTATTTTTGGTACTGAGCTGCAACATTGCACGACTCATTGTCGGCGACTTCACTATGCCGTTATTCTTGGGTTAACTGAATTTTGTAGGGCCGCAAATTTTTAAATAATGCATATTGACTTGCGACGAATACCTAGTTCTTGAGACCGATGTCTGGTAGACGTCTCAGTGCGCTCCACTACATCTTCACGAACTCTCACGATATTTTCCAGAGAACAAACAGTTCATACACGGCGCGACCTTGGAAAGTCTAACTTCACCTGTTTGTTCAAATTTCCGCATCAAATAACGAATGGTGTTGACACTGGGCACATTATTTCGACCGAAATCTTGTCGTAGCTTCAGAATCTTTGCAACAATCTACTCATTATTGAAGTAAAACGTTTTAACAATACGGACGCGTTGTGGGATCGTGTAGCGCTCCATGATGAATTGGACACGTGTTTTAGATAACTACTACTGCGACACCTACTAAAATGCGTGTATCAAAAATGGAGCGCAATTTAAATCAGCCAGTTATACAGGGTGACTTCGAAGTTGAGTCATTTATTTTAACAGTAAGTAGATCTGATCAAAAGAAATGTTTTTTTCCTTTACCATTTTTCTGGTAAAATTAAAGTAACAAAGTTATAGCCCTTTGGAAGTTTGAGTACCGCCCTGTCTCAATAATAATATTATGTGCTCGTGTTTGGCGACAACGGATATAATTCGCCTTATCGGTTCATCGCATCGGAAACAAAAAAGCAAAAGAATTTGGAACGATGTTTTTACAATTACATATTTCATTCATTTGTATACAGTTAGTGTCAGTGAATAGTGGTATGTGTTGCGTGGCTCAAACGAAATAAAAAATGGCACATGTTTATGCGGATCGGTTTCCCAATCGAGTGCAACCAACCCCTCGTGCCTTTGTTAATGTAGTACAACGGGTTCGTGAATCATTTGACTTAAGACCTCACATACGGACGGCATGCCGGTGCTCCAAGACCTCACGATCAAATACAGGTCCGCACTGAAATACTTGTCGGGAGGATACTTTATAAAACAAGGTAAACATTTTTTTTTATTTTTACACACATATTTTGGTTTATCTTCCTTCTACAATCATTATCTGAAAATTAATGACTCAACTTCAAAGTCACCCTGTATATCGGCCACACTGTATAGAAAGTTGTCTTTCAAGGTATGGTATTTCAAATACGTTTTTTTCAACATAAAAGCGAAGACAAGCTTGAACTGCTAATTGATCTGCAATCGCTTGCGAAAATCTCTTCAGCTTTGTCTGTCAAATCGGAACGTAGGATCTTTGCTTTTGGTTAAATCTTGTAGGTCAGTAGTTCTGGTTGACCAGATATTAGACGGTCAGAAAGAGAAAAAAAGAAGAAAGGAATGAGAGAGCAACAGAGCGCTAAGGTTGGCATGGATTATCGAAATAAAATTACTTGGCCTAAGCAAGGAATTATTATTAATTAGCATACACATCAATATAATATTACAGGTATAGATGATTAAACTTATCAGCTATTTCAAAAACAAACCTAAACCTCTATGCATCTTTAGACGACACTCCATATAGATTCATGCTATCTTTATGTCTACACGTGCGGTGCGTCTAAAAATTTTCTATTGACATATATGTTAATTATTACATTTTTCTTTGTGTATAGATCAGCGGTACACCCAAAACCAACAAACTACCAAATATGATCAGATTTCTCACATTTACAATGGCATTTTGGACAATAAGTTATTATTCCCATAACCTCAAACTTTCATAATTTTTGTAGAGTCGACCGGTCATATTAGTAGGTGATAACAAGATTAATTTATAGGATATCGCAGCTATTCCTTTAAACAATACTGTTTTACCCTTAAGAATTGACATTGCTTAACCCATGCTTACTTTCAACGGGACTGTTGAAGAAACCGTCATCTATTTTCTATCGGATGATTTAGTTAGATCTGACACTTTTTGAGGTCTAATTGTGAAATTTTTGCGTGGCCTATGCTAGGGTGTACCCGGTACATTTTCGTGTACAGAAATACAATTCCATACACGAGATTGAACAAATAAGATAAAAAAAATAGTTTCGGTACAACCTCTATACTTTGCATCAAATAAATGCTCCCTTTTCACAATATTATAATCAATACATATCATGTTGTCGGGGCACTGCATTATATATCATATACATAATATTTGAGTTATATAAGAGGAAGAGACATTCAAAAAAGAAATTATCAGCGTTAAGGTATGTTCCCACTAACAAAAGGGCCAGCGACATGTGGTGACACATTGTAGGAATGGAACACTGCAACATGTTGCGCAACAATTTGTACAGTGGAATCGTACCACTATCGTCCATGCGGATAGTAGAGGACGAAAAGGTTGAAGTTTGTGTTACAAACTACCGCCTAGTAAATATATATATATGTAAAAAGTTCTAAGCTTACTACTATACTTGATTTCCTTTTAAACATTTAAATATATATTATATATATCTAAGAGTGCCGCACAAGTTTGTCTCTTGTTACAAAGACATCGCGCGATTTACAGCGTCCGTCAAAAGTATTTGTGTTTATCAAGTCATTATTTTTTTAAACTTAAATAACACGGCCAAAATGAGAAGTGTACCTTGAAATATAAAAAAGAAAAAAAATTGAAGTTTTTACCTTTTCACATTTCAAGGTAACGTAATTCTGCATACTTTTGTCGAAGGCTGTATTAAATCTAATGCTCACCGTGTGGCGCACATTGACAATATTTTTTTCAGAGACAACATAAAAATAAAAAAGAATTAACGATTGAATTGTCGCAGAAAAATCTCGAAAAAAACCACTAATTCTATGCAAAGTATAGCTTGTAAATTAAGTGCTATCCATCCCTTTTCATGCATTTTTCTGTTGTGTCGGTACACGGGTTTCAGGTTGCTTCTTGCGAATAGAATGAAATAAAACATGAATTTTATAAAACAGAAGGCAAAAAGTGAATGTTTTCATCTATTATTGAAATCTGATGACATATGACCTACGGATAATGTAGGTAATGTCCCATACCTCAAATGTGTTAAAGCCAAGTGCTCCGTGTAGTTTGCATTGTTCATTTTGTTGCATTTTCCGGTGTGTAAGACCTTTTTGTGTTGCCGACTTGTTTTGTGTCATGTTTACAACACACTCTGAGTCGGAGTGACCCGAATTACTGTGTTACTGTTGTACAACACGAAGGCAGTTTAATAGTCCAAACATGAATCAGTAACTTTTTACTTGTCGCGCTTTTCCCACCTTATTCGTATTGTCGAACAACTCCCAGTTATTGTCTGCAGAGCTGAATCCTTTCCAGCTGACCCGAACTTCTCCAGTGTCGTCTTGTTCGAAGTACACGTTCAATATTTGGTCGACTTTCTTTTTTCTCGTCCTAGTCCTCCTCTGCAATTTCGGAGCCTCCCTTTTCTTATTCTTGGCAAGCGTGGTAGTCTTTTTGCTTTTCTTTTGCTCTGAAATCACTTATCAAGTCACCATTTTCTCATCTATCTCACACTGACTCTCATTCTTCTCATCTCTAACTGAAGCAATGGAATGTTCATGTGCTGGTTTTCTGCCTTCCTTTGATTTATGTTTCTCATTTCTCATCATCTTCATCTCCGCTTTTGGGCTCTTTCGGTGTAGACATCTTGCCTCGTTTTGATTGTTGGCCCTCTGAAGCAGTTTCACCACCTCCAGCAGAAGTCAATGTATCTTTATCAGGGTCATCTTTTTTCATCTTTTATTCTCCAATGAATCTTCAGAATCGCCAGACTTTCGAACCAAAGATGCCTCATCCTTCTTTGATTCCCGAGGCTTTACCGACCTTTTCTCTTTTTCGGCATTACCTCAATCTCAGAATCTGCTCAATTCTCCACTATACCGTTCGATATACCATATTTTCGTCTTGTGCTTGAGACTTGCGACCACGTTTTCTTTTAGGTTTCGAGAAAAAATATAGCATAAACCGAGTGCAAAATGTTAAAATTAGATAAAACGTGATAATTGGGTTATGAATACCTAAACTCGATAAAATTGTTGCATCTAGAATAAAAAATGAATAACCTTTGGCAATTAATACGCATCGAGATCTCGGAAATGGTATAGATGTCAAATTGGAGTTGCAACAACATAAACGGTACGTAAACTTGAAATGAATCTCAATTTCCTGGGTCCAATATCTCAGAAATGTTGCCACTCAGCGAGATATTCTTTGGCATTACTGGCATTTAACAACTCTAATAAGAGGCAAATTATCGGTGGCTGCGGCGATATAAATCACGCGAAAATTACGAAATGCGCTTTTCAATGTTCAGGATATCTTTAGACAACTAAACACTTTTTTCATAAAACACTTTTGGGTCTAATAGCTTCAATATTGTAGACACCAATATATATACGAAAGTTCATGCTTCTCTATAAAAAACTCAAAAGTAAAAAATGCTATTCTAGTAACCGCCAGAAACAACCCGACTACAACCCGTGTACCGGCCCGCTGCAGAAACGAACCAAAAAGCGCCCTAAGGGGGTAAATGAAGGGCAGGGGCGCCCTTTACAATAACAAACTCCCCCTTAGGGGAGTTTGCATAAACCAAAAAGCACTGTTTTGCTTACAGTTAGACCAGCATGTTCAACCTCTTCACTTCTTGGTCATGATCTTTAGATATTCGAGAGCCAAATGGGCTGCATGTGCTTGGGCATCTTTGGGGCTCTTGCCAGTTCCAAAGCATACTGCGACCGGAAGAGTGGACAGTTGCACCAAGCATTGGCAGTGGCCATTGAGGGTTTTTTCTTCGATGTCCACATATGTTACTTCGAAGTTCTGCTCGGTTGCAATATCTTGCAGGAATTGGACAAAGTTAAAGTCCTTTGCGCACAAGGCAATAGACTGGAACAAGCAGAAAAATTGTATTTTCTAACGTATTTTTTTTCATTTCATTGTACAGGGTGGCGCAAATGAATGATATTATTTGATTTATTTATAACGCACCCGTATTTCGGAATTTACTATGTCTTAGGTCTTAGAAGAGAAGAAATTTGATATAAGGCGATGGTACACCATCAAACAAGTGAAAGTTGCTGAAATGTACTTTATCTTTGTTATATCGTCGCTATTTCAAAAATTTTCACAAGAATAAGGCAACTTATTTAAAGTGGCCAGCAACAAAGGGTAGTATTGAACCTTAGTAGTGCCGCAGGCTTATTACGTAAAAAAACTTATACAGGGTGTAATAATTAAAAAAAATTAAAAAATCCAAGTCGTGTACTTTTCAAATTATAGGCTTAAAAAAATTGGGAAAAATATACACAGTAAAGATTTTATGTGATTTTACCTGTAGTTCAGAAAGGTTTTTCCCACTGGAGTTTTTCAAAGTCTTGTGGAACTGAGAGACCTTGTGGGACTGTTGACTACCCAGCTTGGATATTTTACTGTCTTTCAGGCCCACGTATCTGCCCTGAATGTTGCTTAGCTTGCCCACCAACTGCAACAGACCAGGAACAGAGATGTGTAGCTTACATTTTTACATATAATTCTTAATTTCAATGCTACTCTGATCTGAATGTGCTAGGGAGGATTTTTACTTTCTTTCATTCCTCTCAGCCAAATGAAAACATATATGAAAAAGCGAAGCAAAATAGTCCCAAAGTTACACAAAACACACAACGACCTTATGTATATAACCATGAAAAAAAAAATACCCAAAATTTTAGCTGTGGCTTCTGAAAGACAGTAAAAATACCAATATAGCACAAACGTCTATTAAAAATTTCAGAAACCAATCTGAAATGTGATTTTCAAAGCCTGTTTCTGGAATATACGGCTTCATCGTCACATGAAAATTCTATCTCTGACAACTGTACTATAAAAATTAATAAAATGTGATGCAGTCAAAGACCTATGATGTTAAATATTTTTGAATTATGAAAATAAAATGTTGGGAGACTCACGTCATCTTCACTGAAAAAAACAACTGGTAGATTGTTTCCTTCCATTGGCATATCTTGCAACGTCTGCCACATCTTGTGCGCAGCCATCCTCTTAGCCAACTTCTTGGATTTGCCGGTGCCTATCTCACGGAATTTCAACACCTAGGAAAAAAAAGAAATGAAAAATAATAAACATACGTACACCATCCAGCAAAACGCATTTCATAAATCATTTTAAAAGTCTGCTACTAATATTTACATATTTTTCAAGTTATCCAACCTTAAGAACACAGAGTAATTCTCTTAGAATGCTTATTTCTAAGGTTCTGTATTCTGACAACTTCTGAATGATGGAAATGGAAATCTTATCATCTGCGGCACCAGTCCGAGAGGTGGCAATGCAAATTTGGTATCTTCTGGTTGAATTTGTTACCCAATGGTTAAACCAAAGATTACCTGGCATGCAATAGTGAACTGACGCTCATGCGGTAATCCTTCCTCATGTTCCATCTCATAGGATGGTGGTGGCCACCTTCTGGACATACACATCTCTTGGAGCCAACCAATCGGGTTGCCCATCACTTTGTCGTCGTACGGTGAGACAACTTGGCTGGTGCTGAAACAACAAAAGATCTTTGTAACAACAAAGCATGTGATCTACAGGCTATCGAAACATGTAGAACAAAGGCCTAAGGTTTGGAAAGGGTCAATCTAACGGTAACCTGGAACATGACCTTGCATATGACCTTCAAGAGCATTGGAAGGTCAATACAAATCCGTATTTTTGTCACCGGAAACGTAAACCTTCAAGGTCGTGGTCAGGTCACGTTAAACGTCACCATTATACCCTATTCGTAGTCCATTTACGTCCCGGCACAACAAAGATGCAGCGCGGCAAAGCGGCAGCATGATTCGACGGGATATAACTCAGGCTCGGGATATCGCCGGCACTTGCTGCTCATATTCGGTGCATACATAGCTTGTGTTTATAAAGCATGTCGTCTAAGGATACAGCAAATGAAACTGAGAATATTTCTCCCAATGCTTCGTTCAGCCATGCTTCCTCTTGAGTGATGTCTCCTCCTCGAAAACGTGACAAGAAGGGACATTTGAATATCCAGGCCAAAGACATTGTGCTTAACGTTTATAAGAGAGACATTTTAGCGTATCCTGAAACGAAAATTCATGATATTGAACGACGTGTAGCGAACAAGACAGGGTTATGTCCAAAGACAATTTTCAACATTGTTAAAAAATATAAAAAAACAAAAAATTGTCTCCACTACACAACTTTGATCGGAATGCCATCAGACGCAAAGTCCATCAATTTTTTGAAAGGCAGGAACTTCCCACCATGGACAAAGTATTACAGGAGGTTAATAGTGATGAAGACCTACTTTCAAAACGACCACATTCTATAGTTTACTTAAAGCACATCATTTTGAATACAGAAAACGGGACAGAAATAGTATTTTGATGGACAAACAAGAGATTATTTTATGGTGAAGAAATTATTTAAAATCAATAAAGAAGTGCTCTGGTATTTCTCAAATTTCATGGGTCTAAAACCAGCGATTAATTTATTTTTTTTCTTACAAGTCTCCCTTGGTGGTGCGAGGAGCGAAATTTTTCGGAAGTATTTGAGTTATGTGCATTTATTTGCGAGAAATTGCAGCAATTTGAATATAGCCATCTCGTTTATAACATGTATACCAGGCTACAAAAAGTGTTGTTAATGAAAAATAGTTATTTCTGGAATTTTATTTAGAAGCCTGTATTATATAGTCCGGGCGATTTGGATCAATATGACAAAAGACAAGTTCAAGACCTGTGAATGTGGTAAATGTAGAAATAATATAACTAATACACAATATAGTTTGAAATGTGCTGGGACGTGCGGTGGATGGTACCATAGGCTATCGGACGAGCAATATTTGGTTTATGGAAAGCGTAAGACTGATCAGAAGTGGTTGTGTGGTAGATGTGGTAGAACAGGCATTCTTCATCATCAGATCAGTCAGACGCGTCTGATCCCGTACCAATGGATGATCCCAGTAACAAAGACATAATGAAAACTATACAACAGAAGTTTTCAGAAGTAGAAAAGGCCTTTAATTTTAATAGTGATGGAGGAGTTACAAAGAACAATAAAAGCTATATCGGATGAGAATCGTGAGTTGCGAAAAACACAAGAGAATCTTAAGAGTCCTGTTGCTGAACTGGAGAAGGAGGTAGTAACTTTGAAGAAAAAGGTTTTTAAAGATTAAGCTAGGAAGAAAAGGGTGATTATTACAGGAATTAAAAGAAATCAGAATATCCATGAAAACGTCAAAAAAGTCTTTTCGAAATTGGATATGTGGTGGAACAATGTAATACGGTTATAGAAAAGAGAAAAAGGAACACTGGCCAATCAAAACTACAGCATCTGTGATTCACAAGCTAGAATATTTATTAATGAAGATCTTCCAAAGGAAACTAGAGGGATTTATAAAGAGGCAAGAAAATTGAAGATTTCTGGGTTTAAATATGTTTGATGCAGAAATGGCCAGATCTATGCCAGGAAGGCTGATGGGCAAGCTGCAATGAGGATCAAATCATTAGCAGACAGGAAATTTAAAAAAATTAAAGTTCAATTATATATGTTAGTTTTTTTATTGAATCCATTACCTTTTATGGAAGATTTATCATTTGCTGTTATTAATGTAAGATCGCTTACAAATAATTTCTTTGAATTTAAACAGTTTATGTTAGAAAAGAAATTTGATATATGTAGTTGGTGTTTGTGAGACGTGGTTGCATAATGGGATTCCCAATTCACATTAATGGTTATAGATTTTTCAGGTTAGATAGAGCGAGTAGAGGCTGTGGTGTAGGAATTTACATAGCAGAATATATAAAATGTAAAACAATAAACATTCTCTATAGCAAAGCAGCAGAACAAATTTGATTAGAATTTTGTATAAATAAAGAGTATTTGACGTTTGGCACACTTTATAGGCCACCAAGTAAAAATGTATGTGACTTCCTACTTAATCTCGAAGCAAATATCATTGAGCTTTATTTAAATTCTGGTACTATCATTTTTGGTGGAGATATCAATATTGATTGTTTGAACTTTCAGAACAATCAAAATGAGGCCTTTCATAACTGTATTGAACTTTTTAATTCATCTCAATTAGTTAATTCGCTCACTCGTATCACTAATACTTCTGCTTCTCTTACTGATGTCATTCTGGTGTTTAATGATTTAAATGTATCTGACAAAGGAACAACAGATATTGATGTGTCTGATCATTTGTTGTGTATTGTACTTTGAATTTAAAATGTGTTGCAACGGAGAGTAGTAAATATGTTAGAAAGCTTAAAAATATAGATAAGGGTATTCTAGAAGAATGTTTGCAATTTCCCCTTTTATTGACTCATTTTTCATAAATAATATAAATGAAAAAGTACTATATTGAAATAGTATTATTCTTAATATTTTTGACACTTTAGCTCCGCTAACCGAGATTAAATTTAAACATTTTAAGCCGTCATGGTTAACCGCCAATGATAAATTAATGATGTCTCTTCGTGACAAGATATTTCAAAAATTCAAAAGGACCAGTTTGCCGGAACATTGGGATTATTATAAACAAATGAGGAATCTCACCACCAAAGCTGTTAGGGCTGAACAAAAATCATATTTTAAGTATTCTTTTAACAATCTGGAAGAAATTGTAAAGCCTAGATATTGCTGGCAAGTTTAAAACGCCAAATATACCTGCACGGTTTGATGACCCAAATGAGATAAATAAGTATTTTCTGATTTAGTCATCAAACAATGTTGATCCTGATCCTGAAAAATTTCACTTTTACACTAGCGATTTCCGTAAGGATTTTGTTCGCTTATTTTAATTTGAACCTGTTTATGATTCCATTGTTTATAAATATCTTTAGGAAATAAAAACTCTTGCAACTGGGGCGGATGGTATTAATATAGAAATGCTACATTTATGCTGTCCGCTCATTTTACCAAGCATAGCACATTACTAATTGTTGCCTAGTAGAAAATACTTTTCCAGACTGTTGGAAAGTTGTAAAAGTTCATCCTCTGCCAAAGAAAGACACTATATCTAGCTTGTCGGATCTTCGTCTAATTTCTATATTACCGGTGCTGTCTAAAGTTCTGGAAAAAATGATGAAATTTCAGTTAATGCTTCATATAGATAATTATGATTTGCTGCCTTCATTTCAGACAGGGTTTCGAAAGGGTTTTAGTTGCACGACAGCGCTTCTAGATGTTAGAAATTATCAGGGATAACGGCAATACAGCGGCTCTTGTATTGCTTGATTACACAAAGGCATTTGATACAATTAATCACCAATTAATGTTTTCTATTTTAAAATACATGGGACGGGCCGTTCCGTTGCTATTAAACTATTCAAAAGATATTTCTTGAAGAGGACGCAGTTTGTCATAACCTCTACCGGGGTGTTTCTGTGTGGGGTACACCTCAAGGCTCTATCTTAGGTCCATTACTTTTTTCAGTATTCTCTGTAAATATTACTAGTAGTTTGAGATATCCCCAGATAAAATTTTCGTTCTCTCATACAGATAAAACAACTGCGATTACATTATTAAATGAGGATCTTAGTAATTTGACAAATGAAAGCACAGCATATCAGTTATCTATAAATAAGTCAAATGTTTTATTGTTCGGGAAACACAAAAATAGCGTGGCAGATTAATTCCATATTTCAATTAATAATAATGTTATTCCTCATACATGCGCTACTAGGAATTTAGGCTTGATTATGGATAGTGACCTGAGGTTTTCAAAGCATGTTGATAAGTGCATTGACCGTGCTTATGGTCGGCTCAAAATGTTATTTCCACGTCGTCATATCTTTTCTACCGAACTAAAGGCTTTGCTTTGTGACACGCTTGTTCTGTCATTATTCAATTATTGCGACTCAGTTTATGGGCCTTGTATAACAAGGGATGATGTTGATCGTGTACAGCGTCGTGTCCAAAACTCTTGTCTTAGGTTTATTTTTGGAGTGAAAAAATTTGAACATATTTCTTATAAGTTACCTGTAATAAGATGGCTAAATATGGAGGCCAGGAGACATCTGTACTCTGCAGTTTTGTTTCATAAAATTATTCTATATAAAACTCCGCCTTGATTACATTTCGAAGTGATGTTCACAATATCAATGTTCGGTATCGGAAGCTGATTTCCCAACCACGTCATCATACATCTATGTCTAACAATGTTTTTCTCATTTTATCTACCACTTGTACAATCACTTCCCCACAAACCTTAAGTCTATGTCTGTGTCAGCTTTTAAAAGAAGTTACAGAAATTTTCTATTGGATGAATTGTAGTGTTTAATTTATATTGTTCCATTCCATTTTATATTTTAAATGTTTTTTTTTTTTGTTAAATCTGCCTAAAGTGATTTGAACTTTTTCGTTAAATTATATTTTTTTATATAATTTCTTTATATACATATTTTTTTTGACGTTTGTAATTATTATTTATTAATATTAACTTATATAATTTGGTTAAGAACTCTTCTGTTGTAATTTTGTTTGTTGGGCTAGTACTTTAATCAGCTCGTCTGTTTGCTAGTTAGTCACTTTTGCAGGAAATTCATGTTGTTTCATCTTTTTTATTTTTTCTCTTTGTATTTTTTTGCTTTGCAAATAAACGCTACTATTATTATTAAATACCGCGACCACGGCAGGAAGACTTATTACTTGGATGAAATCTGGATAAATGCAGGACATACAAAACCTAAATTATGGGCTGACTTTACAATTAAATCAGCAAGACACGCCTTCTCAGATGGACTAACCACTGGCCTAAAGAATCCGTCAGGTACGTGTATCTAAGCAATTCGTCATTTGTGTTGTAAAAATAGTGTCAAGTAGACTGAACCTATGAGCCCACGATGAAAACTTAGCTACATTAAACTTATTTAGAACCAACACCTGTTAGATACTCTGCTTGTATTATTATTATTACTTTTCTTTACTATATAATTATTTCCAGGAAAATGAAAACGATTTGTTATCTGTCACATTGGCAGTGAAGATGGCTTTGTGGGAGTTCATTTGAACAATGGTTTGAAGAAACGCTCCCAAAGCTTGACCACAATGGCGTCATTGTACTTGATAATGCTGCATACCACACTAGAAAACTAGAAAAAATTCCCACTGCGAATTAATTCTGATTGAAATGATTTGGGCAAATATAAAAAACTATGTGGCTTCAAACAATAGAACATTTTCTGACGTGAAAATTTGTTTTATGCAGCTGTCAACAGAGTGACGGCAAATCATTGGAAATATTTCATCCGTCACGTTCAAAAGACAATCGAAACAAAGATGTGGGATCTGGACAATATGATCGATATTAAAATCGAACCTGTAATTATTAATATTATTAATGATTCAAGTACTTCTAGCGAATAAAGAATTGTAATTGAGGAAAATACGGACCTGTACAATCTCGCTTTTGGGCATCTTGTGTTTTGTCTGGGCGTAAATGGACTACGAACGGGGTATAGATAACCCGTTTAAAACTGCAACTTGGCAACATTTTTTCTAGGTAGCATATTTTTCCAGATCTGTTGACCAAACAAGAACTTACTTGAATGTAAAATTTCCCTCTCCTTAATTTCCGGTGACAATAATAGGGGTTTTGAAAAAATGGGCAAATGGAAAACTTGAGCTGTTTGTATCCAAGCATTCTATCAGACAAAGATGAAGGGGTATTGCTGCAAGGAATCTAAATACCTAATCATTATAATCATTTATACTGAATAACATTTGCACGTGCGTCGATGATCTATATTAATAGATTCCAATATAAAGCCTGTCTGTCAGGAAGTTTTCTACAGAATTAAACATACTACAAAATTGAGTATAGTATTAGAAAGTACAAATTTAGTGTATATCTTTTGAGAACCTATTCTAAATTGGTGCTAAAAAAACGCAGAGGCATAATGCACAGTGCACATCTTGACTGTACAGTGGCCGGTAAAGACGCCATCATTTGAAACCAGGGTTAGACTTTAGTCTAATCATATTAGAAATTTTCCCCAGAATAATTGTAAGTCTGGTTCTATTGGTGCAAGTTGTTCAAGGGGGTATTTAAAATGGGTACACCAATTTTTGTGGGAAAACTTTTAATTTGACAACAAAGAATGAGAAAACGTGTTTTTGTGATTCAATCGAAAGTATTGACAGGAACGAAGAAACTTTTTTTAGGTATTTATGTGACCTATAAAATGAGACCAGACTAATAGCAAAAAGGTTATGGCACTTGTTGGTAATGCGACGATGGATTCTCGCAGATATTTGAAATTCTTAAATTCGTAGGATTCGTTTATACTACTTTACTGAACGCAACAAAGTGTGGTGTGGTTAAAACAGAGGTCTGACATTGTAACAAAAAGAGAGCTTGAAGCTGACAGAAACATTGTATCACTTTTATCCAAATGCGCATGATTTCGTACGAAATTCTTGAAACTTGAGAATTAATTTCAAACAAGTTTGTTACAGAAGTATGTATACAATTTTGTATAGTAACAGACGACCTTTAGATGCAAGTTCCGGTAAGGAATTTTGAGCATTGTAGAGGATTGGAAACTTCCAATTACGTTAGATCGCTTTCATTTATTAATGCACCTGTTCAGGTCCAACTCAATCTGATGATTGCTAATTGCTTGCATATAGTTGATGTTATAAATTACATAATAGCACTGAACCAACAAAAAATTCAAACTTACCTAAGTGCTACTCATTCTCTCATTTAACTGCTCGAAAAAATCCGAATAAAATCACTGAGCATACCAAAAAAGGCATAAAATTGAAATCTGTGTAGCGAGCTTACTGGCAATGTAATCCAATGGATCAAATGGTTAGTAGTATTTTGTGGATTAAGACGTTCAAAATAACAAAAATATCAATAAATACTAACATATCAGCCGCTCCGGGAGTTCCATTGCTCTGATTCGCCTGCTCCGAGGTCATCTTCCCGGTAAGAACGTCCAGCAGATTCTTCGCAGCAGCATGCTTGGCATCCTTCTTGGAGCGACCTGTGCCCGTAGCAACCAGCTCGTTGCTCAAGAACACCCTATACCGGAAGATCGGTTCATGGATAGCGCCCTCTATTTGTACTAGCTCGTACTTGGGGGTGACGCCGCGACGCGAGAGGAGCTCTTGTAGGACAGAGACTGGGGTTTTGCTGGGCATTGCCGCCATTTCCTGGAAGTGAGTCGATTTTAGAAACTACAGTTCGCTTAGGCAAAAAAATGTATACAGGATGTTAATGAGAGGCCATAATTACAAGGGCGCATTCCTGAACCTAACGTAGAAAAGTTCATATAAACATGTGTCCTAATAAGTCTGGTTTCCAAGATCAGCAATGTCTGTTTTTTTTTAGTATCTCAAAGATTCATGTGCGGATGTTGTTGGATTTAGACAGTGTTTTCATAATCCCTCATGTTTGTATGTCAAACCACATATGTAGTTTGATTTGGGCAGATAAACATGGAGGATTATCGGCATGAAAACCACAGGATAAGTTTCAGATATTTAGTCATTAGTGTTATTCATTGCAAGAAAACGCTGAGTTGGCGCTAACCAGAAGATAATTGTGAATTCCAGTGGGGTCTCGGGAAAGTGTCACGAATAATATTGGCAAAAAATGTACCCCATTGGGTTTATTAAAATTACATTTCATCGAATTAAGCAGCTAAAGATATCACCCTTTTGTATTTTACTTGGTTTTCAAAGAATAAAACAAAATCGAATTTATTCCATGTCGAAAAATTATTTAAATAATAATATCAGTTCAATTTGATCCATGCACAATATTTATTTGTAAGCCAATCTAATATACAGTGAAATTCCCCTTCGCGGACAACTTTGAACGGACAGTTTTTCATGGTCCCAACCGACTCTTATATAATTTGCATTGTATCAACTCTCTTGGATGGACATTCTCTTGAACGGACGCGGATACGAGAAAATGTTCTCCTAACCGGGCAAAAAACAAAACAAAAACAATGGAAACAATTTTGAACAGCTTTTATAAGTGAACTTGTTAAACTGTATTATTTTATTATCTCGATTTCAGTAGGACTGTTACTACATTTTTTTTTTTTGAGAAATCAACTTCTTTCATAACAGTGCAATATGTGGTAAAACATTTGTCGGATAAGTTGTGAAACACTATGTATTAGTTCACAACATGTATGTAGTTCATGGCATACATTTTTATTGTCAATATTATTCATGAGACTGCCCTACAAGACGCCACTGGAATTCATAACTATCTTCTATTTAGTGTCTTAAAGCCAATGAACAATACTGCTAAAATTCAACAATATCAGCACGAGGATCTTTCAGATGTCAATAAAAAAAAAAACAACTGACACTGTATCCTTTTAGGATGAATGTTTATATGAACTTTTATACTTAAATTTGGTTCAAGAATGCGCTCTTCTAGTATAATTAAGTATCACGCTGAGGATGGTAACTTTAACTGTTGATTCTATTTCCTGTATGAGGAACCAACATACAAATTACATTTACATTACATTTTTTAAATGTGGTACTTTTTTCATTTTGTAGATTAATTATCATAATTTTAGACTATCAATTTTTGTCACTTACCAACTTAGCCTCTTCAGCCAAGGAAAGTCTCTCAGTCTGCAGGTTTCCAGCCCCCTCAGCAGCAGCACGCGCATGTCTGGGGTTCTTAGGTCTCCTGGGATTTCCACCCCCAGTAGCAGGCAGGGTGCCTGGAGCCACCGGTCCTGCAGTAGTTGAAGGATGTGCTGGACCAGTTCCTGGATGCATTATGGTCATGTTGCCAGGTTGTTCCATCTGATTAGACTGAAGAAAAAATGGCAATGTGGCAGTCATAAAAGTTATTTATGTACTTAACAGCAGTTCTTGAAATTAAGAGTCCAAAACAAGGAGCACCTCAAGTTTTAACATGCCAAAGGACATAAATGCTGACTTTAATAGCTAGATATTAATAAACCAACGCAAAAATACTATACTCACATCATTAATATTCCCCATTGAACACTGAGTATTTTATGTGACAAGGAATACAGTGCAGCTCTGGCTTCAACAAGGGTTTGTCAAAAATTTTGATTGACACACATATCACCAAAAATTAACAAAAACCCATATAAAATATGAAAAAATTTCAGATGAGAATTTTTATTATGATGAGAAAAGATTGCAAAACACAACTGGTTGTAGATACTTTTGCAAAAGCTTTAATGTAAGCCTTAAGATGAATGTCACACAACCAGTATTTACTGTAATCCAACAGTAATTATTGATGCATAAGGTTGTGTAGAACCGACACTGAGAGAATCAGATTGTGTGATATTCACCTATGGTATCCTCAAATTGCCATATTTAATAAAAATGAATGTTTCAGAGAATTCAGGCAGATGTGCCCTGGACTATAAAGGCTGTTTCACATCTTATCCGACAAATTTTAACCACATAGGCACTGTTAAGAAGTTGATTTATCAACAAAAAAAAAAACAAATGTAATAAAAAAATTAAGTTATAAACCTGAGTTTCAATAACAAATTGAAAAATAAATATCTGAATTTTGCGGTCATTTTCGTGATATTAGAACACGCATTAATAATTTATTGTAGCAAATGTACCAAACAACTGACGAAAATAAAATATCAGGAATTTTTTGTTTTTTCATACTTATAAAGTGTAAATAAGGTTTAATCTGTATCGTGGGTGATCTGAATGAAGAATGCTCGATTTTTCTGAAGTCAAATAAGAAAGTATTTTACGAGTATATGTTTTTAGTTATTTTTTAATAAAAATGGCACATGTGTACACTAATGAGGAGTTAGTGGACATTGTTTTAGCGTACGGAGAAGCAGGGCAAAATTCTCGAGCGGCTGCTCGTTTGTATGCACACCGATTTCCGAATACGTACATACCACATCACGAAAGATTTAGTTCAATTGTTTTACGTGAACGTGCTAGTGGAGATTTGCGCCCCAGACGTGGAGTGGATGGGGGTCGGGTTCGCCCACAAGTTTTAAATGCCGAAGACGAAATTTCGGATATTGTGGAAGAAAATCCGGGAATAAGCACAAGGCAGTTAGCCCAACAGGTTCCAGAAGTGTTACATGCAACAGCGTAGCGCATGCAGTCAATGGAAACAATTTTGAACAGCTTTTATAAGTAAGTGAACTGTATTATTTTGTTATCTCGATTTCTGTAGGACTTTTATTACATTTTTTTTTTTGAGAAATCAACTTCTTTCATAACAGTGCAATATGTGGTAAAATATTTGTCAGACAAGTTGTGAAACACCCTGTATTAGCTCACAACATGTACTTAGCAACAGTGTCTAATACTTATAATTAAATTGTAAATAATGTTTTTCTATAAAGACGAGGTCAAATGCATGAAACTAAATAACCAAAAGCAACAGGTTCAAATGATATCAATGTAGAGGGAATTTTTGTATTTACTCTGGAATTACTGTAATTCAAAAGAAGGAAATTGGTTTTTAGATTTCTTCGTTTCTCTGATCTACTAACTGCGTTAAAAAGATAATGATCAAGAAAAAAATGATCCACATGGGATTTTTTGAAACTTCTTTCAGCCATTTTCTACTCTGCTTGGAAATAATGTGTATAGATGCTTGAAAACAATCTTGAAAATGCTGGATTCATTCAAGGCTTAACTAAGAACTTAAGGAAGAACCAATAAGGAGCAACTTCTATTGTGTGTTCCATGATACCAATAGTGTCTGTAGGTCCACCTTAGTGGTGCTGCCTTAAGGTTTAAGTTAACAAGGTTTTATGAACAGTACTGTACATAAGAAATTCCACGGTTTGTTCGATTTACAAAAATAGGTAGTTTGTGCGGTAACTCTTTAATCTGTTTTTCACGAGTTTCCATTGCAGTAGAACTGGGGTGCTGGTGGCACAAAGCACTAATTTAAATGAGAAAACTGATATTTTTAAAAGAAGTAGTGGATTTATAAATAAAAAGGTGAGTTAATTTTCTGATAAAATCCCAAATTTAAACGGAATATATAAATATATATACATATATAAAAACAAAAATAACTCATTATAAGGTATTTATTACTTGTGGCAGTGAAACTGACTTAAAATTAGTTCAATATGTGTGGCAGTATATGACCAAACTGATTGAGGTCGATTCCCTGAACTAGACCTGAACATTACTCAGGTAATTCTAGCAAGTTGGAGATTAGAAAAATGTAAGTGAAATGTAGAACTATTGCAGGAAGTCATGAAATGTACTCAACTGCAGTGTTCTTATAAGAACAGCACACACTTAACATGTATTAGAATTATGTTTCACTGATGACAGACAATTAAAAAGAAACATGTTTTGACATTATATTTACAGGAAAAATTACAGCTACTGGAAAGGACAATGCAGTGTGTTTAAATGACTTACCCCATAATCAATAAATCCCAGATGTACTATAATAATTTTCTAATGAACATTTTTCTACATGTACTTCATATATTTTGTTGTCAAAATTCCTAGACACTGAAAGTATCTAGATATGTGAACAATAGCTCTGACTGCAGTCCTGAGTTTTACCAGATTTATTATTGCCAATGTTACAGACTAATACAAAGATGTCACTTGCTGATCAGCTGCTCAACTCAGCAGACATCAAAACATAATGGATACTCATGAAATAAGCTGTATCTTCATGACACTATATGTAAAATTATTGAGCTGGTAGTAAAGAACCAAAAAAATATACGTCTTTTCACGGTTTTTGATGGGTTGCAGTAGAACTTCATGAATTACTTTCATATACCAATTTCTTTCACACATACATATGCAATCAGCCTCTATAAGTGGGCTTTTGTTTACCTGAAGACTGAGACATATGTTTTTGGTATTGTCTCACCACCATGAAAATATTTTCATCAACATATATGAGTCTTCCACATTTATGCCTGTCACTGTCAGCCTGAAAACTTGCAATGGACCTTTGACTACTGTTTGCACATGTTGATATCAATATAAAAATAGTAGTGCCTCAAGATACAACTACGCCAACATCAGAACTATTTTCAGAAAGTGGGCACAAACAATGGTCCACTATCACCCAATTCTTGTGTGTGTGAAAAAGTAGCAGCTGTGTAATGGCGGATTTCCACCAAACCGACTCGTCGAGTTGCTGTTTTGTTTCCGAATATGAAAACTCCGACAGACAACACAAAACAGCAACAAAACAGAACCAAATCAGAAACGCTGTTGCAACTGAACAGACTCGACTACAGTCCTAGTTGTGTGTAAGTTGTCACTCCTTTCCACTAGGCAGACAGTGTTTTGTGTTGATCATGTGGCATGAAGATGATCTTTTCATCATGTTATGTGGATGGTTTATATTGCATTCTAAAGCAAAGAAAAGGAAAAAGCGTCGACAGCACAGGTACTGGGTGAGATCGCTGTTGACTACAAGAGAAAATAATGGCGCGGCAGAAATGCTTACTCAGTTGAAAACGGATGATTTTGGATTGCATGGCGAGTTGCGATCATCGTTTCATAATTTTGTGAGAATGTCCAGCACTGATTTTGAAAACCTGATAACTCTGATCGGCGCAAAGATTCGCAAACAAAACACAAATTACAGAGACGCTATATCCGTAAAAGACCGTTTAGCTATAACACTAAGATTCCTTGCTACGGGGGACAGCTATCAAAGTTTGATGTATTTATGTAAAGCATCTGCATCATCAATTTCACGAATTGTGCCCGAAGTTTGCAGTGCCCTATGCGAAGGTCTAAAGGATAATATAAAGGTAAGGCCACACTGTATATAGGATACTGCAACGAAAATATATTTTGACAAATAGTACGTACAGTAACTTAAGGTTAATTCTTTGGAAACATGTCCTGATTTGTATTATCGTCATGATTTGTATTCAGCCCAAAGGATGATGCAATGGCAACTTGTAAAACGTCATCACTCCAAGTTTGTTGTACTTCCGTCTCCGTCATTGCCGACTGGGTGTCAGATGATACAGTGTGACTGCTGTTAGGTGAAGGTGATGGCACGACGACTCGCATGGTTTCTGGATAATTGTAATAACCGATTCGAGCCTCATATAGTAGGTTATTTATTTTGTGTTGCACAGTAACTCTAGCATGTTCAGTTTGCAGATGTCTGATATTGCAGGCCACCATTTCCCCAAACACGTCGTATTCGTCGCGCCTTGATGTAGTTACTTGCCTGTTCTCAAATACTGACTTCATCATCTGAAAGACCTCCGTAGTCTCATTTTTGTCATCAGACTCAACACGTTTTTTCTTTCTTGAGCCAATTTTTGGAGTACTAAAAACATGTGGTTTCTGGGAAGCTTGTTTCTGAAAATATTCTGCACTTTCTGTATTCTCAACTGAAACATTTTTGTTAACTGACGCTGCAGCAGCGATTTTAGGCTCTTCCCTTGTATTTGCTGCAGGTGTGCCTATTTCCTCAGTTAACTGACATTCTGAAACTTCGCTTTCACTTTCATACTCATTCGTTGCTTCGGTTGTGCTTTGCATATCAGACTGGGTTTCTTCATCACCTTCATCTGACGAATCACTTCCCTGTAATTATAGAGTGCGCATTGAATTGGCTGAATTTCATAAAATGTGGGTTGTATAGTTTAAAATGAAGATTATTTTAGGAATAATATCAGTTGTTTGAAATCCAATATCAAGAAATCAGATATCGTGTCCTTTCGGGATTCTTCCTTCTTACATTTGATCATGGTCCTGAATTTTTTTGTTTTAAGGTTCCCGCAAATCCAGAGGATTGGAAAAAAGTTGCAAATGGATATAATACAATGTGGAACTTCCCGATGTGTATAGGCAGTATGGATGGAAAACATGTAATCATAGAATCCCCAAAATACAGTGGAAGTGAATTCTTCAATTATAAAGGGACTTTTAGTATTGTATTGTTTGCCATAGTCGATGCCAGTTACAATTTTATTTTTGTTTACGTTGGGTGCCAGGGCCGAATATCAGACGGAGGAGTTTTCAAAAATACTGGATTTGCCAAAGCATTGGAAAGAGATATGCTCAATCTGCCACAAAAGGCGGCACTTTCTGGAAGAGAAAAACTGGTACCATACGTCTTACTAGCAGACGATGCATTCCCCTTGTCACAAAATATAATGAAGCCGTATGCTGGGCACCAAGAACGTGGGTCAAGACAACGAATTTTTAATTACCGTCTAAGTAGAGCTCGAAGAGTCGTCGAGAACGTATTCGGAATACTAGCATCTGTTTTTCGGGTCCTTCGCAAGCCTATGTTACTAGAGCCGGACAAAGTGGAGAAAGTTGTTCAAACATGTGTTTTGCTGCACAATTATTTACGTAGAGATGTGGAATCGAAAGATAGATATACACCGCCAGGCTCCTTTGATTTCGAACACTTAGATTCTGGTACTGTAAGTGGAGGATTGTGGAGAAATGATCCGGAACCATGTCACTCACTTTTGCCTATAAGACGAATAGCAAGGAAACCAATTCAAGAAGCCCGAGAAATTAGAGACGAATTCAGCGAATATTTCATATCGGACTTAGGACAAGTACCATGGCAATCACAGTATGCTTAATTATTTGTTGTAAATTTTCTTAAAATGCTAGAGTTTTAAATAAACACAAAAAAAACAAAATACCTACTCACCTCCAATTCTACGCCAATCTGTGTTCCTTTCCTAGGTTTGTTTTTGTCGTGAAGGAAGCTCATGGCACTATAACCAAACCATTTTGCCTTGAAAACATGACCGGCTCCTGATTTTTTCATTTTTTTGTAACTGCGCCTTTCCCGTTGGTACTGGGTAATTAAGTTTTTTATTTTCCTCTCTATTTCATGTGGAGTTGTTTTAAATACATGAGCTATTTGTTTGTAAGTGTCCATTTTTTTCACTCGATTTTTATACTCCAGGTTTGTGGGGTTCCATAAATTTGGACAATCGCGATAAGTTTCTATTAAATTTCCCACTTCTTCTGTGGTCCACTTTTTCTTTTCTTCAGTCATATCCTGCAATTAACTGCTAGGTATTCAATAGCACAAATAAATTCAAACTGCGCACACTGCAACACACTACAACAGACTACAACAAAACAGAGACGCGTCGCAAGCTGTTTCCACTAAACCAACTGTGTTGCTAGTTGCGCGAAAACCCTTTGAAGTTACCGCCTTCGACCGGGACTTCGAAAACACAACAAAAACTCAACAAAAACAGTTGCCGGCGACTCCTGTCTACAAAATGTTGGTGAAAAGTTGCAGTTTTGTTGAGATAAACACGAGTTTCTGTTTTGTTGCTGTTTTGTCTGTTTGGTGGAAATCCGCCATAACAGATCAGCTTGTACAATGTCAATTTCCCATAAGAAAATCAATCTATGCACATGGCATAATCAGTCAAAAAATTGCTTAATTATTTTGTATAGTATTGTGACGTGGCCGCCAAAAACCGAGAAAAAGCTATAGAGACTCCTATCAGGAGAGACATAACTTATGAAAAGTACTGTACACAAAAAATCCCAATTCCAAGTTACAGTGCAGGACTGTAGGTTGTTTTTTGCTGCCCCATCACTTGTGGTATTGGTATCTCTACTGTAAATATGATTTATAAATATCACAATTTGAGGTATTTCAGTTATTGCACTTGTTAATATCGGATAAATACCGCACAACACACGCAAAATCGATAACGCCTGTAGCAAGGGACTAAGAGTACTGAACATCTGGCTTTCCCTAGAAATAGTGGGGGAGGAGAGATGTGCCCTAACAAAGGGTAGGTAGGGGAGTAGTGGCATGAAAGAGCCAGTTTTATAGATGTAGCCAAAAAATATACTTTTAATGAATGAAATGATTATTTTTTTAGTCAAACTATTATTTATTTATTAAAGTATATATTTCATACAAAAAAATCTAAAATACGGTATATAAAACCAATGAAATATACGTTTTTTAAAAATGTGTCATTTGGCTCTTTCATAACATTTCGGTATTGAAAGAGCCACTAAAAGTAATGAAAGGGCCAGCTTGTATTATAACTTGAAATTGTGAAAATTATACAAACTAATAAGTATACACTATTAAAAAACAAATGAAAACACAATTCTAACAAATTCTTTTTAAAAACTAATGATATTTTATAATAAATATAAACTTAACATATTAGAGGCGGATTATTTTTTATCAATAACAGTGTTGAAATTAAATAAATCAACAAATGATATCTTTTATCAAAAATAAAATCGTTAAATCTATCAGAACAGAATATAATGCGTATTCTTCAAATTAGAAACACGTCTTGCAAAAGAAATTAAGGTTCCCCTTAATACCACAGCATTCATGAGCCCAACCAGAACAAATTTTGCACTGAAACCAATCTTGATCAATGTCTTTATATGTTTTGCTGCAAACTACACAATCATCACTATTGTTATTTGTCTTTGGGTTTATTTTGCTTCGAACACCCTTTGTTTTTAATTCAGCCAATACGATAGAGTCAGACGAATCAGAGTCATCTTGCAGAACGGAATTTTCTTTATTTATTTCTCATTTTGTTTTAAGCGTTTTTATGGAGTCTTTTGTAGTCATCTTCTTAACAGTAACTTTTGGTTTCTTTGCACTATACTCTTTCTCCTCTATTTTTTTCCTTTCGGTAGAGTCGGTTACGATAGCAGATGACATTTTTCTATTATTTCGTTTTGTGTTTTGTCTTGGCCCCGCTTTAGAAAATGGTCTTATCATATCCGGTGATATAATTCGTTGACTCGGATTTGCAGCCGTGGGGGTGGAGGTTGAACGGTGAGAGAGTCTGATATTCTGATCTATTAGAAGCTCATTTTCTTCGCCAGCTTCAAGCGATTTTGTAGAAGATGAAGGTGTTGTTTCTAAGTTTCTTTCCTTACTTTCCTTATACAAGTTCAAACCATCGTTTGACTGCGGATCTAGTCTATCAGTCACATATGAAGATAAAAATGCTTCTTCACTAAATATATTAGAATTTAATGGATAAATTCCTGTTTTCAAAAATTCTTGTGTTATATTCTGTGGACTGGAAGCTGACAAATATGCTTCTTTTACAAATTGCCCAATTTGATAAATAGTAACTGTTTTTTCCGGGTTCAACAACATCCATTCATTCATGGCAGTGCGGTACCTAGTTTTGAAAGGCCCATATACTGTGATATCTAGTGGTTGCAGTTTATGACTGCAGTGTGGTGGGAATGTAACTATTATGATGGAGTTTTGTCTGGCAAATTCAACCACACTGAGATTTACATGAGAGGTGTGATTATCCATTAATATCAATGCTGGATTCTCTATTGACGGCCTGACATGTATTACAAAGTGTTCAAGCGCTTTCACAAAACAGTCTTCAGTCATCCATCCAGAAACTTGAGCCAATCCTAGGGCGCCTGGCTGACCATTATTTAACATGATATCTTTATAGTTTACTCTAGGAAACACAAAAACGGGCGGCAAAAAACCACCAGCAGCATTAATAAAGAACAGAGTTGTCACCAATGTTCCTCGTTCGGCTGAGGTAACTTGCCCAATTTATTTCGAACCCCTTTCAGCTATGACCTTAGGAGGATTGGTGACGGTGCTACAGCCTGTTTCATCGGCGTTAAAAATCCTATGAGGAGGAAATTTGTATCTTTGTAAAACAGTGTTTAATTTCTCAAAAAATGTGCTTACATTAGCTTTATTAAAACTTGTTGCACGGGATAGAGAAGTGCTTTCAGGTGTTCTCACAGTTAAGTCTTTGTGTCTGCTCATAAACCCTTTGAGCCAATCAGTCGCAGTTTCAACTTCTTTCCATTTGGGTGGACAGATATCATTGGCTACGGCATAATCAAATCCTAGCTTCTTTGCTTGATGTCTTGTTAGGCCATGGCACATTTTAGATGCGGTCTTTAAATAATCTGCAAGCATATTCTCCTGTTCTGTTGTGAAACTACGCCTGTTCCCTATATTCATATGATGAATCGCCAGACGTCTTTACTTTTTTAACGATTTTAGCTAAGTAGGCCCTCGATATGTTTAAGGCAAGTGCAGTTCTGTTTATGGACTGACCTTTCTCCAAAACTTCACTGACTGCTTCTTCAATTACCGATTTTTCGGGTGTTTTTCGTTTTTTTGAGCCAGCCTTCTCCATAATGCAGTATCTGAAGCAAATAATTTAATAATATATAAAAATGCATATTTATTATTATAATAATTCATTACTAAAACTTAAATATAGGGTTATAAAAGAGCCGGTTATGAAAGAGCCAGCTCTTTTAAGGATTATGCACCCGTCTCTTTCATAACTTATTGGTAAAAAATATATAACCTTCAAAATAACAGCAATATAAAACCTTTTGTCGCTTAGTGTTTACGCAGTTGCAAGGCCAATTATATGCACAAACTGAATCTACAATCTACTTACTTATATTTGTTTACAATAAAATGCCAAAAAACTACTTAGATAGAGCAAAATACTTACTTTTGGATGCCAAAAATTTTGACTCGATGTACCGCCGCCTGTTATCACTAGCCAACTGTCAAATTTTTGTGGGTGGCGGGAAATCAGTGCTGCCACCTTAAAATAAGATCACCCACCAAATTCGTTCCTAAACCACCGAAATAATGCAAGTGGCTCTTTCAAAACCTGGCTCTTTCATGCCACTTCTCCCCTACCTATTTCTAGGAAGGACCCCTTTGTAAACCCTACAGGCTAATCTTTCGGGCAAAAGAGATGACAATGTTCATTCTATGGATTAAAACGTTTTTATACAGAAATCCTACAACTACTATTGTAGCTGTTTTTACAATACAAAAAAATGATTCCTAAATCCTTCATCAAAGGCTGAAAAAGTTTCCAGAACAGAAGTCTAGAAGGTTCTATAAAACCGCAATCGGCATTTTCCAAAGGTACTCGAGTACCGGGGTGTAAAACAGCTATTGGATGACGATTTAGAAGAACTGTTTATGCAAAATCACTGTTTTTTTGGTATATTACCGGGACCATCACAAAATGCCGGTATGTGAACGCTGTAGCTTGCAACCTGCCCCAAATCTCAAATTCCATATAATTACAGTTCAAAACAGGAATAACAGCCTTAAAATGTTTGGGGTGGCCATGCAGGGCAATATTGTTGGAGCATCATCGATAACGTGGTAGGAAACTTACCAAAAATTACAGGAAATCGGATACTCGGCTAGCCAAGTTGCCACACCACAATGGCGAATTCTTCAATAGTGATTTTTCATAATGAGCGATGATGCCAGATTTACAATACGTTTTTCCTCAGGTCAATAAATCGTCACGATCGAACGTTTTAATTTGTTTCGGTCACCGTGGAGTGGAGGGAATTAACAACGTATATGTGATTTGATTCGGTCAGACAATGGAGATCTGAAAACATCAAAACCACAGGAATAGTTTTAGAAGTTACTCAAGCACATTTATTATAAAATAAAACAAACCTGACTGAAGTAACTGAAAAGAATGAAGAATTGTGCTATCAAGAAAAATGTAGCTGATATCAAGCAAAAAGCGTGAATTTCGGAGTTGGACTTTGCTATCAAAATCCGCCACTTTGTTTTTATATAATTTTATTACAGCTAGTACTACTCCTCGTCGTAGCTTCTCAAGGCAGTCCGCAGGGGTATTACGTAACTTGAAAAGTTTTTTAGACATTAAGTAGGTTTTTCATGACATTATGTAGGTTTCCCAAAAATATGGCAACTAGAAACTAGCAGTCGTTCACTTCTTGCTCACTTGAATCATGGGCGGAATGAACTATTAGCACATTACCAGCTATCTAGTCAACAAGTTGACATTATATTGGTTTTTTGACATTATATAGGGTTTTTACGTAATGACCCTGCTGGAGGACTAAGGAGGCTGAGGCCTTAGGTCATAGTCTCTGTAATATCAATGTCTGTTAGGTCTGGTGGCTCAGACGAGTAGATACAGCTAGTGCCACTCGAACTACAGAGTACTATAGTTGTAGTCACCGTTCTTAGCAGGTCAAAGTGAGACTACCAGTATTCCTTTATATATCTCCATCTTCCTCATGCATACACATGCGACCTATCCCTGTGTGTGAACGATTGTTCGGTAAGCTCAAAGACATACATTTTTTAGTTATGTGACTCCGTCTCGAAAACTTGTCGTTACGTATGAGTGCTCTTCAATCATATTTGTCAGAGTGACAACTTACTTGACATCGGCGAGCAATTTGAGTTGTCCTGTCATCAATCTTTGATATAAAATTGTACAATGCCCTGAAATACGATTAATAAAGAAGGCCGACAGCTCGTGCTAAATTTATTAGAGTATTTCCTGGAAGAGATTGAAAACAGCGGTCTCCTGTTGCCCATTTCATGCGTACTGGAGAGAGTAGCAGATGGTACGAAGACTAGATCTGTTTACTTATTTCATATAGCGTTGATGACGTAACCGCAAATAACGGTTACTACAACTGTACTAAGACGACTACAGCTCATATGTCAAAATGTATCATGCTGATAAAGCTTGTAGCCTGTGAAATATGAATTTCAAGGTCGATTTATTTTATTAAAATCTGCAAGTTTGTTTTGATACATTTTAGCCAACATGATTCGCTGCTAAGAGAACCTCATATGGCAAAATCCATCAAGCCGTTTGGCCTGTAGCCCGTGAAATAAAAATTTTTTGATACAACTATGCGCAAAAAAACATATCCTTCCTTCTGAGGCAGTCGGGTTAATTATAAATACATGTAAGACCTGTTTGAGTGCAATATAAAATTGCTATAAGTAGATTGAGCTAGTACACTCGGTACTTAATAATAATAATAATAATAATAATCGTCTTTATTTAAACTGTACTTCATACAGAAACAAGAGTTGCATATGGTGGCGAAGTTTAGCAACATGCTACTCTTACACTTAACCACCCATGCAAAAAAAGCAAGTTGTTAAGTAGCAGATATCAAACAAAATATACATATATACATACACATGTACATACATACATAAATATACACACATTACATACGTACATGTTGCACCAAGCTTTGCTACATGTACACAAGGGAAGTGAAGAATCATTTAACAATATGTCTATAGCAATCTAATTAAGACTATGGATCCAAGTAAATATGAGATTTGACAGCTTTCTTGAAGCAATTTAAGGACATGGTTTTGAATTCACTTCGTATACGTTTACGTATTCGTATACGTTTGTGTTCATATATTATTATCTTCATTGTTTTTAATTTTGGTTTAAAATATATTAATATATGCAAATCCAGAAACTAATTTTGAGAAGTGGTCGCAAACATGAATAACGTTGAATAGCATTTGGAGATACATTCAAAATATTGTTATTTCTCCTAAAACCCGCTAGAAATCAATGGAATGAAGAAAAACGACATTTGTGGACGATCTGTAGCTTCTTTTGTTCACTCCTAATTTCGTGAAATTGTGGCGACACTACACAGACTTGCAAACATGAAATAGCGTTGATTAATGTATTCCACCTCAATATAGCCAACCATATACTGAATTCCGGCAAAATAAATCTGAAAGATACTAGTGCCACCGATGAGACAATAGCAGAACACAAGAATTAACTTGGTAATCTTTACGTTGAAAAGAGTTAGTTCTAGATCTGCTACTCTCGCATTATGAACGCCGAAATACAATATATTTTCCTATGATACTGGTATGAGAGTGAAGTAGCTTAATTGTTCAATAATAAATTACAATATTATTGCCAGCAGTTGGTAAAGAACATGTTCCGGAGAATATTTTGTCGGCGTGGCAACGGCGACTGGCGTCATCATAAGAACAGCAGCGCCCCCTCCGGCGCTATGGAAAAGTTCAAGGACGGTGTTCGTCTTCGATAGATTGTAACCGATGTTGCCGAACGTAGAGATTTTTCGGTATTTCTACCGAAACGGGACCTTATTTATCGAAATACCGAAAACGTCCTCGCTTTTTACGATTTTTTAAAATAATCAAGATATTTCCAGATTTTTTTATTGAAAAGGGAAGTGAAATTGAAATAAAGTTAAAAAATCAATTATATGTAGTTTTATGCCCTATGTCAATCATACATATGCGACAATAACAGTCGGGTACACGAGGAACCTAGATTTGGGTTGCCTATAATTATGTACGCACAACCCTCACTCCGCGTTCCATGTATTGCTTTTTGTGCGTACAACAGAAACAGACTGGGTAGATAACCGTCATTACCGAATCACCGAAAAATCAATAAGGAAACCAAAGTTTGCCTGTTTTTAATTAAATATTAGGTGCTAATCTCAGATGATGCAGCTTCAAGTTCAGGGATAAATAGAAAAATATAAAGTTGTCGTCACCGTTCTTGGCGGAACAAAGTGAGACCACCAGTATCGTTATATATCTCCATCTCCTTCATACATACGTATGCAACCTACACCTGTGTATGAACGTTTGTTCGGTGAGCTCAAAGACATACGTTTTTTAGTTGTGTGTCTCCGTCTCGAAAACTTTATTCGTTACGTATGAGTGTCCTTAAATCATATTTGTCAGAGTGACAACTTATGTGACAACGGCGTGCATTTCATAAACGGCGCTGCATCAAAATTAAATTGTAAATTCAGACCAGCCAAAATTATTTTTTTGGAGTTATAAAATAATTCGAGTACTAGTCAAAGCAATAATGCTTAAGCTATTTCAAATGATTTACTTCTTTTCTTTGCTCTATTTCTTCCTTCCTTTCTTTCCTTCTTTCCCTTTTCTCCTTAAACATGTTTGGTATCTGGGTAGCCAGACCTGACAGACTAACAGACCGACGAGACTTTTAACTAAGAGCATAGGTCCACCGGACTGCTCTGACGAATAATGACGAATAGTATAAACGGCGCTGCGTGACGCGAAGGCTCTTGAACCACCGCTGATCTTGCGATGGTGCTGTTTTTTTTTCTCCTACCCATTTTGTCCTTGAATCTACCTAACTGTTTAAGTTTTCGATGACATTATATCTATTCAAACCTTAATTTCTCAGCGTTTGTCGCTGCCTTCACAGGCATTTATGGTCCGCTGTCCGATAGAAGCGCGCGAATTTGATTGTTCCGCATTTGAATACCCAGGTACCTAGTAAGTCTAGCGTACTTCAAAATATTTTGTAATTACGCTTGACGGATTGTTTCCAGCCCTGAATATCTAAATAAAGTCGCGAAGACAAAATAAGGTCTATGTTTCCAAGAAATACGAGCTTATATTACATACCTCTAGCAGTTCTAGGTATCCTACTGTGTATTTGCTCATTAGCAGAATGATTAATTTATCAGGGAATTGAAGGAGCAACTCTAAAAAGACTGATTTTTACGTATCGTGTATACTCGTATTTGTAAGATCTACGAGGTGCGCACCGTATAAGTAGGTACATAGAATAGATTCCTACATATCGTACTTACAATACGTAGCAGTCATTTTTGCATATAGCATTTTTTCACAGATGATTATGTTTTTCAATTCTGATTCTAAAACTGTATAATACGTCATACTTTGGCATTGCCAGACCTTAGTTATTTCAAAAAAGTAGAATTTTCTAGGTAGGCGTTGAAATTATCATTTGTTTCGTATACCAGATCGATCCCAAAATCACTTATTTTTTACTGAATTTATTCGAGATGGGATTTCAAATTAAATTACATGTTGTCATCATTACTTATTCTCCTCTACAAGATAACGTAGTCAAATTTTCAATTCGACATTTCTTCTTTCTGCTTCCATCACCATCTTTGTTTTTTCTTATGGACGCTATATTGGAATTTTGTACATTTACGAGGGATGTCTTTTAAGTTTTGCATATGGAAATAAAACAACACGGTAGGTAGTTTTAAATGACTTTATTGTTTTTCGAAGTATTCTCCACGGAGATTAATATATAATATAATTTTCGAAACATTTATTCCACTCGTTTGCTGGCAGATCCAAAACGGCATTTTTGAATGCGTCAACTTCTTCTTCTCGTGACTGGAACCTTTGACCACGCAGTCTGTTTTTAATTTTCGGGAAAGTAAAGAAATCGTTAGGACTTAGACCAGGACTATATGGAGGATGGTCCAATAATTCCACGTTTTCTTCTGTTAAATACTGCCTTGTTTTTTGGGCTGTATGCGAGCTTGCATTGTCTTGGTGGAGGATGATTCTTCTTTCGGGGTTGATTTTGCGAAGATCGGTGATGACTTTTGGCAAACAAATGGTAGTATACTAATCCGCAGAAACAGTTCTTTGCTCATTAAGAGGAATTGTTGCTTTTGACACAAATGTCGCGACCATCTTTTTCGGAACACTTCGAGAATGGATGACTTTTGTTGGCTTTTCTTTACCTTGGAACACCCAAACAGGCGACTGTCGTTTATTTTCTGGTTCATAACAGTAAATCCACGATTCATCACCACTAACAATGCTGTATACATTTTTTGAGTTTCCGGAATTGAAACGGTCAAGCGTTTTTTGACACCAATTAACCCTGGCTGCTTTCTGCTCTTCAGTCAACAGGTGGGGTATCCAACGAGAAACTAATTTTCTTGCTCCTAATTCTTCATGTAAATTTTTTTGAATTGAGGTCTTTGAGATCTTCAAGGACGCCTCAATCTCGCGATATGTCACATGTCTATCTTCAATGATGAGTTTGCGCACAGCATCCACGTTTTCCTGGGTGACTGCGGTTTTTGGTGCACCCACTCTGGGATCGTCGCTAAGACTCACCCGTCCACGTTTGAATTCTCCGTACCCAGCGGAAATTGTCGACTGATGTGGCGCTTCGTTGCCAAAAACAGACAGTAACTCAGCAAGGCATTCTTGTTGCGATAATTGTCTCTGAAAGTTGTAATAAATTATGGCGCGAAAATGTTCTCGGTTGGGTTCAATTTTTCTAATGACTTGGTGACAAACATTCACTGTAGTGAGAACACTAAAGAGTGAGGTTAAGGTTCAGTACTGCCGTTCGATTCGCGCGGCCTACTATGTCTCTATATGCAAAACTTAAAAGACATCCCTCGTAAATGGACTTTTCAGTCCTAAATTCAGTTGGCTTTAAATTGGTTTTTGGATGAAAATTATAAGGAAATAAAAAGATATGGTAAAACCAAAAATGTTATTGATGGTAATAACAATAATAATCATAAATAAGCAGAGTAAAATGTAGTTCGCTACTTTGTAGGCAAAGCCTGACACTTCTCTGTACATTGTTCACTGCTCGATTTATTTCACTTCTTTTCAGTCTTCCAAACTCTGTTGCTATGTTCAGTTTGAGGTCTGATCTGGTATACAAAACAAACGAAATCTCATAGTTTCAGAGTCTACCTAGGAACTTTTGATTTTCTGGAATAACTAAGGTTTGGAAATGTCAGTGTATGACATATAATACATTTTTGAAATCAGAATTAAAAACTCTATTCATCTGCGTAAAAAAACAATGTAGCGTCCTTAAAAAAATAAAGTTAATGCTGGAAGGCAAGAGACGATACGTCATATTGACTTTCTGATTATGCCATCTTTTAGAGGAGAAAACGTGCCAATGTTAACATGTAATTTTGTAATTCCTTCTCAAATAAAGTAAGTAGTAAGTAAAATTAAAGTGATTCTGGGATAAATCTAGTACGCGAAACAAATTACTACGTGATTATTTCAAGGTCTACCTAGGAAATTCTGCTTTCTTGAAATACCTAAGGTTTGGCAACGTCAATGTTGTACTTTTGCTACGCCACTGGCATAAGGCTCAAACATTGTTGTTCGTAGTGATCATGTCAGTACTAAATGTACAAAAGTTACGTCAATATCTTAACTCACTGCGAAGTTATATTTTTTCGATTTCAAAATTATAATTTCAACTTTCTGTATCCCGATAAAGGAGCATTTTATGACCCATGTTTATATAAACCTTTTATATTATTTTGTGATTTACTTTACGCCCTTGAAATATTGCGACGTTTTCCTGATACAACCTGTATGAGAAACATGTCCTATTTTATAGTCACATCAGCAATTTTCTGCATCCCCTCATATAAATAACCAGCTACTTCATTAACTGGAAATACTGTAAGCATCAGACTAGCCACGAAGCTAAATAGCTAGAACGCCAATCCTTTGTTCTGTCGATACTGGTTCTTATAATATAGTAACCCACTGTCTCGTAATTCTAGAGCAAAAAAAAACGATCGAAAAAATAATCGATCAATAAACGAAATACGTGATATGATAATCTCATGTTACGATGACCGAAAACGCTTTATAGCAGGGTTTCCCAACCTTTTTTTTTGTTGAGGCTCCCCGGACTATAAATTATATTTTCATGCTCCCCTTTACTTTTTCAATAAATACAACACACACATTATATAGGTACAAAGACTTATTTTAATTCTAATAAAGAAACTTTAAAAGTTAAAATAATCTAATAAACGTTTTTTATCGAAAAACTTGAATAAAATAAGAGAAGGTACTAATGAGACCCTTGAGATTCCATGTACTGTACAAGTTGGTTGAATCTAGGTTCTGTTTTTGCCAGAGCTATCATCAGGTCGCTATCGACATCAAGACGATTTCGCTGTTTAGTTTTAATTAAAACTAGAGCAGGAAAGCCTGGCTCACATAAGTAAGTTGAAGAAAAAGGAACTAGTATTCGTAAAGTAAGAGAGGCAAGTGTCGAATTAACAGGCAATCCTTTGATCCAAAATTTCTCCGATGTTAAAAGATGGAATTTATCTTTCATGGACGAATCAGCCTTCATATCTAGAAATTCTTCCTAAACTTCTTCTGGTAATTGTGACATATCGACAACAAATGGATTTCTTGTCATGAGCCATATTGGTGACTCTGAATTGATGTCTCGATAGTATCGGCGAAATTCGTCTTCCAGCGCTTGCAAATGAGTTTTTATGTCAGATTTTAAATTTGCGTCCAGTATGTTATTTTTAATTGCTGCGAACAGCCGAGAAAAAGATATAACATTTTCAGAAGACACTTTTTGATTTCAAAGTTGAAGCTTTGATATGATATAATCATAATTGCTTATTATAGTGTTGTTTCTGCCCTGAAGTTTCAAGTTTATCTCATTCAAGTAGTCAAATATGTCAGTTAAATAAGCCAACTTCCATTGAAATGTGTCATCTTTGAACATTGTCAAGAAATCGTGTTTTTCTTTGAACTCAGGAAACAGAATTAACTCTTCTTTCAATTCATAAAAGCGAGCCAACATGTTGCATTTGGACAGCCAGAGTAGGTCTGAATGAGACAGAACTTTGTGATCAGAATCGAGATTCGCGCAAAGTGAACTAAATAACCGACTGTTCAAAGCGCTGCTCTTAATGTAGTTTACAATCCTTATAGCCGAGTCCAAAGTCTGGCGTAATTTCTGTGGCAATGTTTTGGAAGCCAAAGCTTGCCGATGATTAATACAATGTGTACTTGCCATTGCGGGATTTTTTTCATCGAGCTTTTTAGATAAGCCCGATCGTACACCTATCATTGCAGCTGCGCCATCTGTGCAAAGTCCAATGAGTTTCTTCCAATCTAAATAATTTTTTTCAACAAAATTTGATATTGAATTAAATATGTATATCTTCAGATGTAGTACCTGCTGTCAAAGATTGGGAATACAAAATCTCTTCTTGAATGATATCTCCGCCGATGTAACGAACATAAACTATTAACTGTGCATAATTAACGATGTCGGTGGATTCATCACAACTAATGGCAAAAAACGGCGATAATTTTAGTTTGTTAATTATTTGTGACTTTATGTCTGCTTCAATTTCATCGATTCTACGCTTGACTGTGTTATGCGAAAGAGAAATAGTCTTCATTTTTTGCTCTGCATCTTCTTTTAAAATTATCTGCGTGGCTTTTAGGTTTAGGACACATGATTTTATTAATTCTTCACCGATAGTATGAGGTTTCTTTTGCTTTGCTATCATAAAAGCTATTTCAAATGAAGCTTTGAGATGCTGCTCATCCGCTTGAGTGATTCTGCTTTAGAAGAAAAAACTCTTTCGTCTTCAAAAGAGTAGGATGTTGTTGCTTGAAATGCCTTTCAAGGCGATTGGGCTTCATGCTATCATTGCTTAAAACTTTCATACATATCACAAACTGAGGCAATTGTAACTCGTCTTTTCTTCGGAAAACTTTCTTTTTTTCGCTGCCATTTTGCACCTATAAGAATAAATAAGCAAAATACCTTATGTAATTACTAATTATATGCTCATTATTTTATCTTAATAACGTAATGTATTCAACAGTATATTGACCACCGGGAGATTTATATTTTTGTAGGCAGGTTTACGTTATAATAGTAATTTTAAATACATTTGGAATCAATATTAGGTACTTAAAGTTCGTCGTTTCAGAATTATTTCGCCACGTTGGTTTGATTGTGATGTGGTAAAAAAGTCCCAATGGCCGATCTATGAACGCGTCTCAACTCAATCAACAATTTGGTAAATTAAATAAAAATGGTAACTGAAGTTTGTAAATACACAATCTTACCTTTTAACAGTAAGACACAATAATTTGACACACTCAAACAGATTTCTCAACAAAACATGTACATCGAAACGTCAAATTTTTCGCAAGTTTGTGGGAATGAATATCACAGATGCTCGTCCGCGTCTGGTAGGTACACACTACACAATTGTTTTCTAAGTGATGAAGTTAAGCGGAGCGCGGCGGGGGTGAGCGCGGATTTCATATTGTGACTTGTCGAAACTTGTATAAACTGCAATTGACGATGCCTGGTTTTGAAACAGCGGTTGACAGAATAAGTGAATATGATATTTAATTTCTAATTTTATGAGTGTAAATTAAATATTATTAATGTTGTTCGTTTACTTTTTTGTTTTTTATTTCTAAAATGCAAACGCTTTCCGCCCCTCTTGATATCTCCCTATGCTCCCCTTGGGGGGCGCGCCCCCCTGTTTGGGAAATCCTGCTTTAGAGCTTTTGTTATCTCTTTTTTGTGTTATGAAGGACTACATGAAAAATATCAATATGCAGCAAATTGAATTGAAAATACGCTTTTCTATAAGGGCTTATCAGAACTCGTACGATAATCAGAGGAAAATAAGATTTTCTAAAATTACCTACTCAGAATTCCCGCGAAAAACTGTAAAGTTTTTATAGCACAAAGCATCTAGGCTAAACCCTTGTTATAGTAGAAAACAATTCGGTACACTGGTGTAAACTTTCTTTTATACAGGGGTGACTCAGAAAGACGTGCCAATATCTCTAGGGTAGAAATTACATTCAAAAATAATAATTTATTATTAATTTATTTACGAAATTAAAAAAACTATGGCTACGGAGCAGGTAAAGATACTGAGTTAAGATTTTAGACGTTCAGTAAGCACATTGTAAGCAATAAACACACGTAATTTCCCGGTGCAATCCAGGGGCGTAGAAACTAGGGTACCTTTATCCCTAATAGGAAACATTTTCTATGCCACTGGCCTCTTCCAAGAGAGAAGAAGTGCATTTTATAACACACCACTGATTTTTCCATAAATTTTGTCTCGTAAGGAATTTTTGTCAGATGACTCGTTTTAGAGATATTTAAGTTTGACTATTTGAGGTAAAATCCTAAAATATTCTTATGAAAAGGTTTAGCTCCCCCTATTCTGAAAACATCGTTAAGCTTGATATTCGAAACACTGTTTGGCATGTGAAGAAAGCTGTGGCATCTCAGAACATTCATTGAATAATATACGTAGCTTATCCTCAATCAGTAGCGTAGAAGCTTACCATTCATTAAACACTTCTTGTGCACGGCACTTGTTTTGCTGGCATATTCATTTTTGCTTATGGATAAAGAAACTTAAAAACAAAGAAAACGTTTATTTTAAAAATAAATAAATGAAGCTAACAAGAATTAAGCACGACAACAATAAACATTATATTTAATACAATTTACGTGGTTATTTCTGACTTTATAAGGACATAACATTGGGGACAAAAAATTATACTGAATAAATGCTACACCACCCAACCTGAAGGAGGTATTAAAAGTGGTCATCTCTGGATTCAACACAAACCCGTGCTTTACGCCACAAAGGACCTCTGACTCTTTGGGAAATACCTGGCGTAGTACGAACAGTGTTGAAAGCCTTCTGCATATTTCGTCCTCATACTTCGTGTCCAAGAATGCAAACGATTTGTGGTATTTTCTTTGTTACGCTTACTTAAACCGAAATGCTTGAGAGTTTTGAGAAAAAAAACCGATAATTTCAGAAGTAAAATAAGAATTTTGCTCAAATTGTTTGGTTCCACAATTACTAGTTGTGATTTCAGACAAATAGAAGAATCTAACATGGGTAATACCAGGAGAAGTCCTTGAAGATTAGTGGCGTGCAGTGGCGGCTCGTGGCAAAATAAAACAGGTGTTCTGCAAATCTGAACTTACCTATTTTTTATATGTCAGTTCGATCCTGCGCTCCTTCTTGGCAGCAAATTTGTCGATCACCTTCCCGTTGAAATTTTCCATGGTCGAAATAAATTCCTTTTCAATGGACAGCATCGACAACGCTGTAAGGCGAACCTGAGTCATAGTATTTCGAAGAAAGGTCTTGATTCTTTTCAATGTTGAGAAATTTCGCTCAGCCTCTGTTGTTGACATAGGAGTTGTAACAATAATTTCTAATAGCTTTTTTGTTTCTTTTAGTGTTTCCTCCAAACCATTTTGTATCAAAAATTTCAAAAGAGACAGAGTTCCATGTAAATCTCGGCAATCATTCCGTGCATAAATAACAGACAACTCTGTCTTTAAACGACTTTTTTTCTAATTCGGCATAAGCCAAGCAGGTAGTTTCCAACTTGTCATCAGGAAACTTACCACAGTATTCTCCAAAGTGTTCGGGGAACAAAAGGGATGCGGCTATCAAATGATCTTTGAATTGAAATCTGTCATTTGGAGAATTCACTATATTGTCGCATACTTCTAATGCGGCAACTCGGTGATCGTGACTGCTATTATTACGTCGTCTCCGTTTGTTGCCTTGGGGTTCAGCGCAAATACTTTTGGCTTCATTTATAATGTCATCAATTTTATTTCTCACATCGGCAATACATTTTTCAAAATTATTGATAGCCGTTTTAACTTGCGCTGGCTCGGTTTATCTCTTTTGCAACTGGTTGAACAAGATGTCGACGTGAGGCATGAGATGATGAAAAAATGTCAACCAAAACACGAAAACAGAATCGTTTAACATACGGCGAATACCGCAAGCTGCCTTGCAAACGGTTTCATTAGTCAAATTTTCTTCTATTTCTTCCATGCATTCAATGAGTGATTCTTTGTTCTCAAACACTACATTTATGGTTCGAATATTAAAATTCCAACGAGTTGTTGCTCTTTGGGGAATTTTTTTTCCCACAATTATGTTCAGTACCTCTACGCGTTGAGGAGAATTATTAAAAAATCTTTCAAATCCCCAAAGAACACCCGAACTTGAGCATGTGCGGAAGCAGTATAGGACATAATCAGGTTTAACTGATGGGCATAGCAATGCACATAGTGAGCAAATGGATACTTTGTTTAATTTTTGCCTTTACTCCAGCATTATGTCCGCTCATTACCGCGGCTCCATCATGGCTTTGTGAAATCAGTTTGTTAGGGAAATTTCCTATTAATGGATCTACGACGCTCAAAATATGCCTTGTGAGAGTATCAGCGTCACATCTTTCGGGATTCATTCCAAAAACGTTCTACTGGTTCGCCGTTAAATACGTATCTGAAAATTGTTGTTGGGTTTTTCCCGAAATGTCCGCTGTTTCATCTGCTATTATCGCCAAATACGAGGCTCTGTTTATTTGTTTTATTATTTCTTCATGACAAACTTCAAGAATACTATCAAGTAGATCGTTTTGTATTTTTTCGAAGTTCCTTTAAATATTGAAGCATTTTTTATGTGTCCGCTTAAGGTTGGATCAAGCTCAGCAGAAAAATTAATCAGTCCACGAAATATTCCCGGGTCTTGGGAGCTCTCGGTTTCGTCGTGGCCCCGTAGTGCCAACTCAAATGCTCCGCAAAATTTTGTACAACCGATTGTTTTGGATAGAACGTAGATGTTTTTTGTAACGGTATCATTATGCTGTTATATATTTCTCCAATATGCTGAATCTAACTGAGCTCTGATGTTAACAGTCCCCAATAAAGCCAATTCCATCGAATTATGAAGATGTGTTTTAGAGTTTTCATGCTTCTTAATTTTTTCACTCAGGTGCACTAAATCTGTAACACCTACCTCCATCCAAGTTTTGTCACCGCCGAAAAGTATGCATGGAAAGCAGAAAAGGGCATTCTTCCTATTGCACCCACAAATCCAGTCATTTCTGGTGTAAATATCCCTGCTGAAATGCCGCGTATAGCTCTTGCGCCGACTAACGCCCTGTGTTTCTTTAAATATATAATAATTTTTTCTTCAAATGTGTATTTCCAGAATCGTTTCACGCTGATAAGTCTGTAAACCCCA